ATTTTGAGAGTCGCGATGGTCTACAGCCGACTGATTTCTGGCTCTCATGACATCAATTCTCGATGATTCCTCAAGGCCTAGATCGTTTTCTCCGGACAGTGACTTCAATATTTGTTGTTCTGGAGAAATTAGACTGCCAATAGGCATTTCAGTTCCTGATAGCCTCGTGCAGCTGATGTTCTGGCGCTGGTTGGCGATGTATCCGACCAATGAGTATCTTCCGCGACGGCCCATGGTGGGGAGCTCTCCTATGGCAATGCATTTCCGAACCCCTCAAGCAGCATACCTAATTGTTCGGGCTAGTGGTTCGACGGAAGGAGCAAGATAGCACGCAGAGGAACTTGTTTAGATCCAGCTTGACCCATTTTTGACGCCCGATGTGAGGTAGTCGTGTTTTGGAATGATCTCGAACGACGAAGAGGCCTAGACACATGCGGAGCGGTCACGCCACTGGCTGATGGCGCTACTGATTAGCTTGCTATCATATGAAGATGTCTTTGCTTATTTGCAAGTCGCTAGTAGCCCCTTCACGAGGGCTGAGTGTGCTTTTCGCCTGTCGGGGCGTTACAAGCATCTAGGTTTCTTGCCAGCAATGATAGGACTTCTGATATTCTCGATAGGGCCTTGACAAGCAGCATTTATCTGGTCGGGTGCTGCTGTTCAATGAGCTGGGGACCATTAAGCTTAGCAACACGCCGCGCCAGGACAACAATCAAGATCTTCTGTGGTCTTGGAGCTTTTGCAAGATAAAATACGCAGTGTATAGCCTGAGAGTGCACGCTGTCCTCACCTGGCACGCTGGATCAGTTTCCTGCTAGCGAAGTTGTCGGAGCCTGGCACGTGAAAAAACGCTGAGGATGGCAAATTTGATATAGCGAAATAGAAGGGATGGTTGCTGAAGAAGTGCGCTGCATGATAACTGCTGCCGCTAAAGCTGAGATAGTATGAGTAAGCGTACTGGTCTTCTGTGCATCACGAATTTGCAAGAAGGCTATTCTTGTTCTCGTTGCCAGAACAATCTCGACAACATGTAGGTGTAAGTGACATCGTCATATCTCACTCACCTCGCAAGACACAGTTCGTTGTGCCCTTTAGACAAATCATCAGTCCTCTTGAGTCCAGATACAAGTCATGGAGAAAGATCGCACAAGAATGTTTTCTGCTGACTTGCAGACTGTTTGATGTGCAGATCTATGCTCCAAGCATGAAGGGAAACAACAAGTGGAAACTCGGCTCCCGCTCATCTCCGCTCATCTCCGCTCTCGTCCGCTCGCTCTCAGCCTTCTCTTCTTCAATGTCCTAATGCTCTTTCTTATCGGCTAGTAGTGGCCTAAATCTCTCACAAACATACTTCAACAATTCAATTAGGGACAGCGATTGCGCATACGAAGAGCCGTAATTCCGTGGCCCGCGATGAGTTGTCTCGCAGGATCCCGCAGGCCGGGCATGCAGTGCCAACACCTCCTCCCCGGTCTTCTTTATCACCTACCGTGCATCCTCAACTTCTAAGCTTTTCTCGCATCTCATGAAGTTAGACTACCTCAAAATGTCGAATCGACAAGCTTGGGAGACTACCGAGGTGATCATCTGTGGCTGTGGCCCCACGGGGGCGATGCTGTCCGCCTATCTCGGTCGCATGGGCATCCGCAACGTCGTGGTCGAGAAAGAGGCCGAGATCACGACCGATCCTCGAGGTATCGCATTGGACGACGATGGCATTCGTCTTGTCCAGGGACTAGGTCTATACAGTTCTATCTATACAGAGATTGGAACCAGTGCGTGATTTTCTACCATTGACAATTGACGTTTCCAGCTAATGCAGTGTATGAAAGGTATGGGGGAATTCAGCTTCGTCAGTGGCACTGGTCACGATCTATACAAACCTCCCATCCTCGAGATTAATTGCAACGAGGTTAGTCATCCGTCCTTGCTAATAGGTCTGATGGTCACTCACCACGACTAGACCGCGGGCACAACAGGGCATGTCGGGTACATTGGTCAGAAGCAGCCGACGCTCGAGAGTAAGCTGAGACGCGCCATGTCTCCCGTGTATTGTTCCCTGCGATGCGGATCCGCAATTGTCGACATCAAAGAAGATGACGCCTGGGTGTACTGCACGTACCACAGCGTGGATGGGAAGGACCACAAGGTGCGCGCCCGATACTTAGTTGGGGCCGACGGCAAGACGGGATACACACGGAAGCAATACCTGGAGCCACGCGGGGTGATGATGGAGAAATTCCACGAGTCAGTCTCTTGCTTCCCAGCTGAGAACAGGTGCTGACAAAATTCAGAGCTTTCTATGAGGAGACATGGGTAGCACTGAATTGGAAGATGACCCTCCCGACACGCGAGACTCATCCCAGCTTTCCCTTGTGGGAACTAGGCTACAAACCAGAGCACGTATACGACTTATTCTTCCCGCCAGAGTTCCGCTTTCTGTGCAATCGCAAGAGACCGGCAGTTTGTGGTCGCTTTGGCCTTTCGGAGGATAGGCTCTGGAGGTTCGAGTACCTTGTCTATCGTAACGAGGATGGAGATCGCATGGCGGAGCCGGATGCGATGAAGCGGATTGTTCTTCCTTACTTGACGCACAAAGGGAGCAAATACGGGTCAGTTGGGCTCCTCGCTCAGAAGCGCGTGCTAACGAGAATATAGACTGGATCAAGATGTACAGTTCCCTGAAAACTGTATTGATGTCCTCCGTTGCCGCCCTTTCAAATTCTCTTCTCGTACATGCAATGTGTGGGCTAAGGAAAGGGTGATTTTGTGTGGCGACGCAGCGCATGTCTTTCCGCCTTGTAAGGTCCCCGTTCTTATTCTTCATTGTCTACTCACACGTTCTATCCAGTTGGGGGTCAAGGCATAGTCTCTGGCTTTCGCGATGCAATCTCCCTGTCGTGGCGCCTCGCAATGCTCTGCCGATATCAACCCTACAAGCGCAACCACGAGAAGATCTTGACCGCATGGTACCTCGAACGCAAGCAGCAGCTCGAGATGTCATTAGCCACGACGGTCCGAAACGGCGAATTGGTGTGCGAGAGAAATCCATTGAAGATCTTCTTTCGGGACTGGTCTCTTTGGCTCATGCAGCTCTTGCCGGGTTATCGAGAGCAACTACGACACGGCCGTCGCGACAAAGCATCATTCCGGCTTCGACATTCTGCAGGCATGCCATTCATACCTGAACTTAACGGAGGCGTCTACTTGCCTCAGGTCTATTGTCGCACCCCCACCGGCAAGGTCCATTTTACCGACGACGCCATCTACCGTTCAGGCTCGAAGTCCCTGTTCCGCGTGTTCATTTACCTACAGAGAAATGATGAAGTCGCTTCTGCAAAAGACGCTCTGGAAGGGATCGAGGAATGGTCCCGCGGAGAATTCAAGAGCCACGACGTCCCGATCCTCGTGGAAGAGATGGACCCAAAGCACTCGATTCAGGTGCCGAACGTGTTCCAGATTGCCAGTGTTGAAGAGTTCTCCCGGTCACCTCTGTGCAGCCGGCGCCCTGCACCCCTGTCGTATGATCCGTGCTTGATCGGGAAGAGCATTCAGGCGAAATACGTGATTGTCCGACCGGACCGATTTGTGTTTGCAGCCTGCAACGAACCCAGGGAGCTGAAGGAGGCGGTAGAGTGGATGCTGAGGTATCTCTACGGTGAGGTTTGATTTCAGAGATGGCAAACCATGACCAGTGTTTAGTGTATGCTGTTATAGTGTATATACTCTTCGATATAATAATGAACCCCTCCTCTCCAATCCACGGAAATCCCGTCCCCAAAGGCAAACAAAGGTTCAACCTCTCCGCGGACAACCCGACCATCCTCACCGCTGAAGCAGCGGTCAAAAACCGTCCACAACGCCGGGCCTCCCACCTAACCACGCTTATCCAAATCCAGCCTAGCCAAAGAATTTCCTCAGAACGGCACCCAATCACAAACGCCTTCGAGTCGTGACCCCATCTCCCATTGGTCAAAGAATTTGATTGTGTCGGGATTGTCTCGGGATTCGTGGCCGGGCATTGAAGCGGGTCCACCCCTGACGAGGACCCCAATTCATTTCCCCTGATTCAGACACCCGTCCCTAACGTAACACCAGCAAAATCAGGCGATATAAGGCCACTCAAGCCTCTCGGCCGGAACCTGGACTTTGGGACCTGTGGCAAAATTGTGCTATCTGGTTCGATTGGCTGTATGGGTTCATCTGGGGTAGATTGATAACTGCCTGCTAGAGGCTGATGGACTCTTCCGAGGAGTGAGCATGCAGGTTGAACGGTTGAACGGTTGAACCCCCTCGGCTGGGTGGGGATCTGATGCATTTTTTGGGATGGTTATGGTTATATTTATGTAGATGCGAGACTTACATAAGTTTATGGTACTAACTTGACTTGGGTATACTTTGTTTGTTTGTGCTGTGCAGTTGAAAACAGCATGTAGAGGACTTCTGTAAGTATGGTGTTTAGCAGACTGCACCGCCAGTTGGCGCGGGCTCACGCCGGGTGTATATTCTGCCGATGGTATACTACAGCCAATACTGCAGAAATTCTAAGTGCCTGTTCCACCCTCAATTGAATATCCAGGTGTATTTTAGACGATAAGACATAGGAAAAAAAAAAAGAAAAAGGGCCTCGAGATGTAATGCAGTTTCCACACCCTATGGCACCCAGTGGTATCTGTAGCGCCAAAGCATGGTATAGTACTGTAAAGGAATATATTTGCCAAAAGAAAATACCGGCATTTGCTCCAGCCTTGATGTTGGAATAGTAGAAATTTTGGTCGAGAAGGTCCAAATCTCGAGGGTGCAGGCTTGTAAAGTACCATGTTCAGCTCGATTCGAAGCTCCAGGAACGTATCATATAAACATAAATGAATGACGGGGATCGGACAGGCGGAGCAGGAACACGACCACCGGGTGACTCGATTAGCCTTGCGAATAGCACCCGCAACCTGGTTCCGGATGACATCAAAAAACATCATCACCATCATCATCATCAGCCTTCGGAAACCCAAATGAAGATACACCATATAAAAGCTCATTTGATGCAGCAATCTCCCACTTACAGCTCCACCTGCTCGTCCTCCTCCTGCGGAAATCTACCAGATTCCAAACATCAGCGCTGACTACTTATCTCTGAATCGTACGTTGATATCTCTTACCAGAGCTTCAACAACATACTTCGTCGGTTTGACCCAGAAGCAGAGAAAGAGAGAACGAATCTTTGGAAGAGAAAGGACCAAGAAATGCATCACGAGTTCAAGCAAGGCCCAATCAAAATCACCGTCGGCCACGAATACGGAATCGGATACTTCATCAGCGTCCAGGACGAACGCCTAGTGGTGAAAGGGGAGGAACTCCCCTATTCCAGCCTTGATGAAGCGTGCTGCAACGTTGATAGCTCGGGGGCGGGCATATACCTCGCGGCTCGTACTGGGAATGAAGGATGCGGGACCCAAGTGAACATTGAGGCGATGAGGCGATTGTGGGAGCTATACGGGGTGAAGGGGGAGACGATACCGCTTTTGGAGTTGCTCGAGCTAAGGTTGTCTGATACTGTGTAGGGTCCACTAACCATGCTGCCACGTGCATGAGATCGCATGTATGCTATGTTTACGATACGCGTTGGGTCAAGATGTTGTGTCAAGCATGGGCTGTACATGCCAATTAAATTGTTTTATCCAAGAGAAACTAAATCAAGAAGGGGAAAGTATATGCACCGCATACGGTCAGCTCTGCTGTTGGTTGACAGCCATCTCACGCATCTTCAACAACTACTCAAGCGTCCAGCTTAGAAGTAGGAGGTATCAACCCAGCTGGTGTAGTCAGAGCCCAGGATATCCGTGATGGTGAGCTTGGCATCCAGCTTCTCGGCGAAGCTGGCGCGGGTGCCCTCGGAACCGGCGCCAGTGTTGGCGTACTCGCCGAAGGTGACGTACTCGGTGTTGGGGGTGGAGGTGGACCACTCAGTCCAGCCGAGGGAGTTGATGACGTTGGTCATGCTGGTCTGCTGGAAGACGACACGAGCGTACTCGGACCAGGGGCGGCCTGTAACCATGTTAATCTTTGTCTCTAGAGTGCGGAGGGCATTGAGAGAGGCAAGTAAACGTACCAAGGTAGTAGGTGCCTTCGGCAACGTCGTCGCCCTCCTTAGCAGCAACGGTCGACTTGTTGATCACGTAGTAGGAGGTGTCAGTCTCGGAGGAGCGGCCGTTGGCGGTGATGGAGGCGGAGGTAGGACCCTCAACGACACGGATGTCGACGTTCTGGAACCAGGCACGAGCATGCTGGCCGAAGATGAAGTCACTAGACGAATTAGTGCTGACTTCGTCTAAGAGCTGGCAATCACTTACACAGCACCCTCAATGTAGGAGTTGATGTAGAGCTGGTTACCGGTCTGGGCGAGGAGGGTATCCTGGTAACCGGTGAAGTTGCAGCCATAGTATCCCTGCTGGCCAGCATAGGCGGACAGGGCCAAAGCCTGGTGGCAAGCCTGACCACAGGTGTTGGCGACGTTGAGGTTGTAGACCTGAGAGCCGACGGCCTTGTTGCGGAAGGTGGCTGTTCTTGTTAGTCACTGATCGTCAATCAAATCAAAAGTGAGACTCACCAGTCAGATCATCGTTCTCGCCAGAAGCCTCGTAGCTAATGGCGTGGGTGATGGTAACCAAGTTGTCGGCGTAGGAGTCGGTGCTAAAACAACTATCAGCATTATGCTGATCAGAGGCAGTAACCCAACGTACTTCTCGGTCTGGCCGTAGATGATCACCTTGCCAGTCATGGCAGGAAGGTAGACCTGCTCATCGTAGGTACCCTCCTTGATGAAAATGGTTTGGGTCTCGGTGGTGCTGGTGCTCAGAGCATCGATGGCATCACCAATCTAAGCGAGTATCAGTATCGTGCCTTGTGCATAACTCATGCGGACATCCTTACAGTGGTGTAGTCACCACCAGACTTGGCGACGACGATCGCGCCGGAGGGAGCCGTGGTACGGCTGGCAGCCAGTGCGGACACGGCGAAGAGAGCGGAAGCCAAGACTGATTTAACCATTTTTGCGATTGATATGAGTGTATGATCGACTGGATCGGCGAGGTAAGGTTCAATGTAGAGAGACGAAAGGCCTTTTATACGTTCCGTTCAGCAGCATGCTTGCAGTCTGAGTGCGCCATTTCCCTCTTAGGTCGGTATTTGTCTCATATCCGTCAGGAGACTGGAGTGGGGTTTGCAGCGGGATATCTGCAGACCCCAGTTGAGTAAGGATAACTATATCTGAAATCACTAAGAAGGTTCAGGCAAGTCGACCGGCGGCTAGAGTCCGGTGGAGGCGTTCGAGGAAGCTTCTAATGCTTCTCAAGCCTAGTGGATCCTATCACCGCCCAGTTTTCTCCGTTCCTGGTGGGCGCTTCATTTGAAATGGTGCAATCATAGTAATCCCTGTCTCTGATTAATATCAACGTTTAATCTCCAATAATTAAGCTTAATGACAACCACAACGTGAGCATGAATAGTCAATGGGTCAAAACAAGGTGCGGTGAATTGGAGGGCCGACCCACTTCAGACCCGAAACAGGAGAGCTTTAGGGCTGCTCACAAACGCCGATCCCCGACGGTCGGCTTGTGGGGGCATCCAGGGGTGGCTTCAACAGTGTAACAGGGTCTCTTTGGAACAGAAAAAGGTTCGTAACTCGATCTCCTTCGTGAACGCATGCCCAGAGTGATCGATATCACCCTGAATTAATCCAGTGCTCCCAAGGTCCGAAGGCTGTGGCACATGGCGAATTCGGACAATGTCCGTGTCAAAGCGACGATTCTGCCCCTGTCCATGTTCGCAACCCCCCTGAAATAGAAAGGAAGTCTTGGATTTCCTGATTGGCGGGATTCCGGAACCAAGCACCGGAAACCTCGTGCAAGTTGCGCATGGGCCGTGGCTGCAAAACACCACGTCCGCAACATGGCACACCTTGGACACTTTTTCCACGAGTATCTTCACGGGAGCACCGACAGAGAGTTGAATCATTGGGCGATGAAAGTTTGAGTTTTGGTCAAGCATCAAGCGTTTACGCGCCTCCCCAGGCTACCTTATGGCAACCAATCCTGTATGAGTCGTCATTTTACACGTGTCTTGGCAGCATCGGGATATTGAGACCGTGTCCGGTAATGGATTCTGCATTTCATACCACGCATATTGCACCTATGGGTCGTCTGAATGAGAGAGCAATAAATCCAGAGCAGCTATCTTCGGTCTCACCTCCTGGCTCTCATTTGTGCGATATTGGATGGATTAAAAGGCTTTCCTCGGCGCCAATGTTCCGATATCCTGATAATAGTTGCGGAGTTTAATATGAGCTGACGTGGATCCGAGGAGCGAATACGACGGGGGATGAATGTCAATCTATGATTGGATCAGGGCATTCACCTACAATCGAATCCAAGCTTTAGTCACTTGTTGATAAGATTTGGTCATTCTGCAAGGAAGCATACCTACTAGCTGCCAAGCCAAATTAATTTGCGGAGTTTATAAGCTGACGTGGACATATCCCCAGACACGACACGAGTCCATCTGATGAATTGCACTTGCGTAGAGCTCAATAAGGAAAAGGTAAACAGGTGGAGGACTCTATCCCCGAGGCTGGGATACGGCCATCAAGATCAGAGAAGTACGCCCGTCGGGGGATTCGGGAGCTAGGTAGTTGAAACCAATGGTGCTGGAGGGCATAGGCGCGTCTGAAGGGTATGACTTTAGTGGGGTGATAACAGCAGCACTATGCTGGATAACTGTGAAGATTTCGCCGAGTTGATCCAAGAGGAGCTGTGGAGATCCGAAGAAGAGGAGCTCTCAATTGGAGGCAGTAGATGAAGGGGTTGACGGAAGCAACGGAAAGGCAAGTCAGTGTAGACCCGTGACCCACTAGGTGTCTATCCTACACCTACACCTCCGCTGCTCAAGCACTTTCGCGCCCAACCAGTCAGGCCTTCCAAGGGGCAAAACAGACGTTATGATGAGATATAGTCTTGGCCAACGTTTCCGTATCATCTTCCCCCCTTCCCTCCGAACCTCAAGTGCTTCTTCGTGCTAATCTTAGATAGAGGAATAGTGATATACAATGCCATGGTAGCTGACTCTTGCCTGAGCATCGAAAGTAAAAAGCAGCAACAAGAGACCATGTCTTTGATGATCATTTATCCCTGACCGCTCATCTGACTCGACGTATTAAATATGTACTTTATCTCCCGAACCGCGCCAGAAGATGCAATCGAAGTTCATTGTACGACGATATCTTCACCCAGTCTTTCACAGTGATGGATTATGTATACAAGTGGCACAGATTCTCAACTGCTTCGGACGGTCGGACTCCGTAGCAAAAATGGAGTCAATCGCCCACTTTAAAAGAGGTACGCAGGAGCCAGTCTGATTGCTCTGAAACTCCTTTCGTTTGTCGTGCACCTAGTGAAAAGAGGACAAGCTCGCATATGCCCATTCTAGTGATGAGCATAGTCTTCCCTATAATGAGACCTATGCTAATCCCCGTGCATGTGCGGCAAAGGAAGTCCCTATCTACATACTCCAACCCGGAGGGCAAGGCACTTCAAGTACTGTTGACTTGCGCAGCACCTCAACTTACATACGATCAACCATGCGCGGTAGGTCCAGTTAAAATAAGGAAACAAGAAAAGCTTGACTTGTCAGGTTGGATGTGTACGGTACGACCTGTTTCATGTGCGATTGCAGATCGAAGCTTGGCCGGTACCTTTGAACAGATGTCCCAAGCGGCACGTACAGTATATCCATGCCGCCCTGGGGCCGGATTGACTTGATGCAGCGGACCGGGTCGCTGCCTCATTCATGCCTGAGGCTGCATTTCACCACGATCGTAGACAGTGTTTTTGCACAGTACAGTCAGCTATAGAGAAATCAGAAGCACTGCATATCCAAAGACAAACAACCAAATCATAAACTTGAAGTCGAAAGCACCTGTAAACAGTTGAGCCAACCAGCCGGAATGATAGAATAATCAAAAATCACAGTTGAGCGGCAGAATGGGTGAGGCAGCCTCAGCGTTTCCCAGACCGGCAGGGTATCCCAAACGGGTTAGGTTGGGACCGACAAGCCACGTCTCAACCAGTTGAACGGTGGTGCCTGAGTCACCAATCAAAACCCCAGGTACACTCAGCCACAGCAGCCACAGCTCGCCCATGATATACTCCCATCATCTATATAAACTCTACAACTACCTTCATTCTCAATGCATTCCAACGATTACAATAGAGCATTGAAAGCAACGCCTTCTATCAAGCAAGAAACTCTTCACGATGGCCACCGACCCACCCACCCCCGAGATAACCCTCTACTTCGACCTGGTCAGCCCATTCAGCTACATCGCATTCCAAGTCCTCAAGGTACAGCACCACCCCTAAGCCCATCACCGCCCCAATCACTAAACACTCTCAAACCAGAACTCTCCAATATTTCAAAGCTGTAAAATTATCTACACCCCAGTCTCCCTGCGAACCATCCTCACCACCTGCGGGAACCCCCCACCCATTGCCGTCAAAAGTATATATCTCCCGCCTAATCCTGACCTAAATATTAACCACCTCACCACCACATCGACACCAAACTAACGATTAAAATCAACACAGACAAATTAATCTACATCAACCGCCACCGCCTGGCCTGGTCCCGTCGCCTCAACATTCCCATGTCCCAGACCGTACCTGCGGGTTTCCCCTTCCCAACGACCGATATCCAGTCCCTCCTTGCACTCGTCGCCGTGTCCCATCCGGGGAAAGTGGCGGAGGTGGTGGAGCGACTGTATGCCTCCGTCTGGGCGGATGGCGACTCGGCTTCAGCCACGGATTCGGAGAGGTACACGAAGGTTCTCGAAGAGGTGTTGGGCAGTGATGTGGTGGAGGTGTTGATGGCTGAGGTATGAAGTCCCTTTCGTCCTGGAGGTACCCAAGACTAGGTAGAGAAATGGGTTGTTCTCTGACCTTCGCAGGAGAAACAAACCGAAGGGAAGTCTCTGCTGGAGGCGAACACGCATCGAGCGATTGAGGAGGGGGCTTTCGGATTGCCGTGGCTGGCGTGCACGAGTCCTACCAGGGAGAAGGAGGGATTCTGGGGTGTGGATCATCTGGGACTGGCGGCGGAGTTTCTCGGGTTGGACGTTGGGATGGAAAGTGGATTCCGGATTATGATGAAGTGATTAAGAGTGCTTCTGAGATAGAAGAGGGGATCTGGAAACGTTTTCAGGAGGGGTGAACGTTAGATAGACAGATATAGACTGTGTGTAGATAATGTATAGTATGGAGGTTCGACTATGTGGCTACCGGCTGCAATATGCAATTTGATGTCGCCATTCCCGGCTGATTTACTTTCAAGTCTTGATAGTGAGGCCCATAAATGCTGCCTGATTAACTGAGGTCTGGTAACCCTATCGTGGTCAATTGTATAAGAAATATTACGTAGCGGGACATGACCCGGACGCAAAGAAATGTCACCAAACACACAGCCTCAAGTAACAAGGAAGATTTATTTCAATTGTAAAATAATCCCGAGGTTTGAAAGGATTGGCGGAGGACGTGATGCTTACAAAATCCAAAACAATTGTGATCGAAATCGCACGATTTGCGGTATAGTACAGCGGAAGACTTGAGAAGCAGATGGTGACCTGTCCATTCTTGTGGGTGTGTCATCATGATACTTTCCAAGATTGCAAATCACATGACAAGCCCGGGTGGTCTAGTGGTATGATTCTCGCTTAGGGATTCCAAACCCAAGCATATCTGCGAGAGGTCCCGCGTTCGATCCGCGGCTCGGGCCTTGCTTTTTTGCGTTTATTTTTTCCCTTACTGATAGACACCCGAACAGAAGAGTTGGGAATTGACAGCAGACAGAAGAAGAAGTACCATGGAAAAGATCATTCTCAATCTTGGTCAGATATAGATAACAGTGACACGTCATGCCAATTTGAATGAATCGCACGGCGCCTCCAGCCACTATCAGTCCAACTCCAACCCTATCGCGGCATCTCCTTCTACTGTTCTCTCTCCGCGTTAGTGCCCCCACCACCCGATACTTCAGCTGCAATTGTTTGATCGTCAGATCAATCAGCCCTCCGATAGTGTTAGTCTTGGTGATATGCGACAAGCTGATGTCGAGGCCCATGTTGCTCCGCATCCAGCTTCTCATTTCCATTGCGACGAGCGAATCGATCACAATCCCCGATCGCTCCGACTCACCCATGTTCTTTGCCTCAACCCAGTATGTATCAACAAGAGTGAGAAGTTCCGCAGTAATCAATTTCTGGGCCTCGTCAAGCTACAGCACGGATGGATCCCTCCCTGTCCGGATCAACAGATTCTTGACCAGATTGCTGGTGGCTACATTGCTTCCCTCACAAGAACCAATCTGTTCGAAGTGGGCATAGAAGGAAAACATGGCTTCGGGGGAGACAATAGCGGTCGCACACTGGGGTCCGACATTGGCCTGCTATTTCCGAGTCCCACGATCACGGGGGCCGTGGTTCGCTTGCCGCAGCTGTCAGGTCTGGTATCGGAATGAGAATACGATACCCAGATGGCCTGTTCGTAAGAACTATCTTAAACTATCTCTTATCATTAGGATTATAAGGGTTTATCTTCTTTTGCTTATAATTTTGCCGGCAGATTTCCCTTTTGCCGAGTGGCCGCAATAGTCTTCTGTAGGCGGTGAGCGACTCGAGAGCGGCCTGGCAGGCCGCAGGGCCTCGTCAATTGGGAAAAGTCATTCCATCGTAGAGTAGGTTTGAGATACAGAAGTACACATGGTGTCTTTGCTGCCTAAGATCAGCCTGACAATGGAATCCTGTCACTCAAGCACTCCACTTTCTTCTTTGAACTCAGAATCAAGCCAAAACAAAGTCTGTTCTTAGATAAGAAAGGACAACGAAGCCAGGGAGGTCCATATTAGAAGGACGTGACACCTTCATGCTAATGTGTCCAGCGAACTGGTGACTATGTCTGAGTAATTGAATTAAGTCTGTGCATAAAACCCTTCTCACAAAACTTTCGCAGCATATCATAGTATGCAGTAACAGCCCACACTAGCCAATATTCTACATATCTCATCGTGAATCATTCGAGTAAAAGCCATACTTTCACTGGGAGAAGACCACAACTCTGATATACAATTGCATAGCTGCATTATTATCGTCAATGGTGCCATAAGTCGAGCAAGCATAACACGGGTTTACATTTGTCAGTCTGATAATGTCTAACCACACAGCAATACCAGAAACAAGAAAGCAAAGTCCGCGGTCACCAGCAAGACAAGCCACCAATGACTGCAAGATCGATCACCACAGAAACTTACTCACCCTTCTCCTTCTGTTCATGCCGGGACCTGAGATGCCCTAGACACAAAGTTGCTAAGCCCCCAATCGTCGCCGCCTTCGCGATCTCAACCAGAGTGAGATCCAGCGACATCACCCGTTTCACCCACGCTCTAATCTCAATCGCCACAAGGGAGTCGATCTGGATTTCCTCGCATTGGTCCTCAGTTAAATCACCCTCTTTGGCGAGATGCGGCATGATCATTTTGCCCACCTCGATCACGATGAGGCCCCGTGTTCGGGGATCATGGACCAGGGCGGGATCTCGTTCGATGCTGTCTAGCAGCGTCTTCAGCTCGTTAATCTCCACCTCATGTCGCGATCCTTTCAGATCCATATTCGGGTAGAGCGCAAAACGACAGTCTTCGCGGCGCCAGCTCGGCCGGACCTTCGGGTCGTCAAGGGGCCTGGTGGTCCCGAGGCCAACGATGGACGGATTTGTGATCCTCGGGTCCTGATCATCCATGGTATGTCGGGGAATAGGCGGTTGCAGGATAGCAAGCTCAACCCCGTACAGGAATTCCCGCTCAGTCAGCATCCGCACCGCATGTCGGCGCAGGGTGTAGCGAAGCTTCGGGTCTTTGCTGATGATTCCCACATCCTCCACCGGGCCGAGATCGAGAATGGACGATTGCAGGCCGAGCTGGCGACGATGTTGGGTGAAGGCTGCCAGAAATGAGTTAGCAGCAGCGTAATTTGCCTGCCCCGGGAAGCCGTTGATTGCGGAAATAGAACTGAAAACAAGAAAGAAGTCGAGACTATGGTTGATAACGGCATGATGTAAATTCCAGGCCCCTTGGACCTTCGGGTTCAGACATGTCGTCCAATCCTCATAGCTCATATTGAGATAGCTTTGGTCCTAAAAAGATGAGTAAGTATGCATAAGCTGTACACTCTGAGAGACTCCTTACTCGTAAAACCATAGACAAGAGCATAACACCTGCCAGGGGCTTCGTGCACCTGGCAATGGCCTCTTGTACATCCTCAAGCACTGTCGCGCTTCCGACAACAAAAACAGCTTCGCAGCCTTGTGATTTGAGCTCTTCTCTGAAGCATTGATCGCTGTCTGACTGGCCGGCCGAACGTGAAAGGTAAACTATTTCGCTAGCACCTCGCTCGGCCATCCAGCTTGAAACTGCGCGACCAAGCCCACCAAGACCCCCCACCAACAAATATGATGACGAGGATGAGAACCGGTAGGATAGTGGAGCCGGTGTGGACGGTAATTCTTGCGCAGAATTGGGCATTCTGACCAAGATCTTGCCTATATGAGTTCCCCTTTGTAGATACCGGAATGCACTCGAGACTTCCGCAGCCTCAAAGACCTTTATGGGGTGGATAGGCTTAATTTTGCCTTCTCGATACCAGTCCCTGAACTGTTCTGATAACCTATGGAGCTGTCATGTTACAAGTAGGGCGGCAGAAGGGCCTTTGAGGTCACTCACCAATCCCAAGTACTGAGGTCTTCTTGAGCAAGCCCTACCATGTCCACGCCGATAAACGCACGATTCGAGTGAAATGGAGCCATGTCGAGAATACCATTGGTCAAGAAGTCTCTTTTTCCCAGCTCAATCATCTTGCCAAACGGAGCGACACATCTCCACGAAGCATGAAGGAGTTTACCTGCGAGCGAATTGAGCACGATATCAACGCCCCGTCCATTTGTCTCACGCATCAGATCGCCCACAAACGATTCGTCCCGTGAGTTGAAAATATCTGTCCTGCTGAATCCGAAATGATCGATCAAATACTGAACCTTTTCATCGTTTCCGACGGTAGCATAGACCTGGCTATGCTGTTAGTTTTGTCGCTCTTTATCGATGCTCAGTCTCACCTTTGCCCCAACAGCTCTACAGACATGGATTGCAGCTTGTCCGACGCCTCCACATGCCGAGTGGATCAACACAGTCTAGATACATTAACGTGATGTCGTGTTCATGGTGATTATGCACAGTCAAACGTACCTGGTGTGCTTGTAGGGTCCCGACACGAAGGAGGGAGTATAGTACAGTGGCGTAAACCGAAAGCATAGTGGATGCTTCTTCCAGTCCAAGCCCATCCGGGAGCTTGAGGCAATAACGTTGGTTGGCCACAGTCTTCGTCGTAAAAAGACCATTCTGGGTGAAGACGACTCTGTCACCGGGTTGAAACTCGAGAACTTGTGACCCTGTCCTGCAGACAACACCAGTCGCTTCGAACCCTAGACTACTCCGGTCACCGACTAGACCCATGGCAACCATAAGATCCTAGATCAGTGGTGAGCAGGAGACGCCCAAAGAGCCCAAATTGAGAACATCTTACTCTGAAGTTCAACCCCACATAGCGGACATCAATCTCTAGTTCTTCTTTCTCCACCGGTGGCTGTACCGTCTCGCACCAACGCAGGGTTTCCAAGAGCCCGTACGCAGGGATATCAAGCTTTTTGCACATGGCCTCGCTTTGCTCTGCTCGGGATGTCGATCTGTCACCTAGCGGCCAATGACACCGACCAACATATACAGTACCCTCATGAAGAACATATTCCTCATCGATGTCCGTACGGGAGAACTGCTGTGCCTGTTCTATCTTTTCAATCAAACGACGAATGGTGGAGTATACCCCGGTTTCAAAACGATCAATCTCGAATACTGTAAATCGTACATCAAGTTCCTGTCGTAATGTGCGCGTGAACCCGTGTATGAGACCAAAACGAGGATCCGGACAGCTCAGGTGTGATGGATGCGTAAGCCAGAGTATTGCACCGCCGCCGACGCTTCGAAGGAATCGTTGTAATGACTCGAAAGTCTCCTGTGTTATGTGATAGAAAAATGGCTCATCAAAGTCTAGGAGAGAAACAATAAAAGCGCCTTTGGAATGTTCTTCTCCCATCATCCCAGATGTCACACAATAGCCACACTGCACAAGAGATGTACTCAATCCCTGCATCCAGATGCTTCGAGTCCCAGTGTATACTATGTGCACAGACCCTCGCCGTGTCACTGTGCATTCAATTGGTCTGGATAACATAGTGAAATTCGTCTGAAGTGGGCGATCGTTGTCGTAGACGGCGGTTTCACTTCCAGTAAATCCCGCTTGCTTGAGCTCTTCATCCCACCTCTCCGGCGGCATAAAAGGTCGGTTTCGCCTGTCTGTCTCTTCTCCAAGCCACCAGCCTGGCAGAACGCCCTACCAAATGGACAAGCCTCAGCATGGATAGTCCATGATATTACCTAAACAAATTTAGAGACCTTGGACACTTACCATCAAAAAGTCTGTAATCGAATGATCTTTTCCAACAGTTAGTATGTGTCAAATAAACAAGGATTTGGCCTTTTGCCTTACCGGGGTTGAGCTCATGTAGCACTAGACGACCATCAGGACGCAGAAGATCGTGAACATGTTTCAAGGAACATTGCAGACTAGGGGTTACATGCACAGCCTGTTGAGACGTTGAATCATAAGAAACGAGCGTTGATACGCATGGGTTGAGGTAGCTAAGGAGAGAGAAACAGACATTAGATGCAATGACCAAGTCAAAGCTGTGTAGCTCAAATCCCTGCTCAGCAGGTGGTACGTTGATATCAAGGGTCCTGAAAACCAGGCCATTGAAGTCCTTGAACTTTTCTGCAGCAGAGACGAAAAAGCCGGGTGTTATATCAGTGGACGTGTAGGACGAGTATAGTCTAACACCATCTTGTGTCTGAAGGGATTTAAGTGCTTCAGATGTAGCACATCCAGTCCCTGCACCAATTTCGAGAATACAAATTCCTGGATTCGTAGTGCCCAGCAAGTACAGAAGGTCTTTTATCTGCTGTGGGCGGGTGATAGCATACCATTTTTCAAGTATGTTGTCCTCAAGAAAGACCTCTAAAGGGGAAGCTGTACCGAGCAGAAATTGCGCGCAATTCTCATAGACCTTTTCAAGCATGGTGGGAACCACAGTAAATTCTTGCGGTATGGGTTGGATATCTTTGAGAGTCTTACAAATGAGGCCTTTTCTCTCGTCAGCCCCAATTGACACCCAGTTTCGTGACTCTGGGAAGAAACTCTCTTTACCCTCTCCAATAATGCGAGCCTGGTTCATGATGTATGCTTTCCATTTCTTCATGTAGTCAGACCGGGGCTCAATCGAAATGATAATGTCTGCGGAGTTGAGAATCTGAAGAATGGCAATCTTGTTCAGCGCTTGCATCACTGTATTTGCTTTGGGGTCGGAGTAAATTGGAGCTCGGGGAGTGAGAAGCATATTTGAAGGCACGAAATCAATGTCCTTCGTCCAGACCATATGCGCGAACAACGGAACAACAGAGTCGCCAAAGGGAACCTCATCGTCGATGGAACAGAAAAAGACATTGCGCAGCGACAGTCTTACACAGTGGCCCGTTGATAAGGTTACATTTCCATATCGCTTCTCCTGGCCATCAGAGGAGATTGCAGCATGCACCTTCATCTCCTTTCCCCCATAGGTGATGTATATTTCCTCTATAGAGGCTGGAATTGCTAGCCCGGTCAAAAAACGCAGGAGACCATTTGACTGGGCGACGCTCAACAATTGTAAGCATTGATCTATCGCAATTGGATGCACGAAGTATCTGCTACTATGCCTCAATGCATCGTCGAGTATTGAGGCGGTCGCAACAGGTGCAGTTGGACTTGCAGATATTTCTTCTAGTCCTCGGAACCGGGGACCGTAAGCAAGTCCTTTCCTATTCAAAGCTTCGTACCAGGTCTCCGGGTTGATGGAACGAAGGTGGCTCTGTGATGTCTCGTCGCGTTGACGCTTACAGGATTCTGGCCTAACTTGGCCTTGACAATGTTTAGTCCACGAACTGCCGTCGTGGACCACAACGGACATGGAGTACCACTCTGAGTCTTCCATATCATTATACTTGATAGGCTTGAAGCTGGTGATGACCTCGAAGGATTTGCTCTCTTCCATAATCCATGGCGACTTGAGCATGAGGTTCTTCATGATGAATCCTTCTGTGGTCGGGAAAAGTTGCCGTACGGCTTCGCCTGCCATGGCGATATACCCTGCCGCAGGAAATACCACACTTCCTTCAAGAACATGATCACATATCCAAGGCACAGCATAAAGTGATAGCATGTTTCTCCATGTCGGCTCAAGTTCAGGTGTTTCTGTGACACGATAACCGAGAAGCTCATGGTATGGAGCCGCACCCAACCTCCATTCATGCACCGCTCTACTTTCACTCCATAAAGGCTTGCCCCGCACCCAGGGATATATTGGCAAGCCAGTCAGCACTTTGCTTCCTCTTTCGGGTTCTTCCAGGTTGAGTTTTACTGAGATACCGTTGCTGTGAAGAAGGCCCATAACCCTTAAAAGTTGAGCTTCGGGATCATTGTCGCCTCGTAAGATTGTTGGAACATATACGTGCTTCTGGACCGAGGATTGACCTCTGCATATTTGATTTAATGGGGCTGACAACACAGAGTGAGGGCCAAGCTCTATAAAAACGTGTGATTTTGTGTCACGCTTCAAGACCAGCTCAACCGCTCTTTCGAATAGCACGGGCGATTCGAGATTTTGACGCCAATATGAAGCTCCGAGCTCGGTGGGATTTTCCAAAATGGAGCAGGCGACGCTTGATGCAAAAGGCAGCATACGCCCCGTGGGGTGCTCCATATGCGATGCTATTAGAGACTCATATACGCGGCCGCAGCGTGTCATGTGATCTGTATATGCATTAAGATCCGCGGATATAACCCAGCATGCTGCTACTCACGAGAATGATAGGCCACGTTGACCTTGAGCACTTTACAAATTGCATCAGAGTTATGCTGCTTGATATCATGGATGGTACTGTCCAGTTGTTCATTGTCCCCAGAAAGCGTCACACTCTTTGGACTGTTGATGCAAGCAACAACAACACCTTCTCTCAAATAGGGGTCGACCTCTTGACAGCTCAGACTGACGGCATACATTGACCCTCGTCCCTGCTCAGTCTGAATAGCTACCCCACGATAGTATGCCAGTAAAATGGCACATCGCATTGTAATCGCACCCGCCGCATACGCTGCGGCTATTTCACCGCTGGAATGTCCTACCAAGTACTGTGCTTCCAGACCAAAAGCCGCTAGCACATGAAACAAAGCGATCTGAAAGGCAGTGCAAACTGGTTGAGTGATGTGTGCTTCATGGATGCGGGCGTCAATGTCCTTCGTGAACTCCCCTGTCAAAGACCATTTTGGTCTATCAGGCAAGCTTTGCAGGACGCTATCCATCTCATTAATGGCGCTTCGAAACTCCACAGACACTTTCATTAAAGCCCTGCCCATCCCTGGCCATTGAGATCCCTGACCGGAAAACACAAGTGTTCTCGGGTGTTCCTTCACTCTATAACTCTGAAACGCAGCCTCTTCAATCGGGTTATTCTGCCGTACTACAGCAAAAGCACGGTACTCCAGGTGTTCACGTCGTTTGCCAAGGGTATAAGCAAGGTCCGCAAGCACTCCAGGAGACGTATTTGCAAAATCTGTGATGGAGTGTATACGGGCTTGCAAGCTGTCCTCAGAGCTTGCGGATAGCACCAGAAGCTTGACTTCGTCACCACACCGTTCGACCTCGTCCACATCAGCTGCAGCAATGGATGAGTGAGACTCAAGAATTGCGTGCACATTGGAACCCCCAATCCCGAAACAGTTGACACTAATTCTTTCTTTCCTATCTCGAGGCCAGGGTACTGGTTCTGAAGGTAGACGGAGCTTGCCTTCCTCGAAGGGAATGTCGGGATTCAGAGACTGATATATAGTCGGAGGAATTACCTTCTGCTCCAAGCAAAGAGCACTTTTAATAATACTTGTAATGCCAGAAGCCCCCTCGGAGTGGCCCACGTTAGGTTTGACCTGTCACTTGTTAGGATGATCGCGTTGCCCCACTACCTTCTTCCACAATACTCACTGAGCCTATTATGATCCCCTTTTCCCTGAAAAGCTTGGCAATAACCGAGACCTCAGCTGCATCGCCTACTTCAGTCCCGGTTCCATGACATTCGAAGTATCCAGTCTCTGACAGGTCATCTATACCTGCTCTTCTGTAGGTTGTCTCTATCAGTGTCTTCTGAGATTGTACACCAGGAGTCGTAATGTTCGGTGTTCTGCCATCGCTATTCGTGGCGGTTGCTCGAATCACAGCTCGGATAGGATCATGATTTCTTAGAGCATCGTTCAAAGGTTTGATGTAAATAGCATTAACAGCTTCACCCCTTCCATACCCACTAGCCACATTGTCAAAGGTGTGGCACATCCCATTTGCTGAAATGACCAAATTATCTGACATTGATGTCATCAAAGTTGGTGAAAAGATCAAATTCGTCCCAGCGACAATGGCCGATGAGCACTGTCCCGATTGTAGTGCTTGACATGCTTCGTGCAGTGCTACCATTGATGCTGAGCAACCTGTTTCTATTGTCATGCTGATGAACACTCCTCGTTAGCCACACGGCCATAGAGAGATCGAAACTCAAGATTGGATGGGCAAAGACGTTATGGGGAATAAGAGTCTATTGTGATAGCTCCAGGCAGTTGATCATCGTAGTCATACCTTGGTCCACGAAAGTCGTACTCGTAGGAGACTCGATTGGATAGAGCAAAATCTCCTGTTCCAAGAACATAATATCGATCGGATGCCAGGTAATCTTTGTCTATCAAGCCAGACCAATCCCCACCAAAGACTCCAACATAGCAGCCAATATTTTGGCCTTTCCAGCGTGTCTCTCCTGCATTCTCCAAGCAGTCCCATACAACCATCAGCAAGTTTCGCTGCTGAGGATCCATTCGAGCGGCCTCATACGGTGGAATGGAGAAAAAGGAAGCATCAAACTCAGTTGGATCGCGTCGAAGAAAGTACCCATGCTTGGTTCTGACGGAATGGGGTCGTGTCGGGCTGTAGAATGCGTCGATAGAAAAGCGATTTCCGGGAATCTCACAGTGGCCAGTCCTTTTGTTGATCAGCATATCCCAGAAGTCATCAGTGGTTTCTACTCCTCCTGGCAGCCGCATGGCCATCCCCACGATAGCTATTGGCGTGCAGGGATATGAAGAGGCCACTGAACTGAGTCCCTCATCTTCGCCATCTTGGTTGACGCTTCCTGCCTTGAGCGGTTTCCCCGGGTTGTTTTGCGAGTCCATGTTCGGACTCTGTGCTTCTAGGCCCGTCTCTTGGTCGTGGCGTTTTTCCTCGTCGCTATTAGTCGTCGATGGGCGTGCTCGATAATCGGTGAGACAACGGTAGTTATGATACTTGTGAGTGTTTCCTGTCGTTGACTGATATCTTGCGAGCGTGTAGATGGCAGAACAAACGGTCGGAAGGCGATCTCTTCCTGCATCTGGGTCTCAAAGCGAGGTCCATTATCTTCTTTGCATGTGCTTCGGTAGCTGACCACAACATACCATCCGTCGACCTGTTCCCGTAGTTGCAACTGCACGATTTGTCTCACATGGTATCACCTCGCAATTCGATTGTAGTGCCCGAATCGGCTGCTGCCGTCGTCTTTCGCCATCGTAGCAATCCATCATATCAAGTTTATCAAGCTTAGCACGCAGGGCAGAAACAAGTACTTCCCTTCACGAGCTCACATGTCAAGAGCTGGTTTAAGGGATGAGTGGAATAAGGCGCTGGCTGTTGCAATCGACCGGTTGCTGTTGCACGCGTGAGATAGCGGCAAGCACTGTAACCACACCGGAAAACCCACTAAGCCCAAAGTGGCCGAATCACTGCCGCTTATCGGAGAGCTGCAGCGAGCGGGGATAAATCATCCGCCCCAAGGTACTCTTCTCTTCCTCACCAACCTCTCTACGTATTCCCCGATCGGCTCCTCACGGAACCTTTTACCCCCTTGCCATCTCATTACCTTTGCCCACCTCCGAGAATGTCACCCACCACTCCCCCTACCCCATCCCAAAGCCGCCTCTCCACGCGCATCTCGCTGCGGTGGCCCCCGGCCTCCGCCTTCGAAAACACCGACACAATCGTCATGTCCGTAGCGGGCTGGTACGTCGACCTCCGCATCGACCAAGCCACCACAACCATTGACTGGGCCATTGCTGGCCAGCGCGTCGTGGATCCAAATGACTCCAGTATGCACCTTTTGTCCGTACTCTGCACAGCACAACAGCATACTAAACCCCTTATCAGCCCGCGTACAATTCACACACGAGCTGGACTCCCGCAACTCCTTCGATGACGTCGACTGTGGGACTTTCTCCACGCTCCCGAACGGGGACGACCTGGAGAAAGGGTCGATGCCTCGGGCGGATCTACCCGGAAAACCTGTCTGCGAGTATGAGGAGGTGTGGCGGGAGTGGGAGTTCAGGCGGGGCCCTGAGGGGCCTTCGAGGGGGATTTCCTGGGTCTTGGAGTCGCAGACTGGTCCTGGTCTTAAGGAGGGTGAGGAGGGCGATGTGACTCGCACGTTCATTGGTCGGGTCTGGGGGACGTATCTCGCTCTCCGGCAGGTCCAGAGACATGTTCGATCGCCTGGTTCGAATACGACTGTTGTCAAAGATGGAGGGGAGGTGAGTGCCCTTCGGGAAGGGTGGGATGTCACTGAAGGATGGGGCATGAAGTACAATGTTGGTGCGGAAGCGAACAAGTTGCCATCAATGAAGGACATTCCTGACGCACAGGGATGGACCACCGGACAGACTGTCACAATTGCCAGGGTGCAGTTTACGGTACGCGCTTTCGAGGAAATCAGTGCATGAATGGTATATCTATTCACATCGAGTCATTAGATCTATGGCGGTCTATATACACAACAACGGAAGTCGTCAATCTACTGCTCGTTGCAGAGAACGTAACGGAATCTGGCCTTGCCAGCTTCCATGTCGACGATGGCAGTGTTGGCATCCTTCATGGGGCGCTCCTCGACCCAAGTGCGGACGTTTTTCTCCGCGGCCAACTCGAGCATCTCGCGGATCTCGTTGGGAGAGCCGATGAGGGAGCCGCTGAACTTGACGCGCTTGAAGATCAGAGCAGGGGCGGGAATGGAGAGGGAACCGTCCTCGGGAACACCGAGCTGAACGAAAGCACCGTCGCGGTCAAGCAGCTGGACGTAGTCGGTGATGGGCATCTACAAGACAGCGAATCAGCGAGCTGTTCAAGAAAGGTACGCGAGAGAACTCGAAGAAACATACCTTGGAGGAAGAAACGGTGGAGATGATCAGGTCGAGGGAGCGGGAGTTCTTCTGAGCCCACTCGGAGTCCTCATCGGTAGCGATGTAGGCATCAGCTCCGAGCTTCAGAGCATCCTCTTTCTTGTTGGCCTTGCGGGAGATGGCGACGACCTTGTCGGCACCGAGGGCCTTGGCGAACATGATACCGAAGTGGCCGAGACCACCAACACCGATGATACCGACGCGCTTGCCGGGACCGCAGCCGAAGTGCTTCAGGGGGGAGTAAGTGGTGATACCACCGCAAAGCATGGGAGCAGCGACGGCGGAGGGAATGGCATCGGGGATCTTGACAGCGAAGCGGGAAGGAACACGGTTGTAGGTGGCATATCCACCGTACGACTTGCCGCCGTTGGCGTACACGCCATTGTACGTGCCAACCATAGACTTGGGGCAGTACTGCTCGAGACCAGAGGCACAAGCCTCACAGTCGCCGTTGCGGCCCATGCAGGACTCGCTCTGAGCACCAACACCGACACGGTCTCCAACCTTGATGCCACCCTCGACCTTGGAGCCGACGCGGACGGCAACACCGACGATCTCGTGACCGACACAGCAAGGGTAGTTGGTGGGACCCTAAACAAGTTAGCAGACGAAAACACCATCCAATCGTGATCAAGAACATACCCAGCCGCTTCTCAAGGTGTGCATGTCAGAACCGCAGATACCGCAGTGAGTGATCTTGATGTCGATATCGGTCTCCTCCCAGGGCTTGGGCTCGAACTCCTGCCAGACCATGTTGCCCTCGGCGGCCTTGGGCTCGAGAGCCATCCAGCCCTCAAACTTGTAATCGGTGGAAGCCATTGCGAATGATGTGATGAGATGTGATGAGATGTGTGGGGTGTGGTGTGCGAGATGACAACTGTCTAAACTGCTGATTCCCCGGGGGTCATCGCTGCATTTATATTTGCATCCGCCCACCCAGGTCGGCGTAACCCAGGGAACTGCTTAGAAATTCAGCAGAAAAGTGGTTCAGTTTCTCTCTGCGTCGTTTTGCCTTGTGGTGGGGCCAATTTGTCTCCGAAGATCTGCTGTGAACAACCGTCAACAGAAGCAATGTGGATAAGGCGGGAGCCACATAGTGGCACCAGGGGCATGGCTGGACCGAGGCACACCCATGATTCAGGTCATCCAGTGCTAAGTCCGTTGGAGACGGGCATCCGCTGCGTGCAGGTCAGCAAGCACATTGCCATCTTGCCCCTGCAAAAAGTCGAACTGAGCGAATTCCGTTGGGCCCGGCAATACTCGGTACAAACCCGTCATTGGACATCGAGCGTCCGCTTCCCGCCGTGTTCTGGAGCAGTACCAAAGAAAACGCTGCCATCAAACCAGGGAAGCGCAGCCCTGCTGTCTGGAGCGCTAGTTGATTATGGTCTGAAACTGCAACCTGCTGACGCCCCACTCCGCGGAGTTAAGGGATAATAAGCTGCTGACGGTCGCGCAGCCACTGCCGGTTCGAGGAGCCCCATCCGGGCACCACATTCAGACCGGACCGCACATTAATTTCTGCTAAGCTTCTAGAAAGCTCTGCGTGTTGGGCTTAGGGAGCAATCGGAGATTTCGATTCCGCGAAAGTGTGGCTCTGACGTCATGTCAGCCGTGTGCCCCTGACGTCTTGGTTTGTGCACGCTGCGCACTGCACAAAGTTTTCTCGGGATCGCCACCGCTTCGGCACAGATTTGTAGCCGACCCTCCTCCGATGGTTTTCCGGATGCTGTCGTTCTCGACGCTCTGCACATGGAATTATGTATAGGACAGTGCCTTTGACTTGTGTACAATGCTTCAGATGTTCTTAATCTAGCTAGCTCAAAAACATCGCTACTCGCCTTTATTCTAGACAATCGAAGTATTCGCTCTCTGCAAAGCTGACATTGTCAATGCACATCTCACACTGCGATCTGCCAGTCCGTAAACGCCGATAACTTATCTTCAGGTATTAATCGTCGAGGGCATCAATCACAAGTCCTATACATTATTACTATTATCGTCGTCCTGTCTATAGCACGAGGTACACTCAAACCCGGCTTCCTCAACATGCCAACGGCCAATCCAGTCCACAACCACACCACATAACACAACCCAGCCCTCATCCCCTCATCTTAGCCCCCCAACCCCAAATAAAGCATCACCCGCCATCAGCTAGGTAATGTACCGACACTAAACCCCCCTCACCCCCCTAACCAAAAAATATAGCACCTGCGGCGCCTCGCCCCCGAACTCGGAATAATCCGTGGTGACCGTCTCCACCACCCTAAACCCATGCTTCAGGTAGACCTTCAACCCCGCGGGCTCGGACATGACATACGTGCGGAGACCGTGGCGATCGGCGACCTGCAGCCCGCTGGCGACGAGCATGCTTCCGACGCCGCGGCGCCAGAAGTCCGGGTGGGTGCAGAGGTAGTCCAGGGCTAGAGGGTTGGGTTGCATTAGCTAATGTCATGATACCTTGGTTGGGCTGAGATAAACGAGACTCGGGTCACAACTCCATTGATTACAAGTTGCCACCTTTCGTATCCCAAACTATACATACAGTACACCTCCACTTACCCTTTCACCCGCACACGGAGGCTAGAGGGTGCAATTTTTCGGATAAACAACAACAGAAAGCAGACGTTATACACAGTATAGCTCTTGAAAGGATTAGAAAAAAAATTGGAAAAGAAAAGAACTTACTCAGAAACTCCTCCCCTCGCGTAATCGCCTCATCCGCCTCCTCCAACGGCCGACTCCGGAACTCCATCAGCCCGTTTTTCTTCATTCCCGGCACTTGGCCCCCGTCACTAGCGGCATCGAAGTTCTTCTTGAACTCGCGAAGATCATCGTCGCTCACAGCTTGGACCTGCGCCTCAGGCCAGAAGGTTCCCTCTTTCCCTGTCTTGTCTTCCACGCTTAGTAGTGAGTCCGGGACGATCCACCGCGCGTACCCAACCACCGTCTTCTCTCCGGAGTCATCGATGTAGGAAACCATCTGGTGGCGTTTGCGGTCGCGACCACTGGCTAAGGAGAAGGGGAAGCGGGCGGTGACGTCGGCGATGATGCGAGCTGGGTTGGGGTCGGTCCAGAGGAAGACCCAGTGCGGGTCTGTCAGGCGGGCGAGCATGATGGCGCGGGCGATTTGCGGGGAGTCTGCGGGGGTGCAGCGGGTGAGTGTGAACGACATTTTTCGTTGTTTCGGAGTTGGATTGCGACGGTGGTAGGGATATCAGTCGTGCGATTCTTTATGGGGTGTTGCTTTTGTTAAAATGAAAGTGGGCGAAGCGAGCAGCAGGCTAATTTCTGTGTATAGGCAGAAGGATGCATTTTATGGACGGCGGTGAGTTAAGGAAAGGTGTCCAGTTCTTATCTGTTGGTTAGATCTGAGGATAGGAAGGTGTAACTGGTCAGCAATGGTTAGTGCTTACCTATCCATGGCTGTTCGTGGGCACCGTGGTGCTTACTGAAGTGAACTATAGAATGCTTAGTAGTCAACAACGGGAGGATGAAGCTAGCAACACGGCTGGTATAACTTCTTCCGCTACACGATCCTTCATCCACTGCGCACTGAATTGGCTGATTACCCAAGGACCCTCAACCCCTTAGCCTGATAAAATGGGGTATGGTTCTCGTCAGAAAGGCTTTGAGCACAGAGAACTTACGTTGAATCTCTAGCATCTCCGATGCACACACAGCCACACGTTTAAAATCTCGGATGCAAGTCTCAGTATGAATCTCATGACAGGAGCTGCTGATCAATTGAGGACTCAGTCCAAATACTCCAATGAAATCGCCTGCACGAAATGTCCATTGGCCAAAACGAAAGCCTGATAGTCCTCGGTCGTAGGCGATTTGGCATCTCAAATCCACCTACCCAATATCTCGAACTTTAAACTGCAGCTGCGACGAGCAGGCATTGGCACAAAAAAATGTAATTCTGTCTTCGCTTCGTGAGCTGGAGGATGTTGCATATCTTCGCCGACCTTCTGATCTCATTCGAAGCGTGAGTTAATAAACACTGCTCCAGCGTCCTAAGGTTGAGTAATATCGCTCATGTTAGCCTGTCTCTTTCCCGAATTGATATCACCACAGCTTACCACGGCGTGTGAGCGATAATCTTGAGAGATCATGAACCTGTTCATCGAGGTCTGTCCACGCTGTAAAGAATCGTTGCCATCTGACTAGGTGCGTATCTCGAGAGCAATAGATATCGATTTATCTTCGGGTACCTGCGTGATATCCGCCCATCACCGTTCTAAAATGCATAAGAAGCAAAGCCCGATGGTATAGATACGCTTTAGTCGGAAAGGACTCACATTGGGTGTGACTATAATGCGATAAACCGATCGACCTGCAACCTTGCGACCGTAGAAGCTCTATTCCGGCCAGACGCTGATCGTGGTATCAACCTCGAGGCGGAAAACATGAGCGCCGTTGAAACGATTCAAAGCCACTGAGAGACTTTCCGATAAGCATGGCCAAGTCCACGGAGTTCTGGGCATTGAAAGCAAGACGCGTAGTCAACGACCAAGAAGGCCAACCACTACATTTGTAAGATCGATATTGCAACATTGCACGATCGCATACGCCTTTTCGAGTGCCTAGGGCACTGTGAGGTAGTAATAGCATCACAGCACGATTGTCGTCATCATCCACCGCAAATGGATCCCTGGGACGATCCGTGTTGGCGCCGTGCGGGAACGGTTATCTTATCGTGAATGCGGGCGAAATGACGCGGGGTGTGGGGATAGGCGATAAGATAAGCACTGCATACCGCGAGACGTCAGCTTAATATCAATTCAATCGAAAATCGAGAACTGAAGACGCGTTTGAGGATGAGAGATCTGAAGATGGGTATGGTGAGTCTTGTCGGTCAGTCGCGGGAGACACGGGCGCAGGGATCAGGCCGGGCAAGTTCCCTACGTATACACGTGACCGCGAATAGGAAGGGACGAAGTGCCTGGATCCAGTCTTGCGCTGAAAAGCGTGGTTCTTTTCTCACAAAGTTTGTTGTAAGAACGACTATCAAGGTCAATTGGACGATTTTAATGCTGGTATGTTGTAGATCTAAACAATGTGGTATAAATCATGGTTTTAACTTTGTGCAGCATAGCTAAGTGTTTTGTGGTTGTAAATGGCAACTCAGCGGACGAGGTGGGTGGTACTTTGACATTGAGAAGAACTTCAATTTGATGCTAGCTAGCTAGATACGGAAATAGCTTCAGAAGAGCTCGAAGGAGAAGTTGTGGGGTGGGAGCGGAAGGGGGGTGGCGGATGTGGTGGATGGGGAATGAGCAGCTGCGCGGGCTCGACACGCAACCTACAGAAGGGCGATGGGACGATTGAACGGGATGGGCTGCAATAGCTTCAGCCAAGAGGCTACCAATTCATCCATGTCCCATCATCGGGTATGCCATCATTTGTAGGAGAACTTGGGTCAGGGATAGCTTCAGGCTGGCCTAACAGTCGATGGAACCCCCCGGGCATCGAACCGCTCGCAATCATATACTGATCGCAGTGCAACGCCTCAGTCGCCCTCTGCAGTGTGCTGGCGCGCAGTCTGTATAGCTTCATGCGTGGCCAAAATAGTAAAATTATATGGCAGATGTAAAAAAAAGGCCAGACCAGTATAGTTAACGATCCCATAATGAACCAAGCTGCCTCCGTACGTTTGCGACAACGGTGCTGGCTAACACCCTGTCTACCATCCGAGTTGAATCGGGGGCCGTACCACTAGGAAGGCTCGCGCACCAGCTTCAAATTCGAACAGATAGCGGTCTGAGCGAGATTCGAACGAGCGTGGTCTCCAAAGATCCCGGCTCTAGCGGAGTACACCGTGCGAACATGGGCCTCCAGCCGTTCGGCCATCAGCGGTGACTGGTTTCGAAAGGAGATAGTTACGGGGGGGTATAAGGGAGCAGGCGTAACGATTTCAGGCACCCAAAGTTGGTGCCTGAGGACGGCAGCCTGAGCGCAGGCGGCTGGCAGTGGCAGCCCACTGCAGGCGAGAGAGCCTGGCTATGGCCCCTGGTGTGCACAAGACGACCTGGGGGTCAGTCAGAGTGCACACGGCAATACAACATCCATCGAGCCGTATTTCCAGTATGCAGAGGTGAGATATATGCCCTGATATGCCCAGTGCAATGACATGAACGGTATCCATCGAGGAGTATAATTGAGGCTGCAGAAAATATTAGCATCGATGCCGACTGCATACGTTGGAGGACTTGGAATACAGTACCCTATGCAACTTACCCCTCAGCGAAAGCAACGCAGACTCCAGCAATCCCAGCACTTGAGATCCTAGAGGATGGTTGCAATCACATCGTAGCTCTTCGCACATGCCTAGATCAGCCAAATTAGCCGTCAACATGTCTCTTCGTGCTCAATGGCTCTTTCGACAATATGCTACTAGGGCTACCCCAGGGGTGGTATAAATTTGGCTAACGCAACATTGACAGCAGATAGCACAAATAAACCCATTCCTAGAGCATCCAAGTGACAAGTAGTTGAGTAGACAGACATGAACTATCAAACACTACTACATTGCCTCAGCATTGGCGGTTGGCGATACCTCGAACGAGGGGCATTGAGATCATCCTATTCTTGCAGGGTTTTCAAATGCTGCCGTGGCCTCTTAGCGAGCGGCAGAAACAAGCGACCGCCTGCCCCCCCCCTACCCCAACAAACACGACAAACATGACCTCCTCGGCTCACCAGCAGCAACACCAAATCAGCCTTCTATCATCGTGCATTATCTAGGCTAGATTGTAAACTGGTTTGGAGCACAAGACTTCCTTGGTCGGACGTTGAGGACTCCTTATCCCTCGAGTCATTTCTCTGAATGCCACGTTTTGACTTGGTTGGTCGGGATGTAGATCCCACCCTTCTCCACATGGTCAAACTATATACTTTTCTGAGCCTTCTGTGTGACTCGAAAGAAGTACCTAAACCTGCTTCAAAACCTCCATGATAGTCCGGCGAGATTCACTCCGAGTTGCATGTGCCAGGGATGTCGAAATGTAGGCGTCACCAGTCACAAGATCATGAAATTCCTTGACAAGAGGGAGCATTCCAGCTGCATGTCAATGCAGGAATCCCATTTCGGCTGCAGTGTAGCGTCAAGAGTACCACATCAGGAACTATCAGACAATTATTGGCCGAGTGACAGGGAATTCAGGGCTGTTTTTCCCTCGTGAATGAAGTTTGACATTTTGACATTGGCCAGGTATAAATGCATTCCCATGACTATCCGACTTTCTATTATTTTACTGAGCCGAATCATTCGACATCCTGTGCCTCGATATCTTCGAAATGCTCGAAAACAGCGAGCTAGCTCCTCCCACATTTACCCCATTCCCACTGACTCCATTAGACCATCTGTTGCCCCGGCTTCATATGACATGTTTTCCCTATTTAGCGACGAAATCGCCGGCTGAAGACGCTTCAATCCTGAAAGATGGAATTGAGCTCTTGGTCACGCAAAATCCCATCCTTGCGGGAGACGTGTGTCCAACATCGCAACCAGAAGGGAAGGCTAATAGATTTGAGGTACGACCGCCGACAGAATTGAGTATCAAGGAATTTCCTCTTGTCCAAACACGGGTGCACGCTCAAGAGTATTTCTACCGCCAGAAGACGGTTTATTCGCATCGTGTCACCAGCAACGACCTAGGCCAAGCCAAATACCGGCCCGTTCCGTTAGATGCAGTCAATCAGGAACGCGCCCCGGGACTTCGGTGGCAACTGAATGTCTTCGAAGACGGTATAGTGATCGGAATATGCTTTCACCACTTGTTCGTCGATGCGATGGGCGTGTATATCATTCTTCGATCTTTGTCTGCATGTTGTCAAGGCTTGAAGCACCCTCGTCAACTCGCACTCCAGCCTATTGATAGCGACTGTCGCAAACGAATCTTTGAGATGGGCCAACAAGCGGAATCCATGCCAGGGACCCGACGGGTCGACATCTTCCCCAGCATGAACACAGCTCTCGACATGACCGTGGGCAGGATTCCGTGCCAGCTTGTGACAGTCCCTTTTGAGGTGATAAGTCGTCTCAGGGAGGCCTGTCAAACTATCACAACGGATTTGTTAAGTTCGGTGGCTAAAGATGGCGACCCGAGTTCTTCGCAAGCACCTCCAATATTCTCCGATAGTGACGTAGCCGCAGCCTTGATGTGGCTCTGCTGGGCGCGATCTCGATACCACCAACCTGAACTTAGACCTCAACCAGACGAAACCTCCATGATACTGATGATTGAGCTTCGCCAGAGAGGCGTACTTCCACTAAACTACATTGGAAACGCCGTGGCCCCTGTCATCGCATCCGTGCCTCTTTCTCCCGCCGTCAACTCTCCCTCCAAGGCCACCACTGATTCTCATCACACCTCCTCAGAGAAGTACCGCCAGATACCAGGACTCAGCACTTACGACCTCGCCCTTCTCGCAGACCTCACCCTCCGTGCTTATAAGGCGAGTGTCGGAGTCAATGAAGAATACATACGAGGCCTCGTTCGGGAAAAGTATATCAGCCGCGACTGGCAATCCTACTATCCTAGCGAGGGACAATTCCTCTACAGCAACATGCGCTTACTGAATACATCCGGACTCAATTTCGGCAAAAAGCTCGGAAACATCGTGCGATTAGAGACCCTTGACTTCCGGACCAACGGGCAGTGTTGGGTGTTGCCAGCTGCAACGAGAATGGCGCCCTGGGAGTTCCGCATGTCGATGGAAAGGGAGGACATGAAGCGGTTCCTCGAGGATCCGTTGTTAGTTTGGGCAATGGGGAAGAATGCGGCGAAACTGTGAAGGGTCGATGGGGCGATTACTTGGTGAGAGCGATAGTTGCATGCTATACTTGGACATACTTCTAGACTGTTCGTGCATATTTATGGAGGCCAAGAACCGAGGTATATACTTCGTAGCGGAGATATACAGTTTGAATGCAAGATGGCAGCCTTAATCCTCGGGTGTCGGACCATGATCAATAGTCGCGTATCAGTTCAAAACAGGCGCGTGACCCCGCGTTCGATGACAACAAGACAAAACACCAACAGCAAACTGACCAACCTCAATCGCACTGATATTCTTTGAACCTACCCTGCCCCCTTGATTTCTAAAATGACCCGCGGCAAAGAAATGACCCCACAGCTCCGCTCCCGTATCTGCGAGCTCCACTCCATCGGCTGGGGCGCGCGGAAGATCTCCCGGGTGCACCCCGAGCTGTGGCTGAGCGGCATCAAATACACCATTCGCAAAGAAAAGGACCGTGTGAACTGCATCACGTAACCACGCCCAGATCGACCTAAGAAGCTCTCCGAGGACCAGCGGGCGCTTATCAGGGCGATGGTCGAGGCCGACCCCGCCGTCAAGAGTGCAGTCCTTCCGCAGGCGGTGGGAAATGCGATTACCAAGCGGTCGCTGCAGCGGTTGCTCAATGAGAAGGGTATGGGGCTTCGGGCGTGATGTGCTTGAAGGCGCGTTGCGATATTGGTATTCCTTCCGGCGAGAGGAGATGCACCAGTGGGTTGCAGGTGAGTTGTTGACGGAATGGTCAAACTACATGGCTGCAGGTACTGAAGGTACATTACTACAGGGCTCTTTCCCTTTCTTTCCCTTCGAAGCGGTACTAGCTTTGTTGACTCGAAACTGACAGATGGTGTACTTCCGTTCCTCTGCACGCCATTTATTGTCGAACACAAGTGACAAAGACACAAGACCAAGGCATTGAAGTGTCGAAGCCTCTTATCCCTCTCGAAAGACACCACCCAACTGCCCCGTCGTCTTCTTCCCCCATCAGAAATGGAAATTCTTCCTTTCTGGCCACGCGTCTCCTTCATCACTGACCCCTCCCTGAATCCGAGGTATGCGTCGATGAGAACTGCTGGGTCATCGTGGCATCTGCGCAGTTCTTCTCGTTTTCGAGGAAACAATGCTTTGTATTCGAAGGGCCTTTGTCCTTGTGGCGTTTCCCATTCTCACAATATGTCTATATAAGGACCGGAATCGCTATGCTTTGTCAAGTGTTTGTTGCCGTCCAAATACTTTGCAATCCTTCTCATGATCACAAGAACCACCAGTCTCTAGGACGCACACTCACCAAAATGTCATTGTATGAAGGGGCTCCGAGTCACAGCGAAATCCAAGTGATTTCCGAGCGGATCGACGCTGACTCAGCAGCCGGGCGTAGTCCCATCCTCTACGAGAATGAGATTCGGAACTATCTAGGCGCAAGGGTGCGGGGAGTGGGCGAGCGATTGCTCCGAATGGAGGGGGCAGACGTGAAATTGTGCAGCGGCCGCATTACTGCGAGCGGCATCGGCGACCGGTCGATCATCGAGGCCATTCTCATCCAATCGAGAGGCGTCCCACCGGTGCGGCCCTGCAGTTGTTGTAGGAACAATCGCTTTCCGTGCACGTTCCCCACGTGCCTCCATGTGCCTGATCCCCTGACATTCCAGGGCATCTGCGGCAACTGCAAGGCTTCGGGTCGGGCGTCGAGAAATTGCGACGCCATGAGCGCTTTCTTCGAGATGGAACAACAACAAGCACACATGGCACAAACGTTGCAAAGCATGGCGGACGATAGCAATGCTTCCCAACTTCCGAACGGCGTCCGAACGGTCTCCCAAATGGTGCTTCCTAATCGGACCGTTAGTTTCTGAATGAGGCGTTTTCGACGTTCCTTGCAGAGTCCCTAATCATTGTATAATTACATTCATCACCTGAAAGAACCTCCACCTTCTAAATTGTGTATTATTGATGCAAGGTATTACAGTTACGGAAAAAGCACCCGCAGCTTGATTGTTCGCCCCCAACTACCCTATCGCAGCGTGCGCCAAATTCCGCGCGTTGCTTGTTCTTAAACCATCTAGCTCCAATTGTATTCATCTGTCCGCGGATGCGAGCCACCCAGCCGTGCTGGAGTTCCGGACGAGCGAAAAGACATTTCGAATAACGGCGCGGGCTACGGGCGTCGCACAGCAGTGGAAAGTGCGGGTGACATGCTCTCGGCCTCTCTCGGTCAACGAGAATCTCGACTCGGGAGAAAGAGGAGAGGCGAGATCGGGATAGATCGCCCCACACTGATGCTGCGAGCTAGGCCGGCGGAGGAGGCTTATCTTCCATTCCAAGCGACGTTGTTTCATTGGGCCGTTTGAGGATGTCAGGTATCAATGGCCTTCGGATAGTATGGTGCCACTGTTAGGTATAGGAGCAATCAGCACAAACCATGCAACGTACTGTACAGTGAAAAGATTTCTGGACTGGATCGAAAGCGGCGAAATATACGAAGCTGAGCTGTTCCGTGGTGCAGAATCTCCATCCCTTCCAGCCGGCAGTTTTCTGGGACAGTGGAGAGAGCTCTCTTCCCCTCACCTCGCCGCTTACCATACATTAAGCTTATATGTAAAATTGGTCTAGAATCTAGAAGTTCGACCAGTTTACGGTATTCATCGTGCGATGAGTCTGTATAACGTGGTACCTACCAAACCAGAGCCTACAAATATGAGGTAGGTGGCTAGACCCCCACTGCTTACATTTCGGAACTCCATAAACAGCTTGTGCAGAACCACAAACCCAATCGATGATAAACTGCTCCCAGTCGCCACCGTCGGAATTCTAGGAACCCTAGGAATCTTGATCTAAGCCGCACATTCGATGCAGACGGGAAAGATCTATCGAATCTTGTCCTTTCAGTGACCCGCAGCGCAGACCGAATGGGGAAGGCGGTGATTACGGCCCAGGTGGGCGGACAGGCCAAACGGTCTAGACCCCAAGCTTGACCCGGTTGGGTCAAGCCACACTCTGCGGCTGCACCTGTGACGCAACTGCCGCCGGACGCTGCTTTCTTGAAGGCGAAACAAAAACTTCGGGAAGTCAGTCGGGGGGGGATCGCAGTTCATTATTGTCGCATGCCCCACACACGCTGACTTTTGTTCATTTCTCATCATTACCATTTCTTTTCTGGGCTCTACACCTTTTGCAAGATTAAGGGTACTGAACAACATGGACTGAACGAAAAACAGAGGTTTCACGAGACGGACAGCAGACAGGAAACACCGCATCTAACCTGCAGGTTGACAGCCCCCCCGAGGTGTCGACGCGATGGAGAACGTAGCCTCTCCGGCTTCCCAGCAGGAGGAACACGAAGCGGATCGTCGCGCCAGGGAGTTATTCCACTACTTCCAACCGGACAATCCTGCTTTGCTCCCTGCTTCTGAGGGCACTGATCCACACGGCTCGACCTGTGCGTACGCTCGAGCCAGTCCAAATCTTGTCCTTACTGCCTTGGCCCAGTTAGCTGCGGTCAAAGTAGGCGTTCAGCGTGCGATCATTAGGTACGTTGTCCACGCTTTGTCCTCTTTCCAACAAGATTGCGATGCGACTTGTCCTTCACACAGGCCTGGCCTTCGTATGGGTTGCCATTGCTAACTTGTCCCCAGCTTGATCGATCGCGAGACGCTCTATGTAGTGGCCGAGGCATCACGCTCGCTAAACCTGGGGGATAACACACTTTATGAGGATGATGGCGACGGGCTCTGGATGGGCTGCTCCCGAGGCCCTGTTGCTGGCACTCTATGCGAGGTAGCTACTCCTGCGACCCCAATTCCCCTAACTTCGCCATGCTGATTGATCTGCGCCAGAAAACAATCACCCTATTATCAACCACAGCGGACAAATACCCTTTCTTTATTGTGGAGGACTTGCAACAACATCCCAAATTCTGTCAGATACCCTGTGTGTCCGGTTCGCCTTTTTTCCGCTACTATGCCGGCACACCCCTGATGACCAGTAGTGGTATCAACATTGGAAGCTTATATGTCATCGATCCAAGGCCCAATCTGTCCTTGACGGCCGCTCACAAGGAAAGCCTTGGCGTGATAGCCACCGGAGTGATGGAGTATCTGGAAACCTCGCGGCAGTCACTCGAAAGCGCTCGTTTGATGAAAGTCTTGTCGGGGCTCAACTCGTTTGTTCAAGACCAAGGCAAAGAAGAGTCCCCGACCGCAGCCATTCCACGAAGTGCGAGCCCTTCTGACCTTGACCGATCGCGAACTCCCAGCCCTCGGCCCGTTTCATCGCTCGAGATCGACCCGGAGCTTCCCCCCCGAAGTACGAAATCGTCTGTCAAGACTACAAGCCCGGCACAGAACAATAACTTCTCTTCTGCGGATTCTGTACCGTCAAGCCCCACGAAACAGCAGGCTCCGTCTAACCGACCTGGCATCAAACCTCATGCATCGTCGTCCGGGAAAAGACACGAGGTATTTCAGCGTGCTGCAGACCTCATGCGTGAAAGCCTAACCCTGGGAGATGAAGGAGGGGTCGCAATTTTCGCTCTCAAGGACAGGTTTGACATTGATGAAGACGAAGGATTGCTAGACAGTACGACCACCGGATCACGGCCCGCCGCTACTACCTGGGCTATTTCGACCCGTAATGTTCACAACTCGCCGTGGGGAAATGAGTCAGACCCCACGCCTGCCAAGCAAATAAGTCGGCACTTTCTACGGCGGATGATGCAGCGTTTTGGTAAAGGAGCTTTGTGGTACTTCCATCGCGATGGAACAGCCTTCTCGTCCGACGAGGAGACGTCCTCGCAGACTAGTAACCAGCCGGCCTTTCAGTTGCCGTCATTACTCCATCCGCGGGATCGGGACACGCTGAATGGAAGGGACTTGGGTCTCCTGCAGAGCTACTTTCCGAACGCTACGCGCATTATCTTCGCCCCCCTGTGGGATGCATCGAACTCGCGTTGGTTTGGCGGCTGTTTCTGCTGGAGTTCCGTGGAGACCCGGATTTTCAGCCCCCATGTAGAACTGGGTGGCGTGCTCGGGTTCTGTTCCTCACTGATGACGGAGGACAGTCGTATCCGGAGTCAAGAAGCTGACAAGAAGAAAGGAGATTTCATCAGCAGTATATCGTGAGTTTTCTTGCTTCCCACTGTGTGACTGTTGGACTGATTGAAGGGGAAACAGGCATGAACTTCGGAGTCCTTTGCATGGAATTCTAGCCGCAGTGGAATTTCTCGCGGAACAAACGCTGTCCAGCTCAGCTCGGTTGCTTCTGGATACTATTAGGGCGTGCAGTCAAACTCTGTTGGATACGTTCGAGCAGATTCTTGATTTCAGCAAAATCAACTCATTCAAGCGGAAGGCCCGGGTGGCCGGTACATCGCTGTTGCAGGATGGAAGGGATTCTGTCGCTGCGCAATTTGGTCCACGCTCATTTTATATTTTGAAAGTCGTGGACATTGTGACAATCGTCGAGGACGCGATCGAAAGTATCTGCGCGGGGGCCAATTATCTTAATATTACTCGTGCTGGTGACTCTTCAACCTCGAAGCCGTCCTCCCCCTTAGGAGATAGCTACGGTGGCAAATCTGAGCACGTCGATATCACTTTGGATGTCGGCATGGATGACTGGGTTTTTGTTTTGGAACCAGGGGCCTTGCGACGTATTGTCATGAATGTTTTTGGAAACGCACTGAAGTACACCCCAACCGGGTCCATCTCCGTACACATGGAGATCCAGAAGGATAGCAAAAACGCATCTCGCGATGGGCATGACACTTTGCTTCTGACTGTATCCGATACCGGTAGGGGTATCTCCCCCGACTACCTTCGATATCACCTGTTCACACCTTTCATGCAAGAGGATCCTCTGTCCCCTGGCACGGGTCTTGGTTTGTCTCTTGTCCACAGCATCGTCCGCTCTTTGAAAGGCAATATCAAGATCAAGAGTCAGTCGGGAGCGGGGACGGTGGCCAAGATCTCGATTCCCCTTACGAGGCCCGAGAAAGAAAGTGTAGAGAGCGCGACAGTGCTCGATGACCCGCTTCTCACCCCCTCAGCAGGTCTCATTGATGGCGTGAAGCAAGAACTGGCAGGGAAGACAGTGTGCTTCGTCCAGCCCAATGATGTCGCCTCTGCTAGTGCTATCGCCAGGTACCTAACGCAATGGTATGGCATATCACTCCAGGCGTGGTCACCTGATGTTTTCCCAGACCTTGTGATTGTCGACGAGACGCAATTGCACCGCGTCAAAGTGTTGAACGAACGATCCACTTTGCTCATTCTGCACCGCGACAGGCGTGCTACGTATTCGAAATCTCCCGGACTGAGTCAGCTTCGCGCACGGATCGAATGGTTGAGCCTTCCGTGTGGTCCTTACCGATTAGCCAGAACGATCCAGAGTTGTTTGCAAGCACCACCTCAGCTTCCCGGGATGGAGGATGTCTCACCACCAATTGCGTCTGAAAACGGCGTACAAAATGGGAATGGGCTTTCTGCTGACCAGGGCCCTGGTCGAAGTCTCCCTTACCGTCCGGCAGCATCATCCATTCCCGACACCAAACTCTCTGCACTATCATCAAACCCAGATCTTGAACCTCAATCTACGACATTGCCAAAAATAGATACGCAAGCACAACAGAATGGAAGCTCTGGCGGCCAACTACCTACCCTTTCCCGCCCATCCGAGGACATACCCCGGGTGCTTCTAGTCGAAGACAACCCAGTTAACATGTCGCTTCTCAACCGCATCGTCAGCCGGCGACAACCCCTTGTCGTGCACGAGGCCATCAACGGCAAAGAGGCCGTCGACGCAGTTGACGCGATGCCTGAGGGCTATGACTATATTCTTATGGGTTAGTTTTCCTACCTCTGGACTTACATCATATCCCTGGTAGCAGTTCTAACCTCAGTAGACATCTCTATGCCCATTATGGATGGTTTCGAGGCCACCAAAGCAATCCGTATGATTGAGAAGGAGCGCAAGACTTCATCACCGGCGAAGATCATTGCGCTCACTGGTCTGGGGTCGAATGATGATATTGCGAAAGCGTATGCCGCTGGCGTGGATGTATTCGTCACGAAGCCGGTGTCTCTGAAGAAGATCACGCAGTTAATGGATCAGCCTAAGGGATGAGATTGAGCGATCCAGGCTTCAATATCATCCTCTCAAGATGAAAGATGGAACGTCTTGATCGACCTGCACAGCGTTAATTCTCAGGCGTGTCAAACGTTTCCCTCGGGTCGGAATCTCCCTATGGACTTGCGGGGTCGAGTCCGACCGAGCCCAAGGCGAAAGCTGCTCACGCTTATCGAGCAGAGCACATGGTCCAATCGCCAACGGCAAGAGTCAGCGCGCCGACCATACCATGTCCTGAAGAAGAGGATTCCAGGCCTCTTTCTATCCCCGCAGTGGACAACACGGCCGAATTCCGATCCACCATTGTAAGTCCCCAGGAGCTATCTGTAGTCAAGATAACTGCCCCCGACTGTACATAGCATCATTCGCGCAGCTGTTCTATCCATTGGACAGGCTGACAGCCATGAAAGGCCTTGGAATTGGACCTTCTTGTCACCAGAAATGTGCGGAGTCAAAGTGTTTGTTCGGCGTCGGCTCCTGTATTCTTGCCTGGCAACCGGACGTGTTGGTGCCAATTATACCTAATTTCGAATGAAATGATAATGATTTAAAGGGGCGGACACATTGTCTCTATTCACCTAGCTACTGCGCCTTCACTGAAGATATGACGTAGGCCGATGTGTTCCTGCATGGGAGTGCCGATGAGCTCGGAAGTCCCGGACACAACAAGATTCGGCATAATCGCCCGTTTGGTGACCCTTCGCCTGCAGTCAACTCCCGACGGCGCTGACATGCCGTGCATAAATGGAGGAGGGGTGGACTCAATTCTTTTGTTCTATTGGTGGAAGTAATTGAGCAAGAGAAGAGATTGGCAAGGACGCAAAGCAGCTCAGCGTGGCCCTAGGCCCTGCTTATTTCGCATGCGACGAGGATACCTGGACATCTCCGTACCCAATTCAGAGATAATGCATATGCATAGCCGGATCCCTGTCCAGCGACCCACACCCCAGTAACCAACAATGTCCAGAGTTCAGAGTCCAGCCACCTTGGCACAGCAACCTGCCACAACATGCCATCCCGAGAAACCACCCCCATACACCTGTCAAATACCGCCAGATGTCTCATCCTTCGATTAGTTAAATTGCATAGTAGTTGGAATTTCTCGTTGGATGCTCGTGCCGAGGCGAAGCGGAGGACCTGGGCACTGTCGGTGGTGTCTTAGCCAAACTAGTTGCATGGCTGCATTTGGGGGCAGCCAGATAGGAGGGGGGGGGGTTAATCTAAAACAGCTTCCTTTAATCTATTTCTCCTAATTTACCGCACGTTGTCTCGGGTAGTGGTATTGCCCGAAATAGGTTGGATAACCTTATATCGACGGCTGTTATGAGTGGTGCAGGCTGGAGGGTTGGGAAGGCCTGATCTGTGGTTTTGAATTCTGGGCAAAGCTTTACTCTCCTCGTAACCTCAACAACAACAACAATAAGAACCTACTACACAAAAAGGTTACAGGCCCGGTAGACCCTGGGTACCGTACGCAGCTGAAATGGGAGATGATTGCCCAGGGCAAACGGATTGTAGACTACCCGTGAGCAGGAGCGGCGCAAACCCTTCCGGATGATCCGGCGACAGGGCCATCCCATTTCCGACCAAAACCGCTCTTTCTGGCAGCCGGGCCAAAATGAATCAGGGGTCATGGGCGCTGCTCCGAACGACCCGGATTTTCTGGTGCGTGGGGCCCGTGCCTGCAGGGCCAAGCAGGAAAGACACCCCGAAGCAGCAGGTTTCCCGACCATCGTGCCGAGACAAGCTTTTTAGCGGCTTGGGGGAGGCTTGGGATTGAGGGTCCGCGGAAATTGCGCACACCGCCCGGACTGGACCCTTGTGCCCTAAATTATTATTAGCCGAGGAGGGTCCTCGATTGTGGCTGCCTAGTTGTTTAATTGTTGCCGAGATGGGATTCGGCTATTTATTGCTGTCTGCATCGACTGATGTCATGGTTCGGGTTGGGACGTTTGCTGCTTCAGTACTGAGGAGAAACCTGAGGGGAATTGGGGTGGTGTTTGGGTGCTCGTTTGATCCTCCCCAAGAACCAGGCATGGAACATTCGACGATTCGATATTAGGTAACGTGAAGGAGCACCACACAAATGCCCAGCCTTGCACCGTTCAAAATGATTGCTCAGGATTGATTTCAGCTCGAAACCTGGCAAATCAGCTGAATTACACCTGGGCTTGGGAGCAGACCGTTTGAGGAGCTAGCTCTTGGCTTGCTCCACTGTGGAGCGGGAGGTGAAGCTGCGACGAAGCTGCCGGGCTTCCTCCACCGCAGGAACTCCGGCAATGAAGGAAGGCCCTAGTTCGCCCGCAGGAACTGTTTCCTGGAGCAGGGCTCGTTCTTCACGCCACTGTTAGAGACTGACACCCCGGTGGAGGTGCGGATATCATCCCCTGGCCCTGAGAATCCTACCATCATGAGTTTGCTGCTGCAAATCGGGGTATAAAACTTCGCGATAACCCAGTCTTCCAGTCCTCTCTCATCACACACATTCCCTCATTCTCTCTCTCATTCACTCTTTCCTTTCTGTTGATCAGATCAGACCTTCAGTCATTCTTTCTTTCATCTCCATTTCTGTTGACCAGAAAAACAAACTAAATCCACCATGCGTTTCGATCTCCTCACCTTGGCCGCCCTCGGCTCCCTCGCCGTTGCGGCCCCTACCCCCCACGATGTCGCTGAGAGAGATCTCGTCGAGAGATCCTCCTGCACCTTCACCGATGCTGCCTCCGCCAAGGCCGGTGTCAAGAAGTGCTCCAGCTCGATCCTGAAGAACATCAAGGTCCCCGCCGGCCAGACCCTTGATCTGTCCGGTGCCAAGAAGGGCTCCACTGTACGCGCCCTGCTCCTATTCGCCATGTTCCCATACTAACTCCGTGACAGGTCACCTTCGAGGGCACCACCACCTTCGGCTACAAGGAGTGGAAGGGCCCCCTCATCCGCCTCGGTGGTGAGAGTGTTACCTTCACCGCCGCCTCGGGCGCCGTGATCGACGCGCAGGGTGAGCGCTGGTGGGACGGCAAGGGCACGAACGGCGGCAAGACCAAGCCCAAGTTCATGTACGCGCACAAGCTGCAGAGCTCGTACGTCAAGAACCTGCACATCAAGAACACGCCCGTGCAGGCCATCTCGGTGCAGGGCAACGACGTGCACATCGAGGGCGTGACCATCGACAACTCGGCCGGCGACAGCAAGGGCGGCCACAACACCGACGCCTTCGACGTTGGCGAGTCCAACGGCGTCTACATCAGCGGTGCCAAGGTCTACAACCAGGACGACTGCCTGGCCATCAACTCTGGCGAGGTAGGCCTGTCCCCTTTCTCCTCATCGCCTCAATCAAACAAGCTAACGACGGCAGAACATCTACTTCGACAGCGGCTACTGCTCCGGCGGCCACGGCCTGTCGATCGGCTCCGTCGGCGGCCGCGACAACAACGTCGTCAAGGGCGTGCACATCACCAACAGCCACGTCGTCAACTCCGACAACGGCGTGCGCATCAAGACCATCTACAAGAAGACCGGCTCCGTGACCGACATCACGTACGACAACATCCAGCTCGAGAACATTGCCAAGTACGGTATTGTCATCGAGCAGGACTACGAGAACGGTTCCCCCACCGGCACCCCCTCCAACAGCATCCCCATCAAGGACGTCACCATCAACAAGGTCACCGGCTCCGTCAAGAGCTCCGCCCAGCCCGTCTACATTCTCTGTGGCTCCGGTTCGTGCGCTGACTGGACCTGGAAGGGTGTTGATATCTCCGGTGGTAAGGACAAGAAGACCTGCAAGAACGTGCCCAGCGGTGCTTCTTGCTAGATGCCTCGCATGGTGCTTGGGGGGTTTTGGGGCGAGTGCGAGTGATGGGGGTTCAGGGGGCAAGATGTACTCTGCCTGGTGGGCTGTGTATTAGTAGTTGGATAATATTCTATAATTTTAGAAATTAATCAGAAGGTCTGGTGTGATTCATTTCCTTTGAGATTGGCTGTACGAGAGTAGTTTGGAGAAAAGAGTGGCGGTTCCGGTATCCTCCTTTGGGACTATACTAAACATTGTCACTTCCGATAGAGCTGTGCACCAGCCGAGCCAGTCAGTACTTGTCGAGGACCACGGTGTATAAGTACCAGCCTCCAGGCACCACTCAAATAATCGTAGACACACATCCGCAAATATCCCTCAAACGTAGTCCAGAGTAGCTACTCCCCAGCGACACCGCAATAGTACCAACAAACAAGCAATCACATTCAGCAAAACACCCGTAAGACCCAACCCCAATCTCACTCTTCCACACTTCCTCACCCCGAACAATCGCTCAACAATGCCATACTTGAGAAAAAAAAAAAAAAAAAAAAAACCGAAAGAAAGGAAAAAGCCTCCTGATCCCAACCACAACCACTTTCCCCAATCCCACACAAGGAAAGTTAAGGATCAGCAAGTATCAACCATCACCTTATCGAACGCGTACGCATCTCCGGCCATGTAGCAGTTGGGCGTCCACCCCATCTCAAAGACCGCGTCGTTGTGGCAGCTGGACCCGTACTGGCACATGTACACGCCGCAGGCGGAGTGGCCGCTCAGGATGCGGGCGCTCCTGTAGGCGAAGTCGAACTGCGCGACCGCCGTGCCGCTGCCGGAGTCGAAGGTGATGGTCTCCTCGTGGGTGGTGCCGGCGCAGTTCAGGTTCTCGTAGAGGCGGACGGTGACGGATTGGGCTGATGCTTGGACGAGGGGGAGGAGGGTGGCGAGGGTGGCTAGCGCCGGGGTGAGGAGTGTGGATTTCATTCTTAGTCGTTCGAGCGGGAGGTAGATGGGCGGTCTAACTTGGTCAGATGGGTTGTTGGGTACGGGGTGTTGAGGCGGGGAGGACACACGTGGGGATAGGAAGTGCTTGGTTTGGTCCTATGAGGGGGTTGCTCTGTTTATTCGTTACTGGGAGGATAGGATGGAGGGTTTATAGTCTGCAATTCCCTTGTTTCTGGGAGGGGGGTGAGGATAATCGCTAAGCTGAAGCCATCCAGAATCACGAGCCCAATATCAATGCCTCGTATTTAGACCCAGAACCCCATAAAGGTATAGAGCATCTCTGCATGCGTGGTTGGCTTCCTCAAGGTTCACGGGCCGTACCCATTGTCTCCCACCCGGTGGAATCCCAAATCTAGCACTGATCAGATTAGATCGGTGTTGTCGCTGGCACACCAATATCTGCAATGAGTTGAATGCGCTCGTGATCGCGGGGGTGGACGATTGAGACTAAGGGCTTGGCGGGACTCGGTAGCGGAGCGCCAAGGGGAGGCTAAGGGGGGGCCAAGGGGAGGCCAAGGGGACGGTGGCTTGGCAGACTTGCAGGTCCATTCCGCTATTCCTTTTCGGAACCGAGTGGTCGGTTTGGGAAGGTGATTTGTTTCGAGGAGATTTCAGGGGTGCCCAGAGGATATTGCCATGCTTTTGTGGACAGTGTCTTGTCTTGGCGGGCGAGAACGAATGGCATGTTGGTAGACACTCCGTACATTTTCACTGGTTCTGTGCCCGCAAGTAAATTAAACTAGGCCGTACTTTCCCTCCCTTCCTCCGTCAAACCACTCTCCACCCCCCAGTTCAAAGACATGAAGAGCGCACTAGCCCTGCCATCCAGAATGCAAATCCCTCTTCTTCCCCGTTGACACGGCCACTGATCCAGAGGGGGTAATCAACCCCGTCGCGTTCCGTATCATCTCCGCCACCGCATTAACCTCCTCTACCCCCACCGCCTCTCCTCGGGTCTTCCACCCCAACTCCACCGGCAACCGTTCATGCTCTACACACAGCACCAATCAGCACCCATAACCCACCGCCAAACCCAGAAGCTGGAGAAGTACATACCAAAAAAATACTCCACAAGCGTGCGATTCACTTTCCCAGACCCTAAATCCCCGAACGCGATGATCGGCGCTGCCACCTCACCGAGACTAAACTCCTCGGTCCGCGCCGTGAACGTGTACGTCGGATTGAACGCCTTGGACTCGACCTGCCGCGCCAGCTTGCCGTTGGCCAACATGGCAGCGTCCAAAGTTGGGGATGTCCAGTAGCGGCGGGTTTGGGCGAAGATGGTGGCGTTGAAGATGTGGTTGTTGCCGAAGTAGGCGTCGCTTCGACTGATGTCCTGTTAATGGGGTTTATGGGTGGGAAGGTGTGAGGCGGACCTGAGACTTGCGTCGTGTTCGAGGATGTTGTGCTGGTTGAGTTGGTCCCTTGTTTTGGGGTGGGGTGTTAGTGGGTGTGCCTGTGGGGTGGGGATGAAAGATGACAGGGGAAAGGGAGGTTGGCGCACAAGGTGAAGTACGTGGCGTTGGGCTCCGGGTTCACGACAATGGCCATTTCGAACATCAGCGTGGCGAGAGCGGAGGTGAAGTTCAATGCGGCGCCGAGGGCTTCGATCAGCCGGGGCCGCGTGATGTTGCGGCCGTTGTGCGGGAGGAAGTGATGGTTTGCGAGGGTGTTCATCATTGGGCAGGGGCCACGGTCTAGGGTTCATCAAAGCTTGTCAGTTCGGTGTGACTGGGGGCGTGGGAAGGGAGGGGGCGGGCGTACAGTCGTCTGCTCCGGCGGGTTCCAGTGGGAGATGTCCGCGGGCCCGTAATGCGGGTGGGCGCTGGCTAGACCTAGCAGGAGGGTGGTGGGGAGGGTGAGCTTCATGGTGAGTTAATGGTGTTGTTGCAGTGTTGATGGAATGGAGGAGAAAATCACATATCAAGAGGCAGAGGGAAGGGTATTTATCAGTGCGTGCTGGCTACCACACAGGAATTGTTTCAGCCTGGAGCGTACCATCTGCCATGCTGCTGCTGCTGCTGCTGCTGCGGATGATGATGTGGTGACTGCATACTCCCTAGGTCAGGAAATAGAATCCCAAGCAAGGCAGCAAATTGGATGCGCCAATGGCATCGGGGTTGTTACAACGCACTTGCATGGTTGTCGCGGCATCAAACGAGCATGGATGGCGGTAAGCGATGCTCAAATCGGTGCCGAGTACGAGTACGAACCCGCTGCTGCAGATCGGCCCTGGTGGGGCGGGCAACTTTATTTACCAGTTAATCAGGAAATGCTGGCACCTTATAGGTTCAATTGTACGCTGATGCCTGGGATATGCGATGGCTGTTTCGACGAGAATAACTTTGAGGGTGGCTGGAGGCAGTGTTGCAGAGTCGGATGCAGACGGAACGGGGAGCCCTAAGTGTATTCCAGCTAGCCGTGTCATTGCCTTGCAAAGCATTAACTTAATAGCGATAGTGCAATAGGAGTCCGCCAGATGGAGAGACGAAAATCATGTCGCAGTTTACTAACCACGAACAAAAAGATTAAGATGGCAAAATTTTGAAACAATTGTATTGAATTCGTTGTAAAAAGGACTCGTATATAGGGTGTGGGAGAGTAATGAATCTAAGCGGAGCCATCAACCCCTGCCATGGCCCGCAGTAAGCGGCCTGGCTATCAAGGCCTCATGTCATGGCTGCCAACCACTCGCAAGGTCAACAACAACACTACATAACCGAAGACGCCCCTCCAAACCCAGCCTCCATCCCAGGCGCATCCATCGACGCACAGGGGAAATCATCCAGCCTGACCGGAATCCACCTCGGCACCCGCAGCAACCAGCCATACAAGATCTCAATATCCAGCACGCAGTCCAGCGAGGGCTCACCGTCGAACTCATACAGATACACCCCTCGATCAGTGCCTGTCTCGCCCCGAGACAGTTCGCGATAGCACCGCACATGCTCGAAGGCGTGAATGATCCCGTGGAAGAGCGGCGCGCGCGGCCGCATCTTCCGCAGCTTCTGGAAGATGGCCCGCAGGCGCTGCTCCAGCACCTCCCAGTCGAAGGTCTGGGTGGTCAGTTCGCGTGGCTCCGGGGCGATGAGCATCACTTGTTGGGTGGGGGTGATGGTGCTGATTTCGAAGGTGTGGGTTTGTTGCATTTTGGCGGTGGGGGTTAGATTGGGTATAGGAGGGGTTCGGGGTTGATGTCATTGTTGAGTGGGTTGGGGACGGGGGGTTATATAGTGGGTTGTTTGATGAGACTGTGATGGTGACATTGATAGTTGTTTGCTTGTTAGTGGGGACTTACGCTACAGTGGAAGTAGGGCTTTGTGTGCTGACGGCTCTGTACATTGGGTCTTTGTTAAAGGGCCATGATTCGAAAGATTCTTGTCTTACCCTGGGTTTTCAGGCGTGAGAGACAAAGCCGTTAGCCTTAGTGTAGTTTTAGTCCCTTGGAATGATCGTTCTTAAGCGGGGCAGGTGTCATCTAACATTCGAGGCTGCTCTGCAGTATCAGCAAGGGGACATTGACTCGAGACAGACAAAAGCGATTAGAGAGAAATACACACCAACCGATATTCAAACTCTACGCAAGGCGACCTGACACCACAGCCGAAGAAAGAAACACATCCAACAGATCAAATACTGTAACTTCTTTGAGATTATATCATATATACCCCATACCCCAAGAAAGAAAGGCAAAAACCCTGAGTTACTTCTTCTTCCTCTCCCGATAATCCCGCACCCAGCCCCTCCGCACCGTGATCAGGGCACACGCCAAGAGAAACGTCAAAATCTCTGGCGCCCACTCCTCCTCGAACGAGGGATTCAGCGGAATCGTGCTCATCCACGCCACCGTCGCGTCCGTCGACTCGGTGTCGAACACCGTGTGGCCCCAATGGTGGAACCGCAAGAGGTACGACCCGCTCCCGGGCATCGTCGGGGGCACCTCCAGGAAGTACCGGATCAGGCCCTCGCAGTAGATCGAGCCGCCGAAGGGCGCGGCGTGCGGCCGGAGCTCCCGCTGCTCCTGGATGCACGCGAGCAGGTCCGGCACCGCGTCCTCCCAGCGGAAGAACGGGGTCACGCGGCGGAAGATCAGGTTCACCGTCTCCGTCCGCGCGCCGATCGGGTGCAGCATCACGTCGAAGGGCGGGTAGGTCATGTCTGCGAGGGTGTAGCCATGCCCCGGCGCTGGTCTTGGGGAGACTTCGCCTTCTTCTTGTTTGGTGTTGTCTTTGTCGGTTTCGCTGGCTTTGTCGGTGGGGTCTGATGTTGTTGGAGGGGGTGGGGATGGAGGCGGTGGTCGTCGCGTTGGGCTTGGAGAGCGACTCGGTGGGGGTCTTTTCTGGGATGGCATCGTTGTGTTGTCCAGATGAGGTGGTCTTTCAAGGGGACTGGGACAATGGGATGGGGGTGGGCAGGAAAGGGGAGGGGGCTCTGTGTTGATAGCGCTTGCCTTATATAGACTGGGTTTGGCTTTATCCAGGATGACAATCATCGGTTGATCGAATCTGTAGCGGAGAATCTCGACATTATTACAGATTCGCTCTTTGGGGTGTTCATTGGGGGTGGAGAATGGAGATGTATTTGTCGTGACAGGATGATCTCAGGTATGTGCCCTGGCTTCTTTGTTCGGCTGTATGCTTCTGAATGTAATCACCTATATTTATGATGCGTCGGACTGCGAGGAGACTCAGTGAGACGTCCTCGATCTGTGCATCCAATAAGGATACACTCAACAAGCACTTCAACATGGTGTCCTCAATAGGTGCTTGGCCTACCTGAGTGTATACTTCCACGGAGGCTGTATGATGCCTTATCGGTGGAGCAACAGCCCTAAGGAAACAAGGCAAAGAGGCGCATCGCGCCCGGAGAGAGCAAGGTCGTGGTGCAATACGGCCAAGGACAGAGTAGCTGCTACTGACTTTCTCAGGATGGAACCTCAAGTTGCGTAGCTAGACCCGATGAGGATTTGAATATATAACATTGAGCAAGAATATGTGTCATGCTCTAGATTAATATGATAATAAAAACACACGGTAAGGCATAGCACATACCTTACGTAACTGTACCCGAAGTGTATATCCCCCACCAGCTTCTACTCGCTGTCGACCATATCTACGTTGTGTGTGTCCAAAATACTATCATTTCCCAATTCCTCACACATTTATGCCACAGAGCCACATGCAAACTCTCCGAAATAAACTAACCTCTAGACCCAAGACCTTCGACCCGGAGACTTTCCGTCTCAGAATCTTTGAAGAATAATGGCTCGTTGCTCGCTTGACTGGTGATCTTTCCGCTCATCCGTGGATCAGCATACAGGTGGTCCATGTCCAATGACTCCTGCAGCTCGATGCTGGTCGTCGACCGGATTTTGGAGCCCCCACGCCGGGCTGGGTAGGGATTGTCAGGATAGATTGGGGTTTCCGGCTTCCTTGCACGGCGCAGACTGTATAGTGTGGGAAAGTTGGCAACGATAGCTGAGGCAATAAATTCGACCGCGGTCCAGTAGCCTTGTCCGACAAGGTCTTGGATGTCGCCGTGGATTGGGGCGCGGAGGATGGTGGCGATAATGCAGAGGAAGCCGACCGTGAATAGGGCGATGAGTTGAAGGCGGCTGGGTTGATCAGACGAGAGTCTGACGAAGTCTTGGGGAAGGAAGGAAGATTTACCGATGCCAGGGTCTTTTCACCCGAATCAGCCATGGAAGAGGGAGCACAATGAGCATCAGGTCGGTAAGGCCATTGAGCAGGATATAGGCGACGAGGTTGCCAACACGTCCGAGGCAAGGTCCTGATATCAGCCAGTCAGTCATTTTGGCCCATGAAGCAACAGGAGCAATCATACTCTTCTTGCGGTAATCACAGACCATAAACATCTCCAGCTCCACGGCCCCGAAGCTCAGTAGCAGTATTGCCCAGCTGATGCGAACGAAGATGAAGGGCCACGCAAGACCCTCAAGGACGCGCGAGATAAACAGGAGAACAACGGCCTTCTGGCCCCAAAGACTAGAACCGTCAGCAATCAACAGGCCATCCACTTCGCTGGGAACTGTACTAGGCACGAAATATGGCCTGATGCGCTACCAGCATTTTGTTCTTCAGCAACTGTTCCTCGAGAAGCTTATCTGTGAAATGCTGGGCTTGGAGGCGAGCGTCTCGAGTCAAGGTGATGACGCTTATCGCAGTCAGCAGACTGACGCAGGCAAGAAGCGTCACCAAACAGAAAACGGTGCAGTAGTCGGCCGGTTCGACCCGTTGGTGCCGATACTTGCGTAGAAAGAGTCTCAGGATCATGATGAGAGCGCTTAGTCCACCAAGCAGGTCCATCAAGACAAGGGACGTGATCGGACGCGAGGATACAGCCATTGTGAGGTTTGACGAGATGCTGAATGGCTGCACCAAATCAGGGACGATGCAGACCCATGGTTTGGTTTTATTGTTGGGTTGGTTCTAGTCGAGACCTTTTTCAACAAAGAAAGTAAATGTGGTCAGGGCGGAACAGACCTAGAAAGTATGAATTGCACGAACCGAGCTAAGGATAGGTGAACAAAGAAGACTAACCGCGGTCGGTTGTCACAATCGACGAGTCAACAAAATGCAGGTTCTGGACCAACTATGGCTTCGAATCGGGGTGAATGATTTGTTCCTTCACTAGACACTAACATGCCACATTCAGCAATTGGAGACATTCGCCATAGCATCGCGGAAGTTGAGCGACTTGTTGCGACCGAATGTTGCGGGATATAGAGTGTGCCTGCGCTCTGACCGTCAGGTACTAATGAAGATTTGCACGAAATCAAGGACAACCCCGGTCGGTACCTTTTGATCGACAGTCAGATTTCAATCACCTGATAGTGCACGGATAGGCTCACTAGATTATACCCGTAGAAGTCCCCTGGCGCTGCTCCGCATCTTCCCTCGGAACAGGTGCTATAGCACATCTCACATATGGCAAGCCATATTGTCTGTGCGCACCACAAGATGGGAGGAGAATCTGCTGAGAGAACGATAGGAAGGCCTGTGTAGGAATTGGACCCGCCAATGGCGGACAAAGCGCACAGGTCTGGGTATCAGCTGGAAGAACTGGGGACTGTCGAACGGACGATGCAGACGGTGCAGACGGTGCAGATGGAAGGAGGATGAAGGACCGTCTACCACGTGACCTAACAACAGTTATTACTCTTTCCAGTGCGAGTCGTATACTTCCACGCGACTCGTCCACTTCTACGTAACAACAGCACCTTCCTGATTCTCACTTTTCAAGCCTTTCTCGGGACTCTCTTTATGTCTTTGCATGCAACAAGCAATCAATTCTCCTGATGCAGTGGTTAGAACATCCCTCACAATGAGTACATAATATCGAGTGTAAAACATCAATCTCGCGTGACGACAAGGACCAGGACTATCGGCTAGAAAGCGTGAACAGCATCCGTGCATCCAGGATTCCCGAACCTCAAGAAAGCTCTCTCAATTAAGATAAGTACTTCCAAGTTGTCTCTGATCCCAAGAATAATTTGCTAGTCGAATGGCTATCTAACATGATGATGGCACGGGTCTTCACAATAGTTGCGCTCTCTCTCGAGTATATCATAAGGATGAGCACAAAGGTCTCTCATGGCCAGGTCATACCAATTGCCGCCGTGTCGCCAGCGTTAATCTCTATCCTTTGATCAAGTATGGTTAAATTCGAGGCGGATTCCGACCTACAAAAATGCAGTCACTTCACGATTTGGGTTAGCACTATCCCGGTGAACTTCCGGCAAGATCATCATTGAACGGATTTTATGCTCTCCACCAGCATAAGTCAAACAATGAAAGTATGATCGGTGTGTTTATGATACTCCCATCAAGTACACCGAACTACTCAACTTATTGTTTCGAGGTTTGTCGGTTCGAGAAGGAACTGCACGATAGAATGCGTATAACTCAATGGCAGGATCGTTTCGCCCCAAAGTTCATGTGCTTTTCGTTTTGATGTATATCATACCCGAGCGTAAGCCGGTTTCTTGGTATACGCACCAGCTGCTGCAATGGGTCTGTGCAGTAGCATGCTGCTAGAGGATAGCTGCTTCTAATCACGTGAGGGTAACCGGCACAATTGACGCGGTCAGATGTGCAGCCAAGTATCATTCCATGAACCTAATCGGAAGCTATTCAGTCCCCTCATCAATGACATTGAGTTCCATTGTGGGTCGGCTGTCAGACCGATTCGCGGACGATAATTGGCTCTGTCGTCTGGAAATTGTGGCCCCACTCGTTAGACCTAATCTCGGATTGCTCTGCGGAATGGAGGTCCAGGATTCGAGCCTTGAATATGAAGCCAAGTCGAAGTCATAGACTATGACGTCCGTGTTTGATAAGCCAACATAGTACAAATAGTGGGTGCAGGGTCTTCCCGGATGGTAAGAAATATGCTACGTTGCATGTTCCCCAAAATCAATTCTGTTGCATTGCTATCGATTCAAGTACGGTACCCCGAAGTTAGCTTCGATCTAACCATGACTAACTGCTGTCGTCTCCGTTAGGCCAGCGACGGCGCCGTTCAGCATAACGATCGAATCATCTACGTATCGCAATGATTGGCTACCAGTCATACACCCCTGCACGCACTTATTTGGCCTCTTCCGTGTACAATCTCAACTCACATTTAAAAGCGCACAGTCTTCCTCGATTCTCTAATGATCATCGGCCGACGAAATCAGGCCCGCACCCAAAATCAAAATTATCATGCTCAACACACGCAAGAAAGCTTTCGCGAAAAGATCCCGCACGGGCTGTCGCACATGTCGGTAAGTCATGATTTCCTGTATCACGCCGTGGTCAGCTATAGCCCAGACTAAGACTATACAGCGCTCGTCGCGTCAAGTGCGATGAAACTCCCGTCGCCTGTAACAATTGCACCAATTCTGGCAGGGCTTGCGACGGATACGATGTACACCGACTTATTCCTGGAGGTGGTCGACGTAAGGCTGGGAATCTTCTTCCAGTTCTCACCATTCCCGCCGACATGGCCCGCAAGCTGCAGTGGACGGCAACCTCGGACGAGCGCCGATGCCTGTCGTTCTTCCAACACAGATCGGTAGAGCACTTGGTCGGCTTTTATGATTCATCTCTGTGGCAGCAGGTGATCTTCCGCCTATGCTACCAAGAGCCAGCCATCTATCACGCGGTCGTTGCTCTTGGGGCCGTCAACCAGGCCAACGAGATCGCAGGCTGTATTCCCCGCCCAGGACAGAGCACCGTGCATCTACAGAATACTTGGTACCAGTTTGCCCTGGAACAGTCTGCACGCGCGATCACACTGTTGAATAGAAGACGCATGTCACAAGACCCCCAGCTGCAGGAGGTTATCCTCGTCTGCTGTCTATTATTCGTGATCTGTGAACTACTCCATGGAAATCGCAATCGAGCCAATTTTCACATACAAGGCGGCCTTCAAATTTTACACGTGATGAAGATCCAGCGGCAGATCACGGGCCTGGAGCTTTGCCAGGAGACCGCCATCGCTGGGCCATCCGGCCCCAGGTTCTCGGTGGAGAACTGTGTGGTGGAGATGTTTCTGAAGCTGCAGGAATCGTCCGTCTTTTATGGCACCGAGAACCCGTTGGACTTTGATAGCCACTTCGTATTTGGACAACCGTACGAAAAGTATATGCAGCATTTCCAGAGTCTGGGACATGCAAAACGGGTGTTGAAACCTTTGACTCAGGCTAACTTCCTCTTTACCGCGCTGTATCTCAAGGCATCGGATAACTACATTCGAGAAGACTACGCGTCCTTACAGCACCGTCAACTGCTGTTGCTCTCATACTTCCACCGATTCCTCTGCCAATTCGAGATCTTTTGCGCACGGGAATACCCAGACAGCGCAGATGGCACATCTCGACTCAATAAAGAACAACGCGAAGCGGAGTTGATCAAGCTCAGTTGCCGACAGGGCATCCTCGCCTCGAAGGTGGCTCTTTACTACAAAAGTGAACTGTGGCCCGAGAGCCTAACTCACGAATGCGAAGCCCTGATCATCGCATCTGAGACCGCAATGGCCAGATTTGGTGGCGAGTATCCGGCCGTCACAGCGGACCTGGCAATCATGCCCGCGTTGATTATCAGCATCTTCCGATGTCCGGACTACGGCGTCCGCGCACGAGGGGTTGCGGCCATTCGCTCCTGGCGGTCGGAGGAAGGGTTTATGAGCGCCACCCTGACGTCGGATATCATGGAAGAAGGTATGAAGAAGGAATTGCAGTCGATTTATGATCAGGCGGAGCCGTGGCCCCGAGGAGTGGCATTTGTGGAGGAGGACGGTTTGGTGACAGCGCGGGTGTCGTATTGGGTAGGCGCTGAGGAGAAGCAACACTGTCTACCGCTGAGGCGGAATGACATATTGATTGCTGATTTGATTGCGATTGAAAATGCTAAATATTGGCCGTGTGTTCGCATGTGGGGATTACTCGATGATGTCAAATTGTAGGTTTCCGATCTCGCATGAGTGCTTGCTGCCAACAGACACGATATATCGATTCACAACACCACAAAGATGAAGTGCAACATCAGTGTAGCACCACCTGAGGCGTTTCCTTTGTACCGAAAATGGGGGTTCTTTCTCTCACTTGCCCTTTTGGGGTATTTGTTCTATTTGTATTTTGCTCAAGGCTCTACTGTATGTGATCTGAGGTCATCAACCAGGCCCGTCAAAGCGAGCACAGCCAACATCCCCAAGCAAAGGTATCAGGGCATCCAGTCCCACCAAATCTCAGCATTCAGCCCAGGCTGTGACCCCGTTCGCTCCTCCCACAGCTTCATCCTCGCTCCGGCCGCACCTCCCTGTGCCCGATCCTCCTCCTCAGCTCCCGTCGTCTCCATATCCGCATCCCCATTCTTCGGAATGAGGCTCTCCCAAACCTGCAAAATCGCGCGATCCTCGATGGGATGCCACTGGCGCTTCCTCTCCACCGAGAACTGGTCCACCGCCCGCAAGCCCGCCCGATACACCTCGCCCAGCTCCGAGTCCGTCCTAATCTCCCGTAACCGCTCGCGGTACAGCTGGACGGCCGTGCGCATCGAGATCGTCCCCCACATCGGCTTCCTATCCGGGTACAGCGTGCGCAGGTACTCGAACCCCCGCAGCAGCGCCGGCAGCGCCACCTCCGCCCAGTTGACCGGCGCCGTCCACCGTACCCAGCATACCTCGATGCTGTAAGTTTCCGGCCCGTGCGGGACGGCGTAGACGTTCCAGTGCGGGTATTTCCCTCTGGGGATGGGGTTGGGGGGTTGGTAGGGGGCGTGGAAGGTTATGGGCGAGGTGCGGAAGGTTAGGGTGGGGGGGTTGGTTGCCATGGTGGTTGTGGGTTGTGGGTTGTAGTTTGGGGGTTGTGGTTTGGGGGCTGTAGTTTGATGTCTTTGGGGTTAGTGGGTTAGTGGGTCGGGGCTAGGGTGGGTTGTCGGGCTAGGTTGGGTCGTGATGTGTGGTCTTGATGGGTTTATGGATGATTGGGAGTGGGCTTTTATATCAGGTGGTTGGAAGAGTGATAATATGGGAGATTTCGCTGGCTTTCATCATTGTAGCAGGGCCTTTGTGAATTATTTAACGGTAGTTAACGGAGAGTTTCAAGTAGGTAGGGAGATCTCCGAGGCATGAAGTTGTCGTTTGGGTAGGGTCATCGGGACTTTTCATGCGGCAGTAGGCGGTTGTTTCGTGAATGACGTTGGAGTGTACGTGCGTCTTGTCGATGTTTCTTTCCGAGATACAGTACTGTCTACATATAGTCCTTAGTCTTTGTACTTCATGCACATGGGGAGGTTCTAGGACAGCAAGTCGATAGACTTTGACGCTTTCATGAATATAACTAGCTTCTGGAGAAGCGGTAACTAGTATAAAACAATTCAACAGTCAACCATGTTTCGTTGTCTAGAAACAGGGGTCAACGTCGCCATGATTCTGCATTACGCACCTGCCTGCTGCTGCGGAAGAGCTGTCACCGCCGAGAGCATGTTACCAGTCCGAAACAGAGTATCGACTGTGCTATGCGTGGAATGGAGGCGGCAGGGTCAGCATTGTTGCTATGAGTCTTCTCAGAAAGTCATTGCTGTGATCAGGGTTGATAGTGTCTCTGTGGCGGTAATGGCGCATTATCTGCCGTTGGAGCTTGGGCTGCCTTCTGGCTGGACGATTAAAGATGCGTAGCGGACAATCGCTGCATTTAACCATGGGCTCGACTGGGACACGTCGAGAAAAAGGCGTGCAGGATGCGAAGACATACGATGAACTGCTTTGGGGGATGGCGGGGTGTAATCTTGAGAAGTAGGGATAGAGAGGGTATCCCATGACATGTGCAGCTTCGGGACGCGATAAAGTTGGAGAGGCCCACCAAAAGAATCCTCCAGATGTATGCCGAGGGGGGAGATCTGCGAATAGGTGGACTAGATTACCTCACCCACTGAAGCCACGAGGCTGGCTAATTAACAACCTGTCGGTACTGGCAATCGAGAATCGAGGTTTCTCGTCCCAGGGATCCTATTTGTGGGATACATAGAATGCATACGCCGCGGCGAGGATAGAAACCAATAGTGTCCAACTCAAGTAGGAACTCCGAATTAGGGATATATCCTCTGGAGATGCGGTGTTCAACTCGCTCATCAGCTTCTCCAGTGCCTGTTTGGTAGAGTCAATCTGGTTCAGAACCGGTGAGTGTGCCATGTACACATTCTGAAGGACATTGATCAGTTGGATGGAAGCCGTGACACAAGCTGCCTGCTTCATAAGGTCTAGGGTTGCGATCACGTGCTCGTGCCCCGTTTGCAAATTTTTCTGCATCATGTCCACCAGCTCCAGTAGCTCTTTCACAATCCCAGCTCGTGGGTGCTTTCCTCCGAGAATCCACACCCGGCTGCCAAGGAACTCCGAAAACTGGTTTGCTGTATCGCTTAATCGTTTCTGGCCGCTGTGTAGCGCTTCTAGCCCTATTTCGGTCGATACAGTAGAGAGTTGCTCCCCGTCAGGTCGTGTGATAGCACTATTACTCTCGAGGACTTGCCTAAATTGATATTCTGCACCCTTCCACCTTTCCTGCTTGGCGAAAATAATTCCTAGCTTCATTCTGGCGTCGACATTAACGCTGCGCTCTTCTTCCGACGGCAAGCTCGGGGTAGAAAGTACGTCCAGAGTCCGTAAAAACACCTCCTCTGCCTCGTTCCACCGTTCTTGTTCGATATATACAGCCCCGAGCTTGCCTCGGGTGCTAACAGTATCAATATGTGTTTCTCCAAGATCGGAAGTTCGAATTTCAATAGCCTGTAAGAAAACCTTCTCTGCATCTTTCCATTTCCCGTGCTTGTAGTACATCGCTCCTAGGTGATCCTTGATGCTGATCGATTTTGGAGCCCCTTGAGCGACGATAAGCTCGAGCACTTTGTCACCAAGAGGCCCTTGGCGAAATTCGACAATGCGTCGGTAAAGCGATGTGTTACCATCGAATCCTTTGTCTCTGCGCTCCAGGAGTGCTCTGATTCTGGTCGTGAATGGATCATCTTCTGTATGCTCCTCGCCTTGCATCTCAAGCACGTGTATATACAGTGCTTTTGCCTCTGACAGACGGCCCTGGCCCTCGTACACCTCCGCCACCAAGGCAATTGACGCTAGCGTAGAAGGGTCCTTCCGGCCCGAGAGTCTCGTTCGCGTCTGGACTAATGGCATCAGAAGCATTTCCGCGTCCTGCCACCTACCTTGCACCATGTAGAGTTTTCCCAAATCTTCAACAGCCTCGAGCGTCCTAGAATGTTCACTGCCAACCAACTGCTTGGCAACATAGATGTCCTGCAAAGCGAGCTCTTCAGCCGGCTTCCACCTCCTCTGTCTGGTGTATACTCGTCTCAGGGTCTTCGCAGCGGATATTGTCACATGATGATTGCGTCCGTATACCTGATGGCTCCTCCGAAGGACTTTTACTCCAAGCTCTTCAGCGTCTTGCAGTCGACCTTGCATGATGTAGACATCAGTGAGGGATTCCATGCCCTCCAGTGCCAGATAATGGTTTTCCCCACCGAGCGCCTGACATTCCTCGATTACTTCCAGGTGTCGCGCTATCGTCTTCTCCTGGTCGCGTTGATACTGTGCGACAAGGTTTTCCATCTCAGTAGAAAAGGTAGCCATCAGGTTCCCTGAGCCGAATAGCTGCTCACTCGCATCTCTGAGGGTCTTTCCCATTTGCTCCATATCTCGATAATCACCGCAGGATGCTGCATGGCTTACACCTTTCATGAGCAGCGATACCCAACTTGGCATTAACGTTGTCAAGGCTGGCTGTACAACCACTGCCTGTTTGAGGTGAGGGAATAGATATTGGTATGTGGCCTGATCCTCGGATTGGAAAGGGAACATGCGATCCAGGTTGGCCATTGATACCTCCTGCCACCGCGACAGGAGCCCCTCCTTCTCAAGCCAACGCTTTATGGCAATTTGAACGAGTCTGTGCATTTCAAAGATCTTGGGATCTTGTCGGATTGCGATGAAGGAAAATTCTTGGAGAGTGCGGATGTCTTCTTCGAAGTCGAAGTCACTATCAGTCGATCTTCTCGTCGCCTGTTCCTCCTTCTGGCGCTTGTTGATCTCGCCATTCATATCCTCCTCTTGTGTCTTGCTCCGGAGTAGCAACTCCGGTATGCCCTGCCGATCAAAAAAGCTCATCAAAGACAAAAGATCTGCTGCAGTCGGTCTTGAATTGCGGATATAATCGAAAGATATCTGCCACGTCCGCAGAACCGAGTTGCACGCCTCATAATCACGTTGAGGCTGCGCAGTTTCGTGGTCCAGAATATGGCTACTGTTTTCAAACTCTTCCAAGTACCGCACGATGGAGTACCGTGGCGCGTGATACTGTATGAAAGCAGAGGCGTGGATGATTGCTAGCGGCATGAATTCGAGCACTTCGAGAAGCTTCCTCGCTTTTTCCTCATCTGCCGTGTCGATGGTAAGCTTCTTCCGTAGAAGGGCTAGTGCGGACGATGCATCCATCGGATTGATGTGGAGGATGTCGCGGTCCCTAACTAATTTGAGTGCTACCGCTTTGTTTCGCGTGGTGAAGATGATCGCCCCATGGGGACAGCGAGGGAGCAGTCCTATCAGCGGTTGGTGCACTGGGCTCGTCTGGTTGCCGGGGTCGATTGCCTGACTGTCTCGCAGTGGGTCGTCCAGCAAATTTTCGTCATCGAGGTTATCCAGTATCAAAATCCATTTCCCATGCTTCGAATTATAGAGCCAGCTGTTGACCAGCTGCAGGACGTTGGCTGTAGCATCATGCCGTCCTGAAAGCTGGAGACGGTCGGCGATCTCTCGGTAGCTCAACTCAAGACGCGATGCGTTACTAGCATGGACCCAGAAAACCCACGTCGCGGGCGATTCTTCGCGCACGCGATAGGAGTATTCAATCGCTAGCTGCGATTTCCTTCAGAGATATCAGCAGAGGTCGAGGCGATCATGGTTCACGTCTCACCCAACACCACCCAGCCCCACAAGCGCCGTTCTCGACGCTGGTCTTGCACACCTCGCTTGGATCTCGCCCAGAATCGAGCCGCAGGCAACGTAGTCGTCATCTCGAGCAAACGGGACGGTGGAGAATGGCTCTGGTGGTGTTTCCGGTCGCACTGAGATAGCAGCCTGGCTTCAGTCACACTACTCTCGATAGCTAGGGGCTTGGACTGACCTGGAGGAAGGTGGAACTCTGCTGAGATATGACCAGAGTTGTCGCCAACCTGGAGTCCATAGTTTACTCCAGGAAATGCTATCGACTGCATGTCTGACGGAGCATAATTCGCGTACAAGCCAGGGAATGAGTGGGGAATGAGTAAGCATGCTCCATGCTGTATGAGGGGTAACTTAATAGAATAGTGCTTACGTGCATCATCAGGTGACTGTACCCCTGGTCATCTTAATTCAGTCAGCCTTGCGCTTCAGCTCTTTGTCCGAAAGCAACTCAGAACCAATCAATCAGACACCTCACGATAGTTCGTGTACTGTTTCAAGCTCAACCAATCATTGTCTATGATGCGAAGTCTTTCTTACATCCTGTCTTTCCAGATAAATGCACAAACTTGGGCTTCGAAACCGCGGTACTGACATAGCCTCCTGAATCGGCGCAGACTTGCGCCCGGTTGACTAGGATAGCTACTCCTTGTTGTCAGAATTTACCGAGGTCGACAAGACGGTCTCTATTAAGCGAGATTCCTTTATTGAATTTCTGGTCTAGCAGTGGCCGAGCGCGTTGTCGCGGTCATTTGGCGCCAGGCTAGGCAAAAATAGCTTCGGAATTTCGACCGGCGGCGCAGTCAACTTGCACCATCATCCACCACTCATCAGTCTCAGTCTGGCAACAGATGCGCCCCACGGCTTTAGTTCCCGTTCCTTTCCGTTCGATCGTCCTGATAAGAATGCCTGTGATCGCCCATGAATTTCTAGCAACATTTCCCCACTCTCAATGTTGCGTTTAGTTTAAGAAGGAGGCGCCATGACTAGCCACACAGGCAGTCCCAGAACACCCTCACCTTCACCTAAAGGTGAGAAAATGCTCCCATCCGTTGAGTTCACCTTCTCTTGCAGTCCTTCATCCGCTGGAGGTGCGATAACTCCAACCTCGTCCGTGGACCAATTAAGCCCACGTCCTCGCGGTAGCGATCGGCGCTCGATCACACCAAGTACACAGTCTCTTTTCGAGAACTTGCGTCTCGGCGAAGATGTTCAGCCCCAAACGGCTGAAGAGCCACAGGTTGACCACACAGAGCAGGCGCAAAGAGTATTTGGGTCGAGCCCGACACTCAAATCCCTTGGAACAACGTACAGAGATCTTTACAATGCCACTCCTAGTCCTGCCGGACCCTCTTCCCGTCGGCCGGACCAGCAGCCGCGGGCAAGCACACCTAACTCCCCTCTGAAGGACAAGAGCATGTCAAGGGTGATCCTAAAAGACTCAAAACATACCTTTGGGAATGCTTCCGACAACAATCATCATGAGCCCGTGTTCGCCGACCGTGTTACCGGCGATAATGAGGACAACGCGACGCACGAAGACTCGGATAACGATTACTCCGACTACGACGATAATGAAGACGAGGAAGAGGATGAAAGTCGTTACAACGTTCGCCAGGATGAACTCCCTCCGGCGCCGATCTACGATATGCGACTTCAGAATGCACTACGCGCTGTCAGAGGTCAACTCGCCAGCCTTGCGCAGCACCTTGAGAGGAGATGCGATTTGGTGGGTGATTCAACTACGGCGTTGCATCAATTGTATGAGCAAGCACTCAAGGCGAGTCACTTTGCATATCCGGCCACGCGGACTGTGGGCTTCATCGGCGACTCGGGAATGGGTGAGTATCGGATCCTTCCGCCCTCGGACAGGAAAGGCTGATCTCTCATTAGGCAAGAGCAGCATAATAAATTCCATTCTTGATCAAGAGGGACTCGCCCGGTCGGTAGGTTAAGCCCTCAACCAGAGAATGGTTTTTTTTCTAGTGATTGACGTTTGCAGAGTGGGGACGGTGCTGCTTGCACGACAGTGGTTACTGAATTCCGGAGTGTCAATGACGAACATCCGCAAAACTATACCGTCGAAGCAGACTTCATGGATCAGAGCGAGATCCGCGAGCTACTAGAGGAGTTGCTGTCCAGTGTTCGGAAATACTACACGGATGCCTTTCGCGAAGTGAAAAAGTCGGAAGAAAAGGAGGACATCAAGGCCGCAGCGCTGAGAGCGTGGGAGACATTACGGTCTCTCTTCCCACACGAAGAAGGCTTTGACCTCGAGTTTCTGTCCAAGGAAGGGGAAGAGTCGGTAAATACCATCTTAACGACCCTGCAGGAATGGGCCATGGCTGGACTGGATTACCGACCGGGGGGACGAGACAACCTTCGCTATTCCATGGTAGCTCGGCATGGGGATGAATGCATGGAGCAGCTGGACAATCTCATGGCTGACTCCAAAGATAGCAAGCGACCAGCATTATGGCCCTTTGTGAAGCTGATCAGGTTCGGGAGGGCTCATAAGAGGTCTTGCGACACTTGGCTAATAGCGTGGTAGGGTTTATTTGCGGTCGCCTGTCTTGCGCACTGGTCTGGTCTTGGCCGATGTTCCAGGTATACCGCGGCTCATTCTCAGATCCGTTTGTTAAATGTCTGACATTTATATTCTTAGGCTTCCGTGACCTGAACTATGCCCGAGTCCGGGCGACAGAGAGGTATCTCCGTCACAATTGCGACGAAGTGTTCATCGTCAGCTCGATTCTCCGTTGTACCACCGACCAGTCGATCGGCGAAATAATCCAACTTTGTGCACGAGATCAGCCCATCCGCATTGTGTGCACTCGCTCCGAGGTCTGTGACTATTCCAAAGGATCAGGAGGTAGACTGACTGAAAAATGCCAGGATGTCGATGCCAAAGAGACTGCGCGCAGTTCTTCCACTGAGGACGCTGCACGCATCCGCAATATGGACAGCCGAATCGAGCATCTTGAAAGTAATATTAGATCGACACGCTCTCGGAGGCGACGCGCGAGCGGAAGTAGGGGTCGAAGCCTCGCCGCTGAGGAGACCGATTTGAGGTTTGTGAAGCTGACAGAACGATCTCGCCACTGTCTGACATTATTACAGCGACCAGAAAGATGCCCTCCAGCTCGAGTAAGTGATACACTTTATTGTTCAAGAAAGCAACAGCAGCCGCCAACTAACCACTTCCCAGGTTGGATCGTTTTCTGATTACAAGAAGGAACACCCGAGTTACGGACGTTCTGTTGGCCGCCTGGGGCAACAACGCGCGGGTATTCTGTGTTAGCAACAAGCTTTACGCTGATCATCGATTCATTGACATCGATGAAGCAAATGGGTACCGTGCGCTGAGTGGGATCACCGAGCTTCGTCGCTACTGCCAATCTGTTCCGGCCGATGCGCAGCTCCGAGCAACGGTCATTTATCTCAAGAACGAAGTCCCGGCCCTTCTAGGTTCGATAAATCAATGGGTCTTGGCGGGTTCGAGTGGCATTACTGTCGCCCGAGCGGAATTACTACGTGGGGTTTTGGTGGAGGCGGAACGGACCCTCGAAAGGGTACGGTCATCATTTCACTAAAAGCGCTCATTCTTTGTCAAATGAACTTCGCAGGGACTAATGTGCTTTGCTGACTCGAGACGGGATCGACCTTTGTTGACTTGCGTAGAACATTCTCTCTCAGGACTCAGAAGTGCGTCGAGCGCAGGGTACTTTGGAACAACTATTCACTAGCGACATCACACGACTCATCCGTGAGTATAAACCCTCACTCGGTTGAATAGTTAGCTAATCCATCAATTTGATGCAGATACGTCACGGAACACCTGGTGCAATAATGCAGTTAATGCGAGCAGAGAGTGGGCTTCAGTAAGTCAACGAGACGTACTAGGCACCATCGGTACCAAGAGCTAATCTCTTATGATAAGTGGCATCACCTGACATACGCAGCTTTTTGTCGCAATTATGGAAGTCACAAGACGAAAAGTCAGCCCCAGTATCGTTGCTGGAATGAAGAGATTCTCGGCTCAGCTTGTGGTTGGCTGAAGCTCGCATGGGATGGTGTGCTGAGCCAGTTGGAAGGGCATGCCGAAGGCTTTGAGAAAGGTCTTTCGCGTCTATTCGGGGAGGTCTGCGAGTCTATCGAAAGTAAGCGATTCCGGTGAACGTTGGATGTGCAAATGAAGGCTTGATTGCTGACATGATCCAACTTTCAGAACACCATGACCTCGCGCCAGAATCGCTGCAAAATCTGCTTTCGAATATCCGCACCCGGCAAAGATGCTTGGAGGAAGCGGTTCGCAGTTCCTTCCATGATCTCATATATACAACGGAGTATGGCTTCCGATGCAAGCTCAATCACACGCTGTTGGCTAACGCGCTGCACAGAAAAGTCAAAGCCGACACAATCCACGGGCACACCAGTTCTTATATCGCGAATGTCATGCGCCCTGTCTATAACATCTGCCAAGAGCAGTACGGTAGGAGCGCGAGCTCAGCAAATGGACATGACAAAAATCTAACTTCAGGCCTGTGAATTCAGGGACCGGGAGCGATTCCCGACGCAAGGGAACAATGAACCACTTTCTTTCATCTCCAACGCTTTTCATACAATTTGCCTCGAATATCGATAAAGACTATCGCCAAATCTTGGATAAGACCTTTGGTCAACTAGACCATAGGCTGCGCGACGAGGTTGCGAACATCACTCGGGACCTGCGGGCTTCAGTCACGGTCGAGGGCGAGGTTTCTGAAGCTGGCCAGAACCTTCAGCACGCAGGTCAAGTGAAGGAGAAGGTGGAGGAAATTCGCGTTGTTTTAGATCATGCTCAACTGACAGTTCGGGAATTGGCGGAGGGAGTGACGTTTTGATTTGTTTATTTTGTTGCGCATATTAGTATTGCTGCAGCGAGATCCTAGGATTTGCCAGCTGCGACCTGCATTACCCTTCTCATTGCCATCTAAAGTTAATATCTAGGTTCTAGCTTCAAGGAATTTCCCATATAAAGTTACACAAAACATTCAGTCACTTTCTGGTTGCACTTCACGCCTAGATACTCTGGTCTAATCAACCTTGATGACCACCTTGCCAAAATGCCTCTGATCCCACAGATACTGATACGCCTCGCGCGCCTCATCGAACTCGAACACTCGCTCATCAACCACGGGCTTGATATCGTTCGCCTCGATCGCCTGAATCATATCCAGCATCTGCTCCTTGCTCCCAATCTGGATGCCCCTGACAATCGCCGCACCCGTCAACGTATCCAAGATCTGCGGGGGCTGCTCCTGGTTCTTGCCACCGCTCGTCCCGCCAACATAGCCGATCACACTAATCACACCCTCCAGCTTGACACACTTCAGACTCTGGCGCATGGTATTCGGACCCCCGACCTCAACAACATGATCGACGCCGTGGCGCGTCAGCTTCCGCGCCGTCTCGCCCCAATTCGCATCTTCGCGGTAGTTGATCACATGGTCCGCGCCCAACTCCTTGAGCCGCTGCGCCTTCGCGCTCAAAGAGGTGGTGGCGATAACCCGCGCACCAGCGGCTTTAGCAAACTACCCAGCATATCAGCCTCACCCTTTCACATACTCCACCCATCATGCTCAAGCGACAAAAGGAGGAGGTGAAGCATACCTGCAGCGCAAAAACCGAAACCCCACCCGTGCCCTGCACGAGGACCGTCTGCCCCGGCCGGACCGGCTTAACCCCGTACAGGGCATTCCACGCCGTCAACGCCGCACAGGGGAGGGTCGCACTCTCGACCGCACTCATATTCCGCGGCGCATGCACGAGACTCATCTCATGGAAGACGCGGTACTGCTGCAGACAGCCATCCACAAAACCCCCCAGCCCGGACTTTTGGGCTTCCGCGGTGAGGTCGCCGAAGAGGTGGGCGGCGAAGAAGAGTGAGGTGATGCGGTCGCCTGGGCGGAAGGCAGTGACTTTGCTGCCGGTTTGGATGACGGTTCCGGCGCCGTCGGAGCAGGGGATTAGGTCTGGTTTGCTAGGGAAGGGGTATTGGTTCTTCCGTGGCATTAGTTGAGGTTCGTTTTTTTTTTTTCTTTTTTTTTTTTTGGAAAGGGTGGGGGACAGACCATGGGAATACTGGCGTCACGGTAGTTGAGCGAGACCGCCTCGATCTTGACGAGGACATCGTGCTCGCCGACTTCCGAGATTGGGGAGGTGGTCCGCTCCAGGCTGTCGAAGGTGTTGCCGAAGCGGCGGATGATCCATTGTTTGTTTGTTTGGGGGGTCATTTTGGGCTGGCTGTACGTTAATAACTTTTAGCAAGGGGATGTAGTGGTATTTGCGAGAGTACAGGAGTGATGTGGCATGGTCTGTGAAAGGGTTCAAATATACTCTTTTATCTGGGATACCGAGATCTGCTCCAGATTATGGAATCATAGACGGCGGCGGGGCTGACAAACTTGCGCCAATTAGGCCAGGGCTTGGCATGGGTGTGGGAAAGGAGTCCCAGAGGTTTGAGCTGGGATACCGACGTCTGGATTCTGGGATAGTGTAATTGGACCAGACTTCGATAGTTGGTCTCATTGCTTGGTTTCAGCTGCTTCAGTAGTATCACCCGATGGGATGATTATGATCGCTTGACGGTGTTGAGGAATGATCCGTGTGTTGCCTGTTTGATCACTTCAATATATTTCGAACGAGGTTGCTTCATTCTGAGTCTATTGCCTCGTGGACTCGCCATTGACTCTTAAAAAGTTTTAAGGCCACCATCAGTAGGGTAAATACAGTGATTTCTCAATAAATACATGAAAATAGTTCAAAATCGACATCTCAAAGTGGTGTGGTTAACAGGCAGACGTGGATTGTCCGAGAGGAAGCATTCAACGGGAAAGGCAGAGTCACGTGGCTTACATCAGGGTCACGAACACGTGATGCATCATGCCCTGAGCTCTGCAGGAGTAGCAGGGTTCTTAACATTAGATATGGAGTAGATTTGTAAGACTTTGGATATGTGAATATCTAAACTCACTTGAATTCTCACCTACTGTCTCCAACCAGACAGAAAAAGCAAATATGCTACGATAGCGCCGGAAGACAGAACTGTATAGCAGCTATGCAATAAATCCTTAAGACACAATCAAGAAACGTCAGGACAAACCATCTATCACTGCTTGTATATAGATCTTTGAGATAGCAAGCCCATAGTCCTACGGCGTAAGGAGGACAGAGCTGCTGTCTGCTAGACTGTACACAAGGCACGCTAATGCACATAGTAGGAAACCATCGAGTACTATTAGGCACGAGATTATTAAGGAAATAGAGACTCAAACATTTCACCGCTATGTACTTGATTGGTTGGACATACAACAGAGCACTAGCCACTACATGAATTATGGATGCCCTCAACTGCTACCTTCAAGAGCCTTCATCCGACGGATAATCTCCTCAACATCCTCCCAAATCCTTTGCCGGTTCCGCAACCCCTTCAGCCCAGCCCACTGACTCTTGACCTGAGTAAACACTCGATGCCAATCCGTGTTCGCCCTCTGTAGTCTCACCTGCTTCGGCACCACAACAGGCCACCGGACCAGGTAGTCCACCAGATCATCCTGATCCGTCGGCTTGGCTCCCAGGACCTTGGCGTACTGATTCCACGCGTCCTTCACAAACTTGACCTCGTTCGCGTTGAGCGTCGTCCACCACGAGGGGGTGTGCGTAATCTTCGAATCATCCCACGTCTCCCACAGCCAGGGCATCTCTTCACAAACGAGTCGATACCAGACACTGTTGGGGAGGTGCGTGAACGCCCGCGACGCCGCGCGAAGGCGCGTGACGTCTGCTGCATCGAGGAAGCCGATGATGTGCAGACGGAGGTCCAGCGGGAGGGAGCTCAGGCGGTCGACTGCGAGGGCAGTTGAGGGAGGCTGCTCCTTATCATTGGAGTTGGTAGTATCCACCTCCTGCTTCGTAGCCTCTGCAAGTAACGCCGGCAAGCCAGGCACATAGAGCGGGTTCGCAGCCAGATATTCGCAGCCGGGTCTATGGTCCCACCATTGCTCCTGCGACTCGAAGACATCGCCCGCCCGGGGGAATTCGTGGAATTCTTCATAGCTGCACTCGGAATTGCGCCATTTGATGAGCCCGTCGACGTTTACCTTGTTGAAGTGCTGTTTCGACTGGCGGGAGAAGATATCGAAGCACCACGGATGAAATGGCATGGCGAGCTCGTGGGGACCCATGGGCTGGTAGAGATACATCAGTCTTCAATTGCTTTTTCGGAGTTGATTTCAGGTAGTATGAAGATCACTTACAACGAAACTAACATTATCCGCCGCCACAGTCTCCACCCCGCCCCGTGCAGGCCAGACATCCGGATACCCGCAATCGCGCGATCGCATCCCGTCACACACGCCGGAGAGGAACCACTCCTCCGCCGTCTCCCAGTCCTCGTGCAGCCCATCGGGCTTCCATGTTCCCTCCGCCTGCGACTTATGCACGAGGAACTGGGCCGTCCGGCACCCGCGCATCTCGGCAACGGAGATTGCCGCGCCGGAATAAGCATGGGCTTGGCCACAGGTGCGGGCGGGGATGTGTTCGAGATCTTCGGGGTTGTAGCCCGCGGGGAGCTCGGAGGATGTGATGGGAATCAGGATGTCTTTTTTCGTTCCGGTGGTTGTGGAATAGGCTAAGACGCCGATGGGTTCGCCGGTGTAGTGTTTTGGGTTCAGTGTGCGGAGTGTGTTGGAGATGAAGTCGCGATACAATCCTTCCTTTTCCTCGTCTGGAGTGATGGCCTCGCTTTTATGGCTGGTGTTGTCACTTTGATCTTCGGAGAGACTCATGGCATCATCCGATTCATATTTGGAATCATATTCGTACGGCTCTGTGGTCTCATCGTTGCACTCTCCAGGCTGATAGTCGGGATCAACCTCTGATTCGCTATCCTGGTCTCCGGGGTATGGGTATTTGAGAGCGAAAACGCAACCCTTCTTGGCACACTTGGCTAGATCGAGATCCTCGATCTCCATGGAAAGGCTATCGTCGCTGCCAAAGGAAGCAACGTGGGGCTCTCCGACATCGCGCGCACGACCGATGTTGAAGCTGACACCGCAGAAATGGCAGTAGGCCTAGTATTGGTTATCAATCAGCTTTAAATCTTGATGAGAGGGAATGTGCTCCTACCTCAGAGTATCCTGTATTGCATCGTCAGTTATCGAATCCTCTCTCTGTGAGTTCCTCTTGTGTTAGCTTACCCATTGTGCTTTTCTTTAGTCTATGATCGAATGGGCTATGACACGTCCCAAGACCTTGATGAGCAGCGCAGAAGAATGTGTTCTGGATGAAGTGGTATTTGAGTTGGATGCCAGGAACGGGGTCTAGGCCAGGCTACCGCGTGGCTGGAATTAGGCTGCACTCCTCCCCCACAAGCGAGGGGCGGTGTGGCTGTGCAGGGCCAATGGCGGTGGTGAAATAGCACGTGACTAAGGCAGCAGTGATGTTTGTCTCTTACTATATCACACTTTGAAGATGTCAGATTGAAGCCTGACAGTCCAGTACATATCAAGCACCTTAGTCAAATAGTCATCCTCCTCAGCTAGCCACCAGAGTTCCCGCCTGTATGAACTTACCTCAACAAACAGCCAGTACTAGATATGCTCCGGTGAAACAGTCCAGTTAGAGGCTTCCTCGCGCACACAATCAGCGCCTGATCGCACGAGCGAACCGGATCTCAAACTCCACTGGAAAGGTGTCCAAAATCCACTCGGTAACCTCCTCCTCCAGGAAATTGTACTCCGTAACCTGTCCGAGCAGCTTCTTCGCACTCTCGTAGGCCGGTCCGCCCTGCAACCAAGAACCTTCGATGATCTGCCATCCACCCGATCGCAGAAACGTCGCGCGGGGGAAATCGTCCAGAACCTCCAACGCCCAGTTCGGCTTGACAGGGCGTTCGGCGACGAATTCGCGGAGCGCAGCGGGGGCATCGACGACAATATACAGGTTCCGGCATCACAGCTCCAGTCCCCCATGGAAGAGTCTCGAGAGCGGCGCGGGTTCAGAATCCGTGAATCTTCGCTGAGACAGCGCCACGTGTCGGATGAGATGGTTGCGGTCAAAGTTACGATCGGAGTGGGCGGTCGATAGGACGCAAAATACATGGATCACCTCCCACAGGAAGTCCTGCCATTGTGAATCGGGACAGAACACTATGTCGCGTCGAGGATCGAAGGAGCGCCTGGCGATGGTGTTGTGGTTGTGGGTGTAAGGTTTGTTGTTGACGTCCATTGCAAGGGACTGGCGTTGAATCCACTCATGGGCTACCTGGTGGGCTTCTTGTTCGCTTCGAGGAGCGCAATCTCGACCGAGAAGAAGCCCATCTCGATTGGATCGATGAGGGTAGGGAGTCAGTCATCATCGTCGTCGTAGTCGTCGCATCTGTCGTCCAACCCCTACATGTGCAGTGCGATTCTCTTCCAGAAGAATAGAGGGTTGCTGATCGGGTCGGGGAGAGCGGCCTCCCATATCATAAGACGAATCTCGGTAGAAAGGCGTGAGAAGGAGGGGAATGACGCGGTTGCCATTTCGTAGGATACACTTGATGATAACTAGCAGGAAGAGATGAAGATAATGAGATAGATGGCGTAGAGGAAAGGAAGGAGAAAAGTCGAGGTGACTAAGACTGATCAAGACGACTGCAGAATACGATGGCAGCTGAGAGATGACATGTGTTACGGGTGAAGATGCCTTCAGGCAGCAGGGGTTAGAAAGTAGTAATGAAAACTGTAGCCTAGGTCTGTCTATAGTGATTCAAAATCACGTGTCGTCGGGCCCAGGCAGTTGCCCGTCTCATACGGCAATGGTTTTTGCTTCCCTCCGCTGTTGGGCCCGAGCATTGGTCTATTCGAGTTTAGTCGGGGTCTTGTCGCGATAATTGAAACCTTCTAGGAGTCCCCCAACGTACTTTAAAACTATAGCTTTTCTTTTACGCCGCAAAGCGGGAAGTTGCAAGTTCTTGGGATAAGTCTTTGTTCTTTGATGGCTACACACCGTGTTCTTAAGCGCCACCAAGTACCAAAATCTGTTCTACAGTGTGGGATCCAGGGCAAGACGGGAGTTGTGATGTATATCCAACACTGTTGATGATGCGCTGTTTCCTAAGTTGCTAGAGGCTAATAGACACGAACTGAGTCATTTGCATGCAGATCAACCGGTCGTAGATAGATAAAATAGACAAGGACCGGCCCATGTCATCCGGGTGTATCAGATCGCCGGCCATCCCGATCAGGTATTCCTCGGGCCGCCACGGAGTCCGTCTCCAGAAGAACAGAGGTTTGTCGATCGGGTCGAGTAGCGCGGCCTCCCAGAACATGAGACGGATCTCGGCGGGAAGACGCGAGAAGGATGGAAATGTCGGGGTTGTCATGGTTTGAAGATTGATCTAGATTGCGATTGGTGGTGATGAATATAGGTAGAGAGATAGATGAGTGTTGTATTGAGATAGAGAAAAGGAAGGCAAAAAGTCGAAGGGACTGAGCCTGACAAAGAGGACTGCAGACAATGATGGTCACTGTGATGGACGACGATGAATGACTTCAAAGACAACAGTCGAGGTGGATGGAAAAGGTTGAGTGAGAGAAGGAATAGCTGAGCTGAGAGATGGCGGATGTGATGGGTGAGGATGCTTTTAGGCAGTAAGAATGGAATGTTAACAATCATGATTGTAGCCTAGATCATGTCGCTTCCAATGAATACATCTCTCATACGCTGCTAGAATGGTACACAGCGAGGGGCTGGTCTTAGTGAATAAATAACCGCAGGCTATCAACTTGGACTCGAACCTCATATCAACCTCTTGCTTGTTCCATTTTGGGTTAGAGGGGCCACATGCCTTGAGAATATATAGTACTTAGAACCTTCGCAAGCTTTTTCCAATGTATTGTTGCCTCCGCAATTCTTCCACATAAGATTTATCAGCACATTTACCTACTGTGCAAGCCCGCCATTTTGTACATGCAAAACAGGTCAAGCATTCGATGCCCAAATTCAGCAGTCATTATTCAGCAGGGACGTGTCCCTCTTTTTGCCTTCACAACCCACTTCAGCATATGTTGCCGAGAGAGCAAGATGAAGAGTAAGCGTAAGGTGACGTTCACTACTTACTGCATGACGTAAAGTTGTTTGCTGATATGTTTCGTCGGGTCTGCTTACCAGACATTGAATCCCCAGACACTCGGCGTGATATCAGAGTGAATGCTTAATATGCTACGTACTCCTATTCTCGACTCCAAGGACCAATAGCCAATATTGTTCCTCGCTCATCCTAATCTATCCTAATTTACCCCACCTTGGCCGCTGTCAACAGCAATACCAAGGAAGCACTGTGAAGAAGATAAGGATGGTTGGTCAAATGCCATGATCATGTGCTCATGTATATTGTCGCTCTTACTCGGCGTCTTCGGTGACAAGACCACGCCATAGAGGTAATGAAGATTTTGGATACCGTAGGTTTGATGTCTGGGCTCGCGGGCGACTGTTGTCTTGGGTCAGTGAGCGAATGAACCGCCTCGGCAGGTTAGTGGCGGCCTCAGGCCACTGCGCCGGAGATTCACACTGCGGTCGGACATTTGGTGAAAGTCCGCGGACTTTCAACACCAGCCCTAATGTTGCTGACCCCCGGTCTCTTGCTCCGGATCTTGTCAAATCTCCGTTCTTGAGCGAGTAAATATGACAAATATTCACAGAATGCAACAATCAACATGACTTATAAGCACACATGCAGAATGGTTTTCCATTCCCACACCCTGCCTATCTTGTCCTACCTAAGATACCGAAGTCAGGCCTATCCTCAAAAAGCTATTTTCACATAGGCTGCGGTCATCGAGAAGGATCTATTGAGTGATGTCTTCTACCAGTGAATCTACGATGCCTGACAGCCGACATCCTCGCAAAGAGGAAGTCGACAGGGCCGATGATCACAGCTCAGGGCCTGGCGGTGTTGGCGAGCCAGACGCTGGAGGTCCTCCATCCGCATTTTCATCTACCTTCCAAGAGGTCCTTTTCATCTTTGTCATTGGCCTATCACAGCTCTTCTCTGTCGGTGGTCTCGGGAATACCGCTTTCTCGGTGCAGCAAATTGGCCACTCGCTGAACGCCACAAGCAATGGTCAAATGTCCTGGTTCCTAGCGTCATACTCTCTCTGCGGCGGTGTTTTCGTTCTAGTGACCGGACGACTAGGCGATCACTTCGGCCACAAATATGTCTTCCTTTTCGGTTGGATGTGGATGGCTCTGTGGTCGCTCGTGAGTGGCTTCGCCAAAGACGTGATCCTCTTCGACATTGCTCGCGGCATGACGGGCATCGGCAACGGGGCACTGGTCCCCAACTCCTTCGCCCTCCTTGCACGTGCCTTCCCCCCGCTGTCAATCAAGAAGAACCTTGCTTTTGCCTTCCTCGGATTCTGCGCACCATCGGGCTATATTTTTGGGGGCTTGATCGGCGCTGCCTTTGCCGAGACAGTCACCTGGCGATGGGGGTATTGGTTCTGGGCCATTGGCTGTCTCGTGCTGGGCGCAATAACCTATCTCATCGTTCCCCACCGCGTGGGCTCACCGATACCCGGCCTCACTCTCAAGCAATTCGACTACCTCGGATCCCTTCTCGGTGTCTCAGGTCTCATCCTCTTCTCCTTCGCCTGGAACCAAGCCTCGGTGGTAGGCTGGCAAGAACCCTACGTCTACGCGCTTCTCATCGTCGGACTTCTCCTGATCATCGCATTCGCTATTTCGCAGTCCCACGTCCCAGCTCCCGTCCTCCCTAACACCCTCTGGACCCGCAAGGGCTTTTCCCCGGTCGTGACAGCCATGGCATTCGGCTGGATGTCCTTCGGCATCTTCCTCTACTACACCACGATCTACATCCTCACCATCCACAAAGCGCAGCCACTCACCACAGTCGCGCAGATGGTTCCGCTTGTGATCGGAGGACTGTTCGCGACGGCCTCCGTCGGGCTCTTCATCACCAAAGTCCCCGCGCAGTATATCTTCGGCGTCTCCATGTTTTCCTTTCTGGCTGGCAACCTGCTCATGAGCTTCGTTCCGTACTCCCCCGTCTACTGGGCCTTCATCTTCCCTGCGTGCTTGCTGGTGGTGGGCGGACCGGACCTCTCGTTCGCCTCGTCGGGGATCCTCATCTCCAATGCGGTCCTGCCGGAGGAGCAGGGCGTCGCTGGCTCCTTTATATCAACGGTCGTGCAGTACTCCATTTCCATTGGCCTGGGGATTGCCGCGACAGTCGAGGCGCATGTCAACCGCGGGGGGGATGATGTGGTCCGCGGGTATCGCGGGGCGCTCTGGCTCGGGGTCGGGTTTGCGGCGATCGGCTTCTTCATTGTGGCTCTCTTTGTTCGGGACAGTCGGTTCAATAAACAGGAAAAGAATGGGAAGGTCAATGCGAGCAGCATGGATAGCGCTGAGATGCCAATCGACAAGGCGGAGGTCTGAGGTCTTGTTAAGGTAATTAGAAATCGTCGGGGAAATGAGCCTGGTATCATATTTAGCTAGATTGGATACAGGATAAAGATTTGTACGGTTACAGCACCAATGATAGGTTGATGTGACTTTAATAGCAAATGAAGCACAAGGAGGTATGCAAGACGATCCTTTGATAGGTGGCTGTAGTCAGTCAGGCTGTGTCTTGCCATTTAAGCTTCTCTATGGCAGAGCAATTCAGACTATGTTGTTCGATTCAATTGCATGTTCATATTTGCTACAGGGCGGTTCAGCAGACACCAAGGACTTTTTTTTTTTTTTTTTTTAGTTCTATTTTATCCCCTCCCCCCCGCGGCGATTTTTGTGCGCTTACTGCATGTTCTTTACCCTGGCCACCCGCAGACATTTCGCTCACAAAATATATATTTCCCTTTGAAAGGAGAGCAAAGTTGTCACTAGAACTAGGTGGCCTGGGGGGGAAAAACAAGGTAACTGCTCATCTAGCTTCAACAGATTCCACCCATTGTAGCAACTAGTGATCATTTTTTCTGGTTAACTTGTGATGTTATGCCTTCAGGGTTATGTGTTGAGCCCGAGCGGGTGCTCTGTACCGTACCGCAGACAAAGTAGGTCAAACAATCTGGTAGCCAGAATCGGCAGATCACCTGACCCACTTGTCCGCAGTATTAAAGCCCCGCTCCGTCAACTGGCCAGCCTTGGCTAGCTAGCCTACACACCAAGCGTCAGCCGGCAGGTGGCTGCATTCCAGAAACAACTCCCTCTCTCTTCGTTTGGTTTTTCGTTCAACCACCACAGATGGAGCGCAGAATGGTTGACAATGACCGCAGTAAAACCAACGCGGGCTCGCACGCGGGGGCACGCAAGTTTACGCTCTCGTGTTCCCGCTGTAGGGCCTCGAAGCTAAAATGCGACCGTGCAGAACCCTGTGTCAGTGCCAACCTCCTGCACACGCGAGCGATCACATCGCTCTTGAGGCTGGATGCTTACAGTACGCTTACAGGTGGAGTGCGTCAAGCGTAAGATCGGTCATCTTTGTACCAAAGACGAACGGCACCCGAGGGCCAAACGGTCTAAAACCGTGCACCGAGGCAAGACAGCGTCCAAGCAGTGAGTGATCACCATTATCAATATTGTAGTCAGTGCGTTAACTCTTCTTCTTCAGGGATCTACCACCGAATAGAGACGGTGAGGTGGAAGCAGAGGAGATAGCGCAACTCTTGGAGCATTTCGTCGAAGGAATTCCTCGACCGAAGTCTATGGCGACAAAACCGTTGTCAGTCGCACCAGATTTTCCGAATCGATACTGGTCCAGTACAGACCTTAAGCGACACGGTGAAAAGCTCGCCTTGATCCGAGAGATTGTCGATATTTTGCCGGAGTGGGAGGTGATCCATCTCCTTTTGGAAGTATTCGTCACTCGCTGTCAGGGCCCTTTGGGGAATGTGGTGCATACTCCGACATTCATAGCGCAAGCTGCACAGTTCGGCACCTGCTTGAGTCTGACTTCACCCGACGAACAGGTTTCTGCGATAGCCAGTGCAGTCACGATGGAGACACTGGGCTGTTACCTCTTAGCGGTAGGTGTAGTCTACCTGACACAAAAGCGTCATGCTCACATCGTTGCTTGGTTGTCAGCTCGTCCTCGGTCTTGCTTTTCACCCTACGCCGTCAATACTGGGATGGAGTTCTACGCCATTAGCTCTACGCGTGGAGGAGTTACGATCGTCCGAATTGCGCGCCAAGACATGGAGGGCTCTAGGCTTGCGTTGTCTGCAGGACGGTGTGTCTTTCTTCTGTGGTTCAATCGCCGGGTTACAGGCCGCAGTTATGCTTCTACTCGACGGCCAAGAGGGCTCGTTGGCGCTGGATGCGGTTTTGGTCACTGCGATTTCGGGAGCTCGCAGACTCGGGCTGCATCGGCTGGGGGACATCAAGTTGTTGCATGCGTCTGCATCATATTCTGCACGCCCTGAAAATGGCACAACAACACCGGCAGAACCGCCACATATCCGAGTAGAACTCGGGGTTCGTATATGGTAAGGTTGATCGAGAAGATAGGTGACGAGTCCTTGCTGACATTTTCGTACAGGTGGGCATTGGTCCAAAGGGATTGGTCCCGCGGACAAGCCCTCGGCTACTACACCATTCAGCCATCACAATTCAGCACCCGGATGCCGTTGCACGTGAATGATGATGATCTCTCTCTACCAACTTCACAATTAGATGGCAATGGACACATCGCAGAGCGACCTCGATCCGAGTTTACAATGATGTCGTATACTCTCCACGCCCTGGAAGTCGGCGGGATTGTCCGCGAATCCATCGAGTTATGGGGTTTACCAACACATGAGGCCGACTTGACCACCAAATCTGCCAAATCGCGCCAGAATCTCACCAACAAGTATGAAAAGTACGTTGCTGGTCTGCCGGCGTATTTCCGATTGGGAAGCACGGTCGGACTTACCGCCACCGGGGGTCCCATGGCGGCGATCCCCGTGCAACGCTGGATGCTGCATCAGCAACTGTGGAGCTTACTGCTTCGACTACATCGACCCAACCTCTCATCGCCAGTCGGCCGTCCTTTCTGTCAGCTTTTGGCCCAGAATATCATCGGCACCCAAGGTCAGATCCAGGCGCGGTGTACCGTGTGTGGCTCGCTGTCGACCAGTGAGATACAGCTCTTCAATGCGGCCGTGGTGTTGCTCCTCGATCTGCTCTTCACCTCTAAACCCGGGGATGATGTAGATAGTGCCAGTGCACAGCACCTTAGCCGACTGATGACTCGCGACAAGATTCGGGAAGCGATGGAATTGCTACGAGTCGAAAATGTCAAGAAAGGGCCATCGATATCCCACAATCCGCATTGGGAGTCAGAGATCGACGGGTCCGCTCAGCGCTGCGTCGTTGCTCTGGAAGCCTTGATGAAGATCGATGAAGACGACGGTCTCGATAAAGATGACAGTGCTGCGGCCGGAGGTCATGGCGGCAAAAACCTCGCTGCTGCAAGCTCACGAAAACTCGAGGTCGCGGGTATTCTGAAATCATTGAGCAGAAAGGGCGCTGAGCCCGCCGATGCACCCGAGCAAGAACATCCGCAAGGCCCATTCGAGCCCCTCTTACCATCCAACCCATTACTATCATTTGTCGATAGTAGTGTTCCCGACGGGTTTCCGGAGCTTGACGTGCTGCCGCTTCTCTCCAATGGTCTCGTCAGCCCGGACGACCTTTGGCAGTGGCAGTTGTCGGACTTTCCCCTGCCACCACTCGATCCTTGGGATCCTCACTCCATAGATGTCCCGTTTGCTACCATAGGGGACGACCTCCCTGGCGAACTTGGAATAGGCGTTTCAGACACGTCGACATTTGCCGACTCTTATAGTGGTAGTACTCCTGGCACCCGCATGACCCGCATATCCCCTTCGCCTTCTGTGGGATGAACCTATGGGACTACCAGCTGGAGATGGGGACTTCCGTCTACGTCCCGCGCAGCCGATGCCTACCTTGCCACCGCATTATTGTACGGGCAATGAGCTGGAAAGCAGTAGTAGCATTGATCTATGACATAATGTCGGCTTGATTCCAGACTACGCAATACACCAACAATAACGCCTTCAGCATGGCTACTACTTCATGATTCATCTGCCGCTGCTTGTATAAAAAGTGTTATAACGATCGCATCGTGCTTAAGCAGCTCCAGATTTATGGTTCATTGGCAGTCTTTGTGCAACCGCCAGTTGCTTTGTGTGCGATATAAGTTTCATCTCAGCGAGAGACAAGCACATACGACCATAGGGTGTGGAAAACAGGGCTTCCCGTCCGCTCAGCCGTACTTAAGCCACACGCCGGGAGGTTAGTAGTTGGGTGGGTGACCACCAGCGAATCCCTTCTGTTGTATGTTTTGCTCTTTTTGCTCTAACTTTTTGTTCTCTAACTTCATCTGACTGTATAATGGCTAGAAGTGGCCAAGGTAGTAGTTGGTTTGGTTGTAGGTGCGCTGGTCCAGATTGTAAAATATACTTCTATACTAGTAGTATTTGTAATAAATTAGGAGAAGTATTTTCATCATCTATAATCTTGACCAGCTATAATATAGGATTCTCATTTTTATTCTCGAAGCTGTTGTGCGTCTTATTACTGTAAAAGCCGTTTCTTCGAGTATTTGATTACTTAGTTCTATATTTAGACTAATATATCCACTGCAATATTAAGCTGTTATATAAAAGTTTTGATTTTAACTAACACTCTAATCATTATATTTTATCTTTGAAGAAAGCAATTTAAATCTACAGACTTTAGATATCTACGTCAGAGAGCAGTGGATAGTATGCCATGGGGACAAACCGCTTGTTCGAATACCATTAGATTTTGTTCCAACTTTATAGTTGAAGTCAAATACGATTATCTCTGGATACGTGAACACGTGCCTTTATTTCGCATGTACCGAAAATACGCTGAACAGCTTTCTCGCTCAGCTGCCAGGGATGCTGGGGGCCTCGCGAGGACTGGGGGTTGGAGCTTGCTGTAAAGTCAATTGTCATGGCAGTCCGATGAGTGACGTCCATAGTGGCTCCAGCCCAACTGGCAGGTGTCCATGGCCGGGAATGTCCTGCGACTGGAGGGCGCTTTGAGCAGACCGTGAGTATGGGCAGACATGCTTGGACTGAAACGGAACAGTGGGGCGTGCCCATTCCATGCGGTCCTGTTCGCAAGATACGGAGCCGAGAGCAACCGCTATGTAGACACAAGCTACGAATGCTAGCTGTTGCTAGCTTGCTTAAGCTCTTCATGCTATTTATGCTCCAATCTCACAAATAGTACATAAAACGTATCTTTTGTCCCTACCAAGGCTCTTTTCCGTTTATAGAGTCTTCTCAGTTCTCTGTATTGGCGTTGGATAAGAAGCACCCTAGCAAAGTAAGTATATGTACTGATGTGATCAGAGCTTCTATTTGGTCTTGAGTCTGCGGGATTGGTTGGATCCACCGCCTAACAGGCCGTGTTCAATTTGAGTACTTGGTTGGAACTACTAGTATAAAATGGCAATTCAAGTAAAAGAAAGCAGAAAGGGGTATGTATTCGTCACTGAAACTATCAAGGCTACTTCGTACACTTTAAAAGTAGTGTGGCAAGTTCAATGGCTCTAACCACACATTCAATATCTCCTCGATCGTAACGTCCTGGAGATCCCCCCAAGGAAAACCAGGATCAGGCGGAGGCTCTTCATAGATAGTATTTTCTAGAATCCTAGTGGCGAAGACTCCCGGTGCACCATTATTCTCTCCAGCACTATCAGACTGCGCAAGACGATATTTCTCTTCAAACCATTCAGAAAGGAACCGCAGCCAATCTTGGTAGAAGAACATCTCATGTTGATCCCACTTCCCACCTTTACACTCCTGATCAAGCGTATTCATGCGCTTGACAGATTTCTGGATTTCATGCCGCATATCCAAGGTCTCTCGCAACCCTCGGACTTGATCGTGATCTCGAACGGATGGCTCCAACGATGCGAGAACAAGTTTGCATGAAGCTGCAACGCTGAACCCGGTCATTATCCATTGGATGTAACTATATCTCTTTTCAATACCAGGTGGTAGACTGAAGTAAAAGCTCATAAATTGTTTTGCAGCCGCTAGTCCGTGACAAAGGGCATCGATTCGCAGGAGGGCCATGGGTTGGTCGAATGACGCGGCGGAAGATGGGTATACATCGAAAAAGATAGTTTGATAGAGATGGATTTCGAAGGCGTGGGACGGAATGCCTTGGAATACTAATCAAGTGTTAGAATTTAGATCTGCTGTACAGATGAGGCTTGGTCAACTCACCATCATGGTCAACAGGGACAGGAAGCCGGGCTTTGCAATCTTCAAAATCGCTTTGAAGAGAGCTAATCATCACTTCTATATCCGCAGGAGCCTGATTCACGCCGAATCCCCGTGCAACTAAGGAATCGATTCGTACAAGCATGTGTTGTACTTGAACCTGGCCTAGCAGGTATCGATCGGCTGAGAATTCGCATTCCTGCGACAACTTCGCAGCGCATGATTCTATGAAGGGTGACCAGAGCATTGTTCCTGTCCGCTGCAGTACTATGGAGTGACTAGTCATGTGAAAAGAAAGTAAGCAAGACAAAGTCTTTTCAGGTCTAGACCGGGCGGTACAGGTGGTAAATCGAACTTACCACGCGTCAAGGAGAAAATATCCAACCAAAGCTCGCATTTCCTCGTTTCGCAGGGAAATCGATGCTGTCGGAGGATCCGTGGCCAACATGACGTCAATTCCTTGTCTTACTCCTCGCAGCTTGGCTGGGTAATACAGTCTGCAATCATTGATTATACTTTGTGCGAGGTGCAAATATCCAGAAAACCGCACTATATGGAGTTTTTTCTTCGTGCTATCTTCCGTGTTAGCTTTTGTGAGTCTAATGAAGAGAGATATTGTCTAGAACATACCCAGCTATAGTAACCAGCAATCCCTGTAGTATATCGAAGGGTTGTTGGCGATTGCCTTGCAAGACTTGTCCCCCAAGGTAAGACGTCGAAACCTCCTCGAGGGCCAGGTGCAGCGGGACATTTTGAAATGAGGAGACCAGAAGAATAGAGAGTAAGAGAAAGGGTTTCTCTGATCTGAGATCCTCGACAGTGGCGTTTCTCGGCAGCTGTACAAATGGGAAATACGTTATGGCATCACGAAAGCTCTCTATCAAACGATTTGCCTCTTCGTGAGTGATCAGCCCGTTCCCGATCACATCGCACGGATTTCGAGGAGTCGGAGCACAACTTTCACTTTTCGGTGACAGTGGCAGTGGCAGTGGTGCCTGTTGTGGGCTTGAGCGAGGCTGATTGATCTGGCTTAATATTTGATTCACCTTGTCCTCGAGTGCACCTATTCGCCTAGATTAGATGCGGTCAGCTTGACAGAGCGTATCGATACGAGGAGTGGGCAGATATACGTCTCCCTCTTCTTAGGAGTACGAGCTTTTGTTGCGCGGAAATAACAATCTCTGTTCAGACGGAGACACCTTCAAAGCGTGTTAGGTTTACGTTGCTAAGTCGAAGAGAAGCGAAGTAGAATGCATACCGATCGCAGCTTTGGGTAGAGGTGCGCGAGCACCTAATTTTAGCACGCACACAGTTCTCGCAGGTCTTGACTCGGCCTAGACTGGTCGGCGCGGACATAGTAGGCAGCATTCAAAGAATTGGAGCTAAAGTGGAGGCCGGACAGGAACAGGAGGCCTTAAGAGTCCGCGGACCGGCCCCCAGGTAATTCCCCTCCTAGTCCGCGGACTCGGAGTTGGCCTGGACTCCGTGTCTTGGCACCGCCCATTGTCAGCCCTGGAAAGTATACTCGCGCCAATGGTAGTCCTCCGTAGGATTGGAGCTAGCATAGCCTCGTGGCTGGTTTTCAGGCCCCGTTATTTTGTCAGGTTGCATAAAGGGTGTGTGTATTCGATGCCATGAGGAGGGGAATATCAACCTCAACCCATCTAGACTCGCATTCTACCTCTTCTCCTCCTCACTATCTCAAAAAAAAGAACAAGCAGAAAAAAGAGAGAAAAAGAGTACAAATATCAACACTGAAAATGTCGGAAATGAAAATGGACGACTGCACCTTGGCAACTTGCCCAATTGACTTGGCTTATATCAATTACCAGCCTAACATCCCGGCAAATGTCCTCTTCCTCGTCATCTTCGGCCTTCTCCTCGCCGCGCAAATTGCCCTAGGAACATGGTTCCGAACATGGACATACATGGGGGCCATGACCGCGGGGCTCATTCTTGAAATACTGGGATACATCGGGCGAGTCATGATGCACAGCAACCCATTCGACTTTAACGCATTCCTCCTGTACGTGACCTTTGAGACATACCTCTGAATAAAGCAAGCTAATCAGAAACTTGACTTTTAGATACCTCATTTGTCTCACGATTGCCCCGGCCTTCTTCACCGCCGCCATTTACATCTGCCTGGGAAGAATTGTCATCGTCTACGGGGAGGGTATCTCCAGGATTCGCCCGCGTACATACACAATCCTCTTCGTCACTTGCGATATCATCGCTCTAGTCCTACAAGCAGCCGGCGGCGCCATTACCTCCATCGCCGATTCTGACCAAAAAAACCTCAGCGATACCGGTGTCAATATCATGATTGCAGGATTGGCTTTCCAGGTCGCCTCGCTGATGTTGTTCATCGTGCTCGCTTCAGAATTCGCTCTGCGAGTGCGCCGCAGCTCAGAAGACATGAAGAATGCGTCTACATCATCTGTTCGCAGTGGTTTGAAATGGCAGATGTTCCTTCTGGGCAAGTGCCACTAAACAATCCGCATTTATCAGCGTATGCTAACCCAATCGAAGGTCTTGCCATTGCCATTTTAACGATCTTTACTCGCTCGATCTTCCGTGTTGCGGAGCTGAAAGGTGGATTTAACAGTGATCTGGCCAATGATGAAATTGCCCTGATGATCCTTGAGAGCACTATGATTGCCATTGCGTGCATTTGTATGACCGCCGCTCACCCAGCAGTTGCCATGGGCCGGCGATGGGGGGAATTCTCGGCGAAGCCGCGTCGTGGAGTCGTTTCGTCTAAGGTGTCGCAGGCTTCATCAGAGATTGAGATGACGAATGCTTAATAATATATAGCAAAGCCTTTGATGACTCGGAGTGGTCGGTTTCAAGAAATTGGGTATTACATATTTCAGCGTTTGGTTTGGTCTTGGTACCATCAGCGAGTTAGATCTGGAGTTAGATTTGATTTGAGCGATTTGAATCATAGCATTCTCACATTCCATACTCCAATCCCTCCAGTCATGCAAAGAGTTGCACCAGCTAGGGTATAGTTCCTAGGTTGCCTTTAGGCAGTGGATGAGGACCAGTGAAGGACCAAAATCTTGAGGTGTCCGCAGAAAAAAATGAATACTTTCCCTGACTCTCGAATTCGAGTGCCTAGGCATACATCTGAGCTGCAATTATTGCTGTACTCGTGCGACTTCTTTTCTTGGGACATTTTGCGTCGATCTCTTTTCTGTCGTAGTGACTTGGTCACGCTGAAAACTTTCGACTGGCCGCTGGAGTTTTTGGTCATTATGACCGAGTGGTATGGAGAATTATAGGCAAACAGTACGCCGGTGTCAAGGCACGGCTTTTCTATTATGAACGATAGGTGTGTCTTCCCGGGGGAAAATTACAAAAAGGCAAGACGCGCTTTTGAAAAGGTTGCTTCAACCAAAGAGGCCATGATTCTCGGGACCACCATAGTTTTTAATCTCTAGGTTTGGGCTGTGCTTCCTGTTTTGCTCTGGTGTCAGGCTAGGAGCATTGGATTTCATGTTGTTTCTCTGGAGAGAATAGTAGTTGAAGGTGAGCCGAGGTGAGAACGAGATTGCCCAATCAGTTCTCAACATTGAATCGAGGTCGGCTTTTCATATCACTGACTCCTCTTGACGCCTGCGAGAGAAGTGGAAGATGGTTGAATCTGACTACGTCAAGCTAACTGCGAGGAACGAACTACCTAGGTAGTAGCTAGCTAAGGCAGCCTGGGATGGGATACCGCAGGACCTCGTCGATTGCAATGGCTAAATGGCCTCACGTAGCACAATGTGACCTCGTCTCTATTGCTTCCGATCTGGCAATCCCGTCATTCGCGGAGGAGATTCGTGTCCTGCCGATGATTCCTCGAGGTGAAGCGGTTGAGGAAATGAAGGCGGCCACCGTGGACCTGTATGGTTATCCACAGTTGGGGGACGAAAGTGTCGGGTGTCTGGCCCAGTTTGGAAAGCATGCTTTTACCTAATTAGAAAAAGAATAAACCAGGCCCTAATAAGTTCTTGCTGGATAGGTACTAGGTATTTCAGGTTCAAGGTTGTATCAAAGCACTACTTGAGAGCTTCTCATCTAACCTACTAAATAAGCCTACTGAAGTAGCTCCGGAACTTCTTCGTGTAGAGAATGCGTAGAAGGAGGAGGAAAAAAAAAAAAAAAAAGATAGAGACAAAGAAACAAGCCAGGTCTCCTCTTGTATATCTATACATAAGTACACCGTTCCAATATCTAAATCAAATACCCTTACAACTGCGGAGACCTGCCAAACTCTTTGTGCCATAGATTAAAGGGACATTGGCTTCACTAGCAGTCAAGGTATACTACCGGCTGAACTTCCTGGTGTACTCAGATCCAGATTTGAACCTTGCAGGCAATGTACGTACCCATTCAACTAGCACCAGGCTCCTTAGGCTAATTAACACTAACCAGAAACACTCCTCACGAATAATGAAGAACCTGTACATTCTCAGCTGCCAACCCCTGCAACTGACCCAACAGCATCTGGTCCAACTCCAATCGTCCTGAAGCTGGCCTGGCTCTCCACTCTTCGCCTGTCATGATCTCAGGGATCTCGACAGCGCCGCTCCACTGCTTCCCGGAGACATCATCCACCCGGATGACCAGAACCACCCGTCCCGCCATCTGGACGTGAACCCTAAATCCCCCGTCCAGCTTGCCGACCTCAATCGTAGTAGGGAGAATGGGAAGCCGTCCGTCTCCTCCATAATCTGTCTCCCTATCACCCATACCCGTAAACAAGATTGCAGTGTACTCCCCAACTCCACCCCGCACTCCCTCCGTCGCCTCTTTCCCATCCGCAGCAGAAGAAGTCGACCCCGTGAGATCGACCTGCGGAGTCACCGACGCGACACTTTCCCCCTGCCCCGGCCTCTCGTTGTGCCCCCGAACTAGGATATCCCGCGTAACCCTCCACAAAGCATCCACCCCCCCCCGGCGCAACAATCCGCGCCTCGAGACTCGGCAACAACGTCTCCAAGTAATTCCTGCGGGTCCGGAACCTGAGTTCCAGTATCCTCGCACTCCACGTGGATGCAGAGTGAGAACCGATACGGCTTGAGGATAAGAGCGGCCCCAGCGCTTTCAGCAGGATATTGGTCGCGTGGTCGTAGGCGTCGTGGCCGAAGTTGGTTTTCATGAACTCGAGGGGTGAAACCATGGCAGAATTCAGAGTCAATAGGGGTTGTGTCCGTCCACTTTCACCTAACTACTGGGCAAGGGAACTTACGGTCCGTCGACGTCCCGCCTACCGAATCATCCCGACTGAGCTTGAAGGCTGCCTGCCTCAAGAAATCCTGAATCATGGTCGCGCAGGCGTAGCGGGATTGTATGTACAGCTTCAGGCGGTGCGGGACTCCGTCGGGGGCAGTTCTGAGCGGGAGGAGGGCGGCGAGGGCGGCGCCCTTTTGCAACCTGGCGGCGTTGATCTGCGGCGGGTCGTCGGTGCAGGCGATGTGGCATGCCTGCGGGGTCGTGCGGCACGGAGGCGTGAAAAAATATCAAGCCTGGGTATGGATCCTTTCCTTGGTTGGGTATCTCCACTAGGCTCCCTCTGACAGTTCATGCAGAACAAAAACCTCAAGCCAATTGATAAAGGAGGGTGGCGGGTTACCTCACTTGCTCCTCTTCACGGTGACCGGTCTCGTAGACGCTGTACTTACATTGGACGATATGTAAGTTCCAATTAACATTGGGAGATCCTATAACGGCTTGTTCTTTCGGAAGTGAACTGCTTGTGGCATGCCTATTCTCCGCACCCGACGTGGCCAAATACTGGAGCCAGCAGATCAACAGCCACGCCACCTTCGTCAGCCACATCCCCCCATCCATGCTACGTGAGTCTGGCCCTCTCCTCGCTTATAGCCCAAGTCAAACTAGGGCTGATATAATTACAGTCGGACCCGCATCAGCCACAGACTAGGGCATAATCTCTGTTGACAGGCGCTATACAACGTGGATGTTCTCACGCCTGCGGCCAGAGATGATCACTACAATTACAGCGGGCGAGAATGAGTTGAAGAAAGGGCAGTTTTTTTTTGAAACGCCGAGTAAGAAGGTAAGCCAGCTGCTGCCCAAAACCGGGCAGAGGCCCGAGATTTCCATGGGTTCTCTGAGCAGGGGAGTCTAGTGGGGTTTATCTTCATTATTATACCTGTTATATCAGTGATGGGGTTATCAGTGTGGATGTTGGTGATAAGGGGGCTCTTTTAGTTTGTCTATTTGTTAAGGTCATTGTCGAGGATTTGTATCTGTAATGGACATAGTATTTCAGACTACGTTGTTGAAACTACAAATGTGGGCTGTAGCCGGTGCGGCCCGGCTGCCATGGCCCCAGGGCTGCGGTTTGGGATTGATAACTTTCCCGCCCATGTTGATTTGACATTCCAGACAATGGTCTGTAGTGGAAAGAGGAGGGGCGGGCCAAGAACTGAGAAAGACCTTCTAGTGAATATGGAATGGCTATTAACTGCGCAGGGCTCAAAGCCTCCACTGTGGCTTTGCTGAATATGTGATTCACTCTAAGCTGTGCAGTGTCTCAGCACCCATCTATACCTAGCCCTAACAGGCGGCTGAGTCCGAGCTCCTCAGGTTAATAGAACTTGAATAGAACTTGAATAGAACAAAACTTGAATTTCTTGTATTCTAATTGAATTGAATTGTTTGATTTGATTTCCCTTTCTTTATTCTCTCTCCTCTGGCCTTCTATTTCATCTCTCTCCCCTTCTTCTCTCTCCAATTGTCCTCTCCCCACTTCTTCTCCCCACTTCTCATCTCTTTCATCACACATCACACATCACCGTCACCGTCACCATCACCATCCCTCTCACTATCACCCTCACTATCACCCTCACCCTTCCAATCAATACCTGCTAAACCGATGATCAAACACCGTTATCAAGCCTCACAAGGTCCTCACAGCATCGCTCCCTATTCCTCGCACGTTCTTAACGTCTGATCCTGGTTGTCTAGTCTCATACCCCTCATGGAACAGTACCTTTCTTGATGAAACATCTGGATGTCTACGTCTTCTGCCCACCGCTGTATAAGACGTCCCGTCGGACGCTCGAGGACATCGCATAGCAGAATCCATACTGTTATGGCCGCTAGACTTAACTTGCCGGAGATGTTGCGCGGGGAGATCTACCCTAGATTCCTCATCGCCGATGAGGCCACGTTTTATCGGGAACCGGAATTGTTCTACGCCTTAACCAAACTACCCCAAGTCAAGAGCGTCCTTTTGGTTGGCGCTCACAAAGCCAACTCAGGTCAAGAGCATGATTCTGTTCGGTGATCATTATCAGCTGGCACCATCGTGTTTTACACCCCGGGGTCGCGAAGCATGGAGTATTTCGGCTTTCGAGAGGCTCAGAAGAAAGAGTACCAGACCGGTACTCTGATTCCACTCTTCAGAAGCCAAAAGCTCGGTTACGAGGCCAACCTCTATCGGGACTCTGAAATTTTCTACGCCTTGACCAAACTACCTAGAGTCAAGAGCATTCTTCTGGTCGGGGACCACAATCAGCTCGCACCATTGTGCCTCTCAGCCTAAGGCTACAGAAGCCAGAAACTCATTTACAAGGCGACCTTCTACGCCTCGACGAAGTTTCCGTGAGTTAGCATCCTTCTCGTCGGCGACCACAATCCGCTGTCGCCGGTGTGTTTCCACACCCTAGGGTTGTGCGGAATGGTACAATTCGGCTTTCCAGAGATTAATTAAGAAAGACTCGATATTACCCTAGGTCCGCTTTAGGAAAGCTCTTTGGCTCTTTCCCGGACTGAATGGCGGTCTTCGCGGCAACCACGGGGAGATTCCTCGGATTTGAGTGGAGTAGAAAACACCTTTCTTCGAGTTGTTTGAAAACCATCTTTTATCCTGACCCACAGTGCCCAGTCTCCTTGCAAAGATCATCGAACTTGAGGGTGAAGAGGAATTCATTCCCAGCACGCTGTCCCACGGCTTCTTCGAGTCGACACTTCAGCGAAATAGACTACAAGAAAGTCGTATTCGACGAGCTTCTGGACCCTCCCAAGGAAGGTATGATGGCCCTGTCGAGTCGAGTCAAGTGCGGATGTTGAGAACATGGTTGGGCAGTGGGATCTGCCTATCTGCTCTCGAGACATATCAGGATATGTTGTCGACATTTTTCTATCGTGAATCCGGCATTAACAGCTACAAAGGTGTGGTCGCAAACGTGATCCTCGAGTTGCAGAATCTCCCCCAGTCAAGCCTGCTAATGAAGAGGATTTCAGATGAGGATGAGCCAAGTCCATCGAAATGATTGATGCTTCGGGGCCTTTTTCACCGGCAAGCTGGTACAGAGTCGATTCCATCAACCGGACCTGCAGCTTTAGCAGACCTAGCATCGGCAAGACTTCAGCCGATTGCCCGCTCAAAGTCTGCGAGTCAGCTGGCAGGCATTCATAATATAATCTTTAGTCACTACAAACTGCCACTTCGCATAGGCCCTTGAACGAGACAAGCATCGATGTCTCATCAGCAACGACTCTTGGATCGTGGATTCCGTGCATATATACCCCTACAACCTCGGCCGCGATCGGGATTCTCGGCGTGAAAGTTATTTCCGGGACGTGCTAGCGTGCTTTTGGTCTAGAAACAAGATCGCTAAGTGGCACGAGGATGTACTAGGACGTCACGGCACTGAGCATTGTGCCAATCGTCTTGCACTCGCAGCACATGTTCACAAAATGTGGGATACGGCGGAGATTGCCCTCAAGCCGCTGGACATCAATCCAGATCAAACCGCTCTCAGAGTGCAACTATTCCTCTTTGACAGATACAGCTTTACCAAGAATGCATCCTTTGACCGCTCCGATATCCCTGACGTCTGCCAGACTCCGGGAATTGCAAGGTGGGATGTTGCTAAGCAAAAGTTTGGAGAACTGACCGACGGCGAAATCTTAACCTTCCGCACAGATGACCCAAAGGATTACCCACTTCCATCATTCGCTTTGTTAGAGATGCAGTGGCTCCTACATCGGGTCCTCGCGCTAAGCGGGGCTGTTGAGTACGCAACATCGGATGAGAATGACGCCGATTCTGATTCCGATATGGAACTCAATCTCCCGGTTTCCGATGCCGATATGAGCAGCTTTGAACTTGTGCCCAATTTTCCCAGAATTGGTGAAAATCAACCTTCTTTTGTGATGCCTTTCCGAGGAAAGGCTGAGAAAAAAGACTGAAGTTTCACCCCGAGTATCCGCAATGCCAATACCGCCTAAACCATGTTGTGCTTCTTGCCTCTCTTTAGCCTTACCTCTGCCCTGCTCGGTGCTTACCTTCCTTGACACTGATGGCCTTTTCTTTGTTGCTCTCTCCTCCTTCCGCTTTGCACTCACGAAAGAATTCGCCAGAAAAAGAATGTTGGGTCAGTTGCAATAATCATTCTTATAGGATAACAATTGGCTTTTTTGTTTCCTGTTACTGTTCCTTATTATTTCATGCATGAGGAATCGAAAAGACTTGTGACCTGGATGACCTAAAAGTGCTTGGCCAGCAATACGTTCATAAGGTGATAGCCCTGCTTACATTACGAATTCCCCCGTCCTCAAGCGTGACCATCACTGGCACATCTCCTAGCATTAATGTTCTTGCTAGTAGAGTTGGGAATGATTATTATGTGGAGGAGGTACGTGTAGAACTGCGGGATGCTGCGGTAGTTTGGGCGGAGGGTGGGGGACCAGGGGAGGAGATCGGTGGTGGTTGGGGTTGGTGGAGGGGCCGGGTGCGGTGTTGGCGCGCGGTTGGCGGGGTTGCCGTGGGGGAGTCGGGGAGGCCGGCCGGGATTGACGTGTAATCCATATATCATCTCAACTGTGGTCTGATGAGTATGAGTTCCACTTCGCAGACAAATGACCGGGCTATGGAACCCGGCTCTGTTCTTCCGGTGGGGGAAAAAAGCCACGGCGAGACCCGGCCGTGGCTGCTTTCCCCGCAGATTTTGCCCGCGGCCACCGTGCATATTTATCTCGCCAGTCAGGGTCTGCCGGTGCAGGCACATATGTAGGTGCGAGTGCAAGTCCCGGAATTCCAACAATTTAGGAAAGGAGTAAAAATGAGATAATATGAGAAGGAAACCAGAGAGAGCTGCGAGAACAGTCCAAGGTTGTATGTGCTCAGAGTAGATAGATCTATATCGTAGGTCTTACCTATCCAGCGCGTTTCAAGGATTTCGGATAAGCTGGTAGGTTCTGAGCATCAAAAAAAGCCGCTTCTATAGCTAGCCGGACTAGGCACACTGAGCTTCGGCTCCTCAGGCCAATAGGACTCGGATTATATTAGATCAGCATTTGGATTTGCGGTGCGAAAGTATGGAAAGTGAACTAGCAACAAAGACAAAACCTCCAAGGTCTAAGCGCCTTCCCATCTAGTGTTCGCAAGTTCCGTCTGAAATTTTAATGTCTCCATGGAGGGCGATTCTCCTTCTTGGTGGGCTGATCGGACGATTGTGTCCTTCCGGCCGACTTGTCCCCCAATCGCGGCGGCGCCATGCTCGCTTCCTTCGGGCCCTGTTGAGGCTTCCGATACGGTGCCCGCCAGAGATTGAACGCTTCCACGTACGGGCTCTCCTCGTCGATTGGGAACGAGGTTTTGCTGGTCGGGTCGGTTCCGCGAAGGTGGGTGAGATCGACCAGGTAGAGCTTGTTGGTGCCGACCTCGTAGTTCAGATAACTCGGATGTTGATCGACCAGCTTGTGGCCATTCTTGCGTAGTAGCCTGTATGCAAACCAAACCGGGAATCTGTCAGCCCAAGTCTTCGGGACCCAAGAAACGATTCATTTCCGTCGTGGAAAGGGGCCGCTCGAACTCACTCTAGAATGCGCGCCAGCTGCGTCCGGATGCCGTCCAGCTGACGATCGGTGAGCTCGTCGCTGATCTCCTCGAGGCTCTCACCCGGGGGCACCGTCATCACCAGGAAGTGGCCATATCCACCGGGGAAGGGCATCCAGTTCGGTTGGGAGCACATGAAATGGTCGAAATACTTTGGTCCCAGCCCGGCTTCGCCCAGCAGCTTGACAGCGTCACACTCGTGGAGAAACTCGTGCTCCGCAATCTGCCGGACCTCCCTCCTCGCGTCTTCGGTGTCCATCTCGAAGCCCCGCGGGTTCAGCTGGTAGCGCATCCGAACTAAAGAAATCGCCTTGCTTTCCAGGTTTCTGGCCTTGAGGAGAAGACTGCGCTCGCCCAGTTCCTGGTCTAGGACCTCGGTCAACTGGTCCTCGATCCGGAGCTTCCGCTCGCCCAGCGTGATAACGCGTCCTTTGAGGTCAAAGCTCCACATGCTGTGAAGAGTAAGATTTCGCCGCGTGGGTCCTTGTGTGGTCGAAATGGAGATAGACAAGCAGAGGTAATGGTTCGCTTGGCCGGGGGAAAAAGGGTAACGAGGTGTTGAGCTGTTGGGACGAAAGAAGAGACAGGGTCAGTTGGGAGTGAGGTCGATTTGAAGGCTGTGATATACGAAGCAGACAAGTAAGGCAAATACAAGAAGAGGCAGTAGCTTTGCCTGGGGAGTCTCTGTATCTCTGTATCTGCTGGAGTGCTGGTGAATTGATCGTCTTCAGGGAAGAACACTGTCCGATGTTGGGTCAAGCTCAGCGTGAGTCACCAATTCATCATAATGACCAACATCGGAACCTATTCACGCAGACTGTCGTATCAATCACCCAACCGTGGAAATCCTCTAACTTAGGAACCGCCTGGTGCTTATGTAAGAAAATCACCCGCGGGTATCGCAATTTTTGTATATTCCTCCTCCCAGCCGCATTGAAATGCTTTTCAGCAAGGTGCACCTCGAGGCCACTGAGGCGATTGATGCTATCAACACTGGAAGGACTGGAAGTTATCAAGCATGATCGGCCAGTTGTGTACCCCACCACCATCCTTACCCACGTACGCCTAGTAACAGTGCAGTACAATTGCCGGAAGTCCAGATCCGTCTCCCGCCCCAGGGCCCGCTCTACCGATGGTCGAATCTTAGATGCTTATGGAAGACATTATGCGCGTCACAATTCTTTGCCCCGCTTTCGGGATAGATACAGCCACACGGTGCGAAGAACAGTGCTTGCTCCTATTTGTTCAGCTCGAGTTTACACCACCATATCCTGCCGTGCTTGCCATGACCGAGGTCTCTCAGAAAGGTAGGGAATGGACTCTCTGGAGCCTCTCAGAATCCCGGCTGGTTCGCCTTACGGCCCGATCCGGGTAAGGCCCGCTTACCGCGGCCGCGACGCGTCTGTCCACAGCATCAGAATCAAAGCTAGGATGGGGTAATTACAAGGTCCAGAAATTACCAGAACAAGGCCGTATCTTCGGTGATACTTGCTTCCAGTGGCATCCGCCCCCCTAAGAGCGAATGCCAAAAAGCACTCTCGCAAGGAGACTTCGGTGGCCGAGGAGCCAGCTTTCGAACTGATCGGGGGCGACATGGCGAACGCGTTGTCGCCGACACGTTTGACAAACCACGTCCTCTCGTAGATGCTAAGAAATCCAAAGCGGGCGTAGTTATCATCCATGTATCTGGCAAGCTGGCCTTTTTTTGGTTGGGAACGGCACAGCCAACGGTTAGCATGAGAGAAAAAGCATTCGAAAGAAAAGCCGCATCACTATGCGCCATACTCACCGAGTTTTTCGGCTATGAACTCGTCCCAGGGCTGTTTTTTCCGCGGCTCAAATCTCCAAAATGTCTTGACCTCGCCTACGCCGCGGATAGCATGGGTCGTGGTGTCTGCAATCACCACGTCGGGAACAAGCTTGTCCCCCGCCTGCTGCTGCTGCTGCTCTCCTATCTTTCGCTTTATATCCGCTTTGACTTCTCTCTTCACCTGCTTCTTGGCTTCTACGAGGAGCCTGTTTACTCCGTACTGGGAGTCCCCAAAGCGGACCCCAAGCTTGAGCAGGTCGGCCACCTCACCCACCGGGTGCAGGGCGTTCTGGACGAGGCGGCCCTGCACCCCCAACTCGTTCGCCACTCCAAAAACCTCCCGGGGCACCACGGGGGCGAAGGATTCGGAGTTGCCGCAGTATAGCGCGAGAAGAGCTTTGACCTCTTTGGCAAAGTCGGGCCAGTTCTGGACTTGTCCAGGTAAAAGGGTGAACTTGGATGAGCCGGGTCGGAGGGTCCGGTACCCTTCATCACTGAGGAGGTCGGCCACGGGTGACCAGATGCGGTAGCGGTGTCCTGGGGGCAATACCGGTTGAGCCATGGTGATAAGTCAAATGGTGTGATCGTTTTCCAGCAGTAGTCTGAGGATACAGGCAAGTTCCTTGTGTTGAGATTCTAGGCAATCATGATGGAACCACCGTGTGTGGAAGGGTTGTAAGGATATGGATTTGTGGAAAATCGCAGCCAAGATGGACCCAATATCACACCTTCCCTAAATCAATGGTTCTATTGAGAAGGAGCCACTGCCACATGAAGTGAATGCTTCTGACCAGGTGCACAAGGTCGAGAGGTGACGAGCTTTTTTTGACAACACCATGCAATTCACCCTAGTTTGCCGTGCGTACTATATGTTGATTCTCGCATATTCACCAAGGTTTGGCTTGGATATTGGTTCCATGAAGTTTCTTCTCAGAAGAAAAGCACCTGTTTGTTAAATCGTCGTGTGCAGGACAGAGCTTCCTGGTCTCTTTCATATTGTGCACGCAGTCCAGTAAAGGATATGTATCCTCAGGTCTTGGCAGATATTGCAAGGAAGAAAGCCGCCATATCAGCCTGCCTACTATGGCACTAGTATCATTTGGTATTTAAATGTTTCTCTAAGCAAACAACATTGCGTACATTACGAAAGCATTGAAGAGGAGCTTTAATAAAGCATTGGGTCTTTTACAGCGGCCCTCATTGCGCGTGCTACCGTCGTGGTCGGCGATCGTCTTCCCTCCTTCTTCTCTTCGCCTTGATCTTCTCCATGTCTCGAGCAATACCCAAACACTCCCGATCTCATTCCTCGAATTATACTTATTTGTATGCAGAAGGTTATGTGTTGTGGCGATAATTTGTGCGGAATGTTAGTTGCTTCAGGGCGTGACAAAATCTCGTCCACTGTTCCTAGCGATCGGTGGGACATGTAATCTCCCTCCTCAACCAACCAATTAACCACTTTGCACTTGCGCTCAGCGCTTAGCAATAAGCCTCGCCGCATTGCCCCTCCAACTCCAGGAGTTTTCCAGATTGCTCTTGAACTTGTTGGCGCAGGCCGGAGCAAACGTTTGCAGGCCACCGGCCAACAGAGCCTAAGGAACAATGTTAGATTCCCACCATGCATTCAAGCCACCTTTTGTGTTGGCAGGAAAGTGCTGAGAAACATGCATCAAAGAATGAAGTTGTGAGAAAATTGAAAATTGAAAAAAAAAAAAAAAAAAAAAGAAAAGAAACATCCATAAGGAAAAAAAAGAAGGGAAAAGCGTAGCGTATTCAGAAGACAGGGTCAAGCGTATTGGTTCCGCGACTCGCTCCTTTTCATCAATGCCGACCTTACCGGCTCTCGACAGAATTGTTTCAAGCGGGACGGTAATCTGCTCGATGCACTACCCACCAAGAAAAAGAATAGAGATAATTTCCTCCCGCGACTTCAGAATTCGAACTGTGAAGACTTGCGTCGTCGATAGCGTGGCCAACGGATTCTTGCTCGACCTTAGGGCCCACTTGGGATCTTGATCGACAGGAAACCCCTCGCCGGAGTGCCGGAACCCCGGCAGACTGAGTTCCCGGGCGACTTCCATCCTATCGGGCTCGACATCGTGCAAGGCCTCTTGTAGAACCTGGTTACCACAAGTTAAATCGAGGTTCCTTGGATCAAATGCATCTTTTTGTTCGCGGGAACTACTCACCAGGCCGACCCGGCCATGATCTATGGTTCTTAGACGGTTTGCCGAGCTGGATGCCTTTTCGCCCAGGGATTCGAACGTGCTGATCAGATATCTCACGTCGGCTGACATGGTGGAATCTTTTGAGTTGATGGACTGGATAATGCCGGGAAAGACACGGGGGATGAGTAAAATGGTAGGGGGATACAAGGCAGGAAAGCGTTGACAGCGTGTCGGTTCCCCCTCCGGGAGTTGGCTTATATATACTGTGGTCCTCAATTCCGGCCTCTCTTGCCCTATTACGTATGTGTGTGTCCAGTTCATTCCGAAAAGATTAGAATTGGGGATCAGAGTTCGCATGGATGCTCAATAAATAGAACGCCCGGATTTTCGCGAACTGCAGCAGGCTGCATATTGTCGCCGAGATTACCAGCGAGTGGCTCCGCTGCGTCGGGTAGGAGTGGAAGAAAACGGAGGGGCTAATTTTCCACCCCAGCTCCGATGTTGGCTCCTAGAATGGAACTGAGGAAGCGTGAAGATGGATGGATTCCAGGCTATCTCTATGGAACTAACTAAGGGCCATTGAAGGCGGTGAGCTGCCCAGCCAATCAGGTGAGGCCTTAACACACCCCCCCAGCTTACTGAAAGGCCCAGATAGCATGAAGCCATCCAAAATATGTATAATTATTATAAATAGAAATGTTGGCTACTCTCCTAGCACGGAGGCTTTAAAGCAGTTATATAAAATAAGATTAATAAAGCTGCAGACTGGCAGTGCGAGATTTACTCTGCATACAGTAATATTACTAAAATAATATAAAGAATATTTAAACAGCCTATTTTAATAGATGTTTAAATACTACAAAGTCTGTTATAAAAAGAGGTTTAGTAAGGCCGTTTGTAAGATTTTTTTTTATATTAATATACTAAAAATCCATCTTACCATTCTGATACATATTTTTTATATAAAATAATCTAATATTAATTTATTTAATTAACTTTGAAACTGTAGCTGTATATATAAAATTAACTGTATTATTAAAGTTTATATATATTATAATCCTATTAGCAACAGGCAATCCTAGTTTAATTATAGATTTATATAGAAAACTAGTCTTACAGAATATCTTATAAAATACTATATATTTAGCTAGTATAAATAATATTACTAAAACTATCTACTTGTATATAGTTTATAATACCAGTAATTTTATATATATAATAATATAGGTCTTAGTAGACTTTATATTATTATTATCTATATATAAGATATTAATATAGACTTTAAACTATTTATTGGGGTTACACCTATATATAATATTAAATATAAATTTTTTAAAGTAATATAAAATATATTTAATAGTATTTTTATTAATTAATTATAGTAAGATAATATAGTATTATAACTAATATATAGTATACTTAATATTAATATATATTTTTATCACCAGCTAATTTAGTTTATTTAGTATTTTTTTATATTAATTTATATTAATATTTATAAGGTCTTTATATAGAGTATTATAATATTCAGAATCTATAAAAATCTTTTTTATATAATAATTAGTTATACTGTAGTTTTTAAGCAGTTTAGTAATATAGGCCTTTTAGCTGATTATTATTATTCTAGTCTTACAGTTTCTAACTATTAAATAATTTAGAAACTATACTAGCTTACTAAGATATTTTAATTTAATAGCTTTTTTAAGCTTATATAAAATAGTATTAATCTCTGTTATATTTAGTACAGTAAAAAAAAAGTTATTTATATATAAAAAAAAAATTATTTTTTTTTTGGATATAGATACAGATATTTTGCTGTAACAGTTTAAATCTAAGTCTGTATAGTATTCTATTAATTACTTTATTTTAAAAAAATACTATTTATTGGAGTTTGTATAGTATTTTTTTTAAATACTAGACTTTACCAGGCATCTTACAGAGGCCTGTTGGCTGGTATATATAAACAGCCTATTTATAAAACTTAGTATTAAAATATATTATAATAATATTATACTATATATAATATAGCTATAAAAGTACAATAGCTGTAATTATAAGCTTTAAAATTATATTATTTAATACTGGAGTATAGTTATTATTAAAGTTTAATTTAAAATATTATCTATTACTATAAATAATCTAATATATTTTAAAATATTATATCCAGCTGCTGTTATTTACTTTAACTGTATATATTTATTTTTTAAATAGTATATAAGTTTTAGATAGCTTATTAATAAGTTTAAATATACCTTTTTTATACTAGCTATTTTTTTTCTGTTTTTATAGCTTATTGCTAGTTAGGCTATTAAAAAGATACCTTAGCAGTACTATATATTTTTAGAATAAAAATATTATTAATATAAATTAGTATTATACTATATAATTTAAAAATACTTTTAAAATCTGGCTACTTAAATATAATATTTTTATTAGAATAGTTTAAGACTTGTAATAGTACTAATCTGTAGTTTTTATAAAGTTATTTTTTTAGCTTACTCTGTATATCTGTTATCTATATATTATTATTAGTAATAAATAGGTTTATCTTATTAGTAGAATATATTAGCTAATTAATATAGGGATTAAAGTTAGGTAATATTATATACTATAAAGTTTTTATAGCTATATTAGTAGCTGTTTTTTTTAGCTTTTAAAATATTTTTAGTATTATAATTAAATATAGCTTTAATAAAATATTTATATTATATAATTTTATATTTTTAATTGGTATATAAGACCTCTCCGGCTGCAGATCTGCAGGTGGTGTTAGTATAGTATATTCTCTAAAATTATAAAATTTATTATTTATAAAATAGTTATTAAATATTTTTTTATACTTACAGCTATATTTATTATAAGAATTTTACTAACTGTAATAATACTTAGTTTTATAATATCTATTAAATATCTCTTTAAAATTATTACTTAGATCAAACTTTTAAAATAGGTGTATAAAGTAAGTATAAAATATTTAGAATATTATAAATACTATTTTTTTATTACTTAGTATAGTCCTATTATTAAGTATATTACTTTTAACAGTTGGATTTGCCTGTAGTAAAATATATAGTATTATTTTTATACTTATATTATTTAAAATATCTGGCATTTTCTCTGTAATTATTAATTCTAATAAGATCCTATATATAGTAATATTATTTGGAGTGTTTACAGGTATATTTTTTTATTATAATTACTCCAGTATCTGTATATATATATTTAAAATAGATATTTTCAAATTATTTATTACTTATAGAAAATAAGAATAATTTTTATTTAAAATATTAAATCTAAGATTCTGCGGCGTATAATAAAAGTGCGGATAATTTTTATTTAAAATATTAAGCCTATTTTTTTATTTAAAAAAAGTTATTCTAGTATTTAATATTATCTAAAATATTTATAGGTATACTTTTTTTAATAGAGTTATATCTACCTTATTATTTATAGTTTACAGAGATTTTTTTATTATTTTTTTTTCTATATATTTTAAAAAACATCTGTAACTGCTTTTTTTGTAGTTGTATATATTAATTATCTTAAAATACAGAAATATCTAAATATAGAAAATAAAGTTAAAGTCTAAACTCAGCTGTAAATTAGTAATTTTATTATATTTAATAAAATATTTTACTATTTCTGCTGAATTGGCTGGATAGGTATTAGAATACTATTTTTTTTAATAGTTTATTAAAAACAGTACTTTTATTACCTTATAGTATAAAAGGTCTATTAAAAGAGTATACTTATTAAATATCTTCTATACTATTATTATAATTATTACTGTATATATATTTTTTAAGAAATTTAATACTACCGGACTGTATAACTTTTCCAGACTTCTGTTTATAAATATAGAATATATAACTATAATTTTTTTTATAGCTAATAAAATAGCCGATCCGCGTGCGCGGTTTAAATTTATATTTTTTAATATATTAAGAATTATTTTAGTTAATTAGAATATAGGTTTTATAACTGTATATATATAGATGTTCAACCAGTGCTGTATTAGACTTAATATTAAAGTATAAATACTATTTTAAAATTAGTAGTAATATTTTATTTGGTTAGATTAATTAATTAATAATATATACTGCTGCTCTGACTGCCTCCGGCTAAAAGTATTTTAAAAAGCCTGTATTAATTAGTATTATTTTTACTGTTAAAATAATATACTGTCTGTATTATTCTGTATAGGTATTTTAGTAGTAATAATATAAAACTAATATAAAGTATATAATATCTTTAGACTTATACTATTTTCTAAACTTTATAAATTTCTAGCTGCTGTTAAAATACTATTTAATAATATACTGGCCGGTGACAATCTTATATTATTTATTAAAAATAATTAATATATTATTAGGATTATTTTTAAAAGTTTTTAAAGGGCGAACTTCTACACAGTCTATAAATAGATTAATAAAAATTAAACAGTATTTCTTACTTCTAATTCCTACTAGCTTTAAGTACTAAGTATTATAACTCTAAATATCTTACAGACTTTGTTTTTTAATTATTAGTTTATATAAGACCTTTTTCTGTGCTTTTACAGTATTATATATATTATATTAAAATATAGGATTATTAATAACTTTATTATTAGTATTTTTTAATATTATAATTAATTTCGGCTTATTTATATAGTCTAGATAATAGTATAAAAAGTATAAATCTACAGCTGTAAGTTAAATATATTAAAATAGTTTATTATTAGTATATATTTTAATAACAGGTACTTTCCTAGTTTGTATATATCTAATAGTATAACTAATATTAAGATCTTTAATCTTATGGTTTTTAATATACTAAATAATATTATAATTTTTAAATATCTTTTCTGCTGACAGTAAGCTGTAGGAAGTATTAGGATTATATTCTGCTTTTATAATTAGTTTAACAGCTTTGCTATTTCTAATATTAAGATATATTTTAATTTTTTTATATCTTTTAGTTTTACTAAAACTGTTAAATAAGTTAAAATACTAATATACCTTGCCAGGCGCCTATATCTTATATTTAATAAAGCAGTTAAAGTCCGGTGTTAAAGTATGTTCAAAGCCGGAATTCCAAATCTATATAGTAGATTTGTTTTTTCTGCTTAAGCTTTTAGTAACAGATATATCTATAAATATATTAATATTATAGGAATATATAGCAGCTGTAAGATTACTTTTAGTAGTTAGCAGCTTATAGTA